TTTGTCTGTAAGCTTAGAATATCCATTTTTGTTTTTCAGTTTTGATAGCATTTTTTTCTTTTACTTATTGAAGTAAAATCAAGACGGAAATATGGGAAATATGTATTTTTTTTTTGACGATTATATGACATGATGGGGTATAAGACGAGAAATACTATAATATGCTTCCAACAAGTTATATGACGGGTCGGGTTGTAAGATGGAACGGGTTTGACTTAATATTACAGACTAAAAAAGAATATTATTAATCTCACAATTCAATACGGGTCATTTTACTACTTTTTTAACCGACACTAATATAAACATATATAATTAAACTAATTTAGTAAAGATTGATATCATGCAATCTTAATAATTATTAAATAAACTCTAACATCTATAAATTTTTAAAAATATGAATTTAAAAAAACAAAATTATCCCGCGGTGTACCGCGGGTCAACATCTACTTCATTACTAAGCAAGTAAGCATTTTTTTTTTTACTTTAATGTTGCGAAATTGTGTATGAAATTAAAACGCGTCCACCTTCCCACAGCTGCAAACGTCGCTTATTAGGGTAAAGCAAAACACTGAAGTGAAAGAGAGAGAGAGCCGCACGAACCCTTTTTTCCCAAAAAAAAAATCAACGAAGATAGATTCAGATCGGAAACGGAAGAACGATTCGGTCTCCTCCACAGATCGATCGACGAAGGAGAAGAAAGACGATCATCACCGCCATCATCATCACCACCACAGCAAGCAGCCTCGGAAGAAGAGTAAGATGGCGTCTAGGGATCAAGTTAAGGCTTCGCACATTCTGATTAAGCATCAAGGATCTCGCAGGAAGGCGTCGTGGAAGGATCCGGAAGGGAAGGTTATTATGACTGTTACCAGAGAAGCCGCCGTCGAGCAGCTCAAGTCGATCCGTGAAGATATTGTCTCCGGCAAGGCGAATTTCGAAGAAGTGGCCACTCGTGTTTCTGACTGTAGCTCCGCTAAACGTGGCGGCGATCTCGGTTTGTTTCTTATCCCTAATCTGTAGATGAGCGAGTTTTAGGTTTACGATGGTTGCACTTAGATTTTAGGAAATTCAGTTGATCTGTGTTGATTTGTAGAACGAAGCTATACTAAGTTCAGATTTAGATAGTGAAAGGAGAAGTGAGTTTTGTTCAACTCTTGATGTAATTGGATTCTATTGGAACTAACTGTGTCCTGAAACTGAGTATAGTGATCAGTAAGCATACATTAGTCATCACTATGTTTGCAATGTAGAGTTTCTTCCTTGATACACTAGTCTGCTTTGAATATTGTCAATGTTTAGTATCTGAAATGTTAGTACTTATCAATCTTACTAGAGTCTGCTTCATTCATCACTATGTTTGGAATGTAGAGTTTCTTCCTTGATAAATCTGTAGTTGATGCTCAGAAGTCTTACTAATCTCTAGCTTCTGGTATCACTAATGTTTAGAATCTCAAGTTTCTTCCTTGATAAATCTGTAGTTGATGCTCAGAAGTCTTACTAACCTGTAGCTTCTGGTATCACTAATGTTTAGAACCTCAAGTTTCTTTCTCTATAAATCTGTAGTTGGTGCTCATAAATTTTAGCATTGTCTGCTACTCTGCTTAGATAGCATTATCAATGTTTAGATTCTGAAGTTTATGCTTGTATGAATCTATAAATTGGTACTCATAAATCTTACTAGTGTCTACTACAGTTTCTTTCTTGATGAGTCTATAATTGTTGGATACAAATGTTGTCCTGAAAGTGTTCATGTTGATTGCCCTTTTGTGTTCAGGTCCCTTTGGTCGAGGGCAAATGCAGAAACCATTTGAGGAAGCAACTTATGCACTCAAGGTGGGAGATATAAGCGACATTGTCGACACAGACAGTGGAGTCCACATCATAAAGAGAACAGCTTGATCTTGCCTCTGATTATGATATGATATAATAAATGTATCAAAGGTTCCAGCTTCTTTTCCCCTTTGTCTTCTTGACCAGAAGAACATAGGAGAAGAAGAAGAAGAAGAAGAAGAATATTGTAGACTCTGAATCTGTCTACGAATTTGATACAACCCAAACATGTCATTAAAAAACCAGACTCTGTATCTCATTTCTTCTTAATGTTTCATAAGCACATCCCCTGTCGTAGACTTGTATCATCATCTTTTATTATCTTTGTGATGTTCTTCATGCTATTGAAGTATAATGTTACAAAATTTGAAGGAAAAAAAAACTAAAAAACAGAATCTAAATTGATGATTTGAGTTCAGTAGAAAACACACTCTAATGTATTTAACACACAACTTCAATAAAGATCACCACCGCCTCACAAGTGTGTTTCTCGCATAACACATGGAAACCAGCCTTTACTTAAACGACATGTGTACGGTCAAGACTTGATTGATGCACACGTAATGGATCCAAATGACAAACACCTTAACGAATACGAAGAACACACGCACACATTTCACGGCGCTATATAAAAAGCCTAAGAACATTTTGACAGATTGAGAGACGAAGAAAGCAACATCTTCACTAAATCATCTGCATCTCAAGTTTATCATACTACCGTCTCTAATGGCCGAAGAGAAGACCGTGAAGAAGAAGACTCCAACGGCGGCGAAGAAGCCGCAAAATCCGAAAACTGCTCATCCTCCGTACTTCCAGGTGAGTTTTTTTTTTGAGTGATCTACCTCTATTTTTTCTTTGAGTACTATCTATTGAACTTAGGTTTTGGTTTTGATGAAGATGATAAAAGAGGCGTTGATGGCTCTAAAGGAGAAGAACGGATCAAGCCCTTACGCTATAGCTAAGAAGATAGAGGAGAAACATAAGCCCTCACTTCCCGAGAGCTTTCGTAAAACACTTTCTCTACAGCTCAAAAACTCTGAGGCCAAAGGTAAGCTCGTGAAGATCAGAGCCTCCTACAAGCTCTCAGAGACAACCAAGATGACAACGAGGCAGCAAGACAAGAAGAAGAAACTGAAGCAAGAAGATAGAGAGAAGAAGAAGGCAACGACGACGACAAGGTCCAAGAAAACTATGTCTGTGAACAAACAAGACAAGAAGAGGAAAGCCAAGAAAGCAAGACAACCCAAGTCCATCAAATCTTCAGCTGGTAAGAAGAAGGCCATGAAAGCTTCGGCTGCTTGATCACTGGTATAAGAAGAGACTTTGTGTGAATAAGAATAATGTCTTTTTTTTTTGTGTGTCTGTAAAATGACTGACTCTGTTTCTGGTTTTGGTGTGGTTTCTTTTGGGTTTGAGAGTAAAGACTTAAAGAGTCTTCTAATGTAAAACTAGTACTACTATGTTAATATACTAGCAAATAGTTTTGATTGAGTAATTGAGTTCACCTTAAACTTGTGGAAACAATCGAAGATACAAGTAATTCAAGGTGAAAGAGATTGGAGTCTATTTGGGGTTTAATTAGAAGCTAATTACGTACAATCCATTCATATAAGAAACGCTTTTCTAAGTTTCATTCTCGCTTGTTCCATTCATAAGTTCATAAAAGAAAATTATATATATAGTTTTTTAATAAGTTATTAATTAGTTGATATATATATATATATATATAACTTTTGAAGAATATGAATTGAGATTCTTTGAATTTTTGAACTACTGTCAATTGTGTTTTTTTTTTACTTGCATGGAAAGTCCTAATTGTGTGTGTGTGTTTTTTTTTTTTATAATTGAAATAAAGACACTATATAACTATTGTTTATATGGATGTTTATAACTTCTTGCTATTTTTTCGATTGTGTGTACTCTTTTAGTTATTGTTAAATATTTTTTCCTCGGATAAATTTATGACTGAATACCAAGCATTAAGTTTATTTGTTTTCATGACTACCAAAATGTTATCATTGATGAGATTTTAGGTTTATAATACAAAAATGTATTCAACTTTATCTTAGATATGAAGTGCGTACAAAGTGCACTTTAATATAAAAAAAGCTATGTTTTTCAAATTTCTTTAGTATAAAAAGTATGTTATTGCGCTCTATTAACTAGTTCTTATGGCATTAGGCATTAGAAGAATCGAAGAGGTTGAAGAAATATAAATCATATTTTAATATGATTCGTCAAATTTTTCAGCGTTTTAAATCATATAGTTTCATACTATTATCCCATGAATCAAGTTCTTTGGCGGCCAAAGGTCTTGGTTTAAATTTGATGAAGGAATTTGTCAACTCATATTTTGCTATGGATTGTTCGGCATGACTACATAATCAAATTGAGGCAAAAATCTTTTTCTAATCTTTGTTGTATTCAAATTTGGGTTGTTTTGGTGACCCTTTGATTCATCTTTTAAATTATAATGCAAGATTCTTTTTAAGAAAAAAATGTTTACAAACGCAACATCAAAAAGATTAAACAAGGCATAAACATATCTAAACTATATAGAAGTAGGTTAAACTAGCATAGTAAAATATATAAAAACAGAATTTTATGACCCCGACTGCCCATGTGTATGTGAAACTAGGTTAACTATATCGTTGGCTCGTCTATCTATGTGGTCAATACGCCTCAAGTTTTATGATTCATAAAGAAGAGTGAATTGTTGAAAGACTAAAAACTTGAACAATATACTCTTCCTAAAAGACTTAAAGCATTTTGAAGATTTACATTTCGGTTTTAAAAAACAAATTAGGACTTGTTTTGAAAAATAAAAAAGAACAGTTTATTACTTAATTTTTTGTCCTTATTTATTTTTCCAAAAACAGTTTATTATATTATAAAATACCATATCCAATAAAGTAGAATGCTCTTCTTCCTCTTAGAAGAAGACGAAGCTATTTGGTATTTTTAATTTTAAACTTGTGTTACGATATTAATTTTTTTTTGTTTTTAGCACTTTTGGTCGTTTTCTTATGTTATATAAGTTGTGTAACAGTAATAATCATTATCTCCCTATCTAAGACTCCGAACGGAGAAAACAGATTAGGCAAAACGGATTAAGCGTTTCAAACGGATCAAGTAGAATGAGTGCTGACTTTTGGCAAAACAATTGCAGATCAAGCGGATTTAACATTTCAAAATGTATATTTGAATGGTGAAAGCGGATCAAACGATTGATAATAAAAAAAAATTAACAATATAAAATGCTATTTTAAATTTTAGTTAATATTTTACAATTTATTATACATATTATAATAAGTTGTAATAATTTAAAATTTGGTATATTAGTTTAGCATTTTTTTTTTTAACTTACTGTTATAACATTATTTAGTGTTTGCTTAGAAAATATATAAAATAAATTTAAGATTTACTTATGAAAAGTTAGTACAAATAAATTAAGTTCTTTAAATGTTTATCATTTATTTTTATTTTAAAATCAATTAAAAAGAAAAAGAAAATAGAATACTATAAAAAAGCAAAGAAATAAGAAAAAAAAACATAAAAAAACGCAGATGATACGCTTGAACCACACCCAAAACGGTGAAGTACTAGAAGATCCTTGTTTTTGTTCATGTAATTCAGTAATTTTTTATTATTTCAAAAAATTGAACTGTTATATAATTGAATTTAAAAAATGGTGAATGGAAATACAAGTGCAGTTCTCCCGCTACAAGCACTACAAGCTTTGTATATATATTTAAGTATGTGTTTGTGTCCGAATGACAAAAACTTAATCGAGTTTTCTTTATAATAGATACAAGCTTAATCTAGTGTAATACATTCTTTGTAGCCGTTGTTTTAATTCCTATTTTAGAAATGGTCTTCCTCTCTTTTCGGTTGAATCTTTTCTTTTTGTAATGTAAAATTTACCAACCAAGAAAAAAAAAACAAAAACCTTTGCCTCCTTTGGTTTTGTTCACGCTAAGTGTGGTAGATGTTGCTTTTTGGAAAGCTAGATTTTTTTTTTTTAAAAAAAGATGTCGTTGGAGCTTAGTTTTATTCTGATCATGTCATGTTCAACCTTGTCAAATGCCTTATTGCATCCGAGTAGTGTGTCTCATGATGTCTCCAGAACCAGATATTACTTGACTACCAATGAACTATGGTTTAATCAAACCCTAGATCATTACTCTCATTATGTAATATAACTTTCTCTTCACCTATTTCTTGTTTTTATCTTTGACTTTGTTCTTATTGTTGTTTCTTCATTTTTTTAAAAAGATTATTAGGACTTAGTTATAATTGTTGTATCTGGGGTGGTGTATTTGAATCTTGAGATTTTAATTTACGTTGATCACAGGATCACCGCAAATTCAGACAACGTTACTATGAATTTATGGATTATTTTCGAGCTCCAGATGGACCTATTTTTATGATAATCTGCGGTGAAGGTCCTTGTAGTGGCATAGTTAATGATTATATAAATGTAAGATTTTACTAATCCCATATTTGTATAACAAAAAAACTTAAAAAATTGATGTTTTCATAAACATAACTAGGTACTAGCAAAGAGGTTTGAAGCTGGTGTGGTTTCACTAGAACATAGGTACTATGGGAAAAGCTCTCCCTTTAACTCATTAGCCACAGAGAATCTGAAATACCTTTCATCCAAACAAGCCCTTCTCGATTTGGCAGCTTTTCGACGATATTACCAGGCAAGTCTTTGCTTGCTTTGCTTTCATATTGCTAGAGAACTGGTAAACTACATGTAATAGGATGTGTCATATATGTTTGCTATGATTTGTGGATGTAGGAATCTTTGAATGTTAAGCTGAATATAAGTAATGGTGGTAATGAAAACCCCTGGTTCTTCTTCGGGATTTCTTATTCTGGAGCTTTAAGCGCGTGGTTTCGCCTTAAGTTCCCGCATTTGACGTGTGGGAGCCTTGCTAGTTCTGCGGTTGTTCGAGCAGTCTATGAATTCTCTGAATTTGATAAGCAGGTATAGTTTATAGTAGCATGTGTGGAACCAAACAATGTTAATAATTAAGGTTAAAAAGTACATTATAATGGTGTGAAGTCTTGGTGACAAGTTTTGATATTTTGTTACATTATGAGAAGATAGGTGAGTCAGCTGGTCAAGAATGCAAAGCTGCACTGCAAGAGACTAATAAACACTTGGAATTAGGACTTAAAGTAGATAGAAAGGCAGTGAAATCCCTCTTCAATGCCACTGAGGTTTCACTATCTCTCTACTTTCTAATATTGCTCTAGCTCTGTTTGTGACTGATAGTAATATAACTAGTAGAAGTCACACTAGTTCAATCTAACAAATTTTTTGAAATCTACAGCTTGATGTTGATGCTGACTTCTTATACTTAACCGCAGATGCAGCAGTTATGGCGGTAAGGATTATCTATAGACTATAATCATCTATTCAATTCGATCTTCTCTTTAAACTGTTTAAAATATTGCAGTTCCAATATGGCAATCCAGATAAACTATGTGTTCCCCTTGTTGGAGCAAAGAAGAATGGTAGTGATTTAGTGGTAAGCTCTCGAAATGTTTATCTCGCTCTCGATGATCTTCACGCTGCGAACCGCGTGGAAATTAACTTTCATTAGAGTTTTGTAATGCAGGAAACATATTCTAAATATGTTAGAGAGTATTGCATGAGACTTTGGGGATTACGTGTTCGAGCATATAACCGAAAACATCTAAGAAACACTGTAGTTACCGCAGACAGTGCATATCGGTTATGGTGGTTTCAATCTTGCACCGAACTAGGATATTTTCAGGTTGCACCTAGAAATGATAGCGTTCGATCTCAACAAATCAATACAGAGTAACATTATTCTTGAATCACTAGTTATATATATATACATTTTGTAAAGTCACATTTTTATTTGTTTGTTCTGCTAACTTGCATTAGGTTCCATTTGGATTTATGCAAGAGCATATTTGGGAAAGGTGTTTACCCCAAAATTGATGCAACAAACTTTTACTATGGAGGTGATAGACTCAATGGTATGTGACATTATAGACCTTCTTAATCAAAACTCAATTTTTTCTTTGCACATTGTGAAATGAAATTGGGGGAATATGCAGCAACCAAAATAATATTCACAAATGGGTCACAAGATCCATGGCGACATGCTTCCAAACAGAACTCATCTCATGAATGTAAAGTCTCTTATCATCCCTTTCAAAATAATATCGATTTTTGCTTTTTTCTTCCAAGACACTAAACTAAACAAGTTCATGCGGCGCCAGTGCCTTCTTACATGATGAAATGTCATAATTGTGGCCATGGAACTGATATAAAAGGATGCCCTCAATCTCCAATGGTCATTGAAGGTAAATTTATAAAGCATTTACGTGTTTTGTCCACATAGTCGTCAAATTAAAGAAATCAACACATTTTTCATTTTCAGGTAAGTCAAATAGTTGCAGCTTAGTAGATGATGTAAACAAAGTAAGACAACAAATGGTACAACACATCGACTTGTGGTTGTCTGAGTGTCGCAGATCGACTAGGACTTCAATATAGAGTTGCATTTTTAGAAAGGAAGAATATTCCATTCAGACAACAACAATAGTGTATAGTCTCTTAATTTAGTACTGACTTTTTCATCCAATATAGTCAACCTAACGAAGTCGTTTTCATGCTAAAAAAAAAATCAAATAAAATAAAAAAAAGAGTAGTCGTTTTCTATTTGTAGAAAATTGCTGTTTTGGTATTTATTGTATGTGTTATTAATAGTTTATAACTTATAAACAAAGACTGCAATGTAAAATACTAAAAAGTCTTTTAAATGTGTGCTCCTAGAAGAATCCATCATTTTTGTCATGGAAGCATATATATATATATATTGAATGTTCTATGTTCTTAAGAGTCTTTACATCTTGAAAAGTCCACCAAAACTCAAGATTATTATTCGTATTCATGGGATTAATTTTTACTTGATCTACTATACAATTGACCAGAATCATTCCATTCCCTATTAGTTAATTTTTTTTTTTGGTATTAGGCATGTAAATAGTGGACTATTGAATCATTTGTCGGAGAACAAAAATGTAAATATTTAAGGGTTATAACAATGATAAATACATCATGTGTTGTGTGTGCCTAGATGATCGCTTCGTTAATATGCGATGCTAAAGTCAATTTATACTAGTTCGTATAATCATAGAGTGGGTTCTTTGTCAATCCATGTCGGAGAGGAATAAATAAGTGATTACCATATATATTAATTGTTGAGATCTCTCCATTATTTGTGTCTTATTATATGAAGCAAGACCGTTGAATTTAATTTTGTTTTTCTTGCGCACGAGTGATCGATTTCTTCTTTTTTTCCCAAAACGCAAGTAAAATGTATTATTTCTTCTCATCAAGGTTATAGGAATGTAAAAGTTGATTATTTCATATTTTCATTAAAAAATATCAACAAGGACGATAATTTGTTTTCTTGATTTTTTTTTATCATCGCAAAATGTTTCAAACCGGTTCTACAGAAAAAAAGTTCTTATGAGTTTAAAATTTATAGATTCCTTTGATTTATATCATTGGAAGTCAAAGCTGTTTGTTTATTTCACGTTAAAAATGCATGTGTGATCCTATTTGACTTGATAAATACATTTTTAACAATGACATTTTAGTGAGATAATTCATGTCACATCGACCTATGATCAATCGTGTAATCTAGTTTGATGATACGACCATCATAATATGTTTGTATCACGAACTATATATTATATACCATTTTTGAAAAAATATATATATTATACAAATTAAGTTATATTATTTTATGTTTTTTTTATGAAGACTAATTGAGTTTTCTTTAGCTATATACATGTGTATTCATATTCGCAGATTCTTAAGACGAAAAAATAAATATCTTAACGTGAAATATTATACTGTTTTTCTTCTTTGGTCGTTGTCTCGTCGACATAATTCATCTCTAATAAGATATTTTAGTCGGTGGAATGATACAATTACTTTATGATATTTTGTCTTAACGCAAAAGATAATAAAGTAAAAAAAAAAAGCTTACCAAAAAACTATAAAGAGAAAGGTATAAAAAGCTTAACCCTAGACTAGTGAGAGAGAGACCAGAACGCATCAACATATATAATTAGCTAAGCTAAGCTAAGCTAGGTCTCTATCTTCTATCACTTCCTAGAGCTTTCTTTCTTTTTCACCACTCATGTTTTTCACTAGTGTCGCCAAAAAATAAATATCCCCAATTGTTATATATTAACCAACTTTTAAAAACCAGTTAATTTAGGTTTAAAGAAAAGAGAAAAAAAAAAAACATTATCCTACTCGAAATCATTACAACTTTAATAAAGGGCCTCCTCCTCACTCAGTATTGAAATCGTTTTGTCCACTACATTTTTTTTTATCTTATTATATAAAAAAAAGTTTTGTCAACTTAAGATCTCGAAATGAAGAAATTAAAAAGATAAGATTTATATTATATATGGTTAGGTAGCTAAGATCAAAGAAGACACAAAGCAAGAAACTACGACCACGACATGTAACACCACACACAAAACACAAACTAAAGTAGTTCAATTTCATTTTCGCTTTGGTCCACTTTTATTATTATATTAAATAAAAAATTAAAAAAACATATCTAAATAAATAAATTAAAAAAAAAACATAAACATAAAAGTCCGTGTTAGCTTAAGACACGAAGCCTACGGCTACGCACTGAGAACTTAAAAATAATAATATTATGGGAAAAGACGCGCGTGGTTCCCACTTCCCTCACCTTTGTCCACGTGGCACCATCCATATGCGCGGCGTTTTACAACTTTCTTTTTTCTCCTCTCTCATTCTCTCACACTCTCTCTCTCTCTAGAAAGTCAAAAAAAGGAGACAGACAACCAAACACTGCCTTGTCACATCTCTCTTTCTCTCTCTTCCTTTTTTTTTTTTGGGTGCTTGGGGGAGAGAGAGAAAGAGAGAGAGACGAGTAAGTCCATTTTTTTTCACATGTGCCCACTGCGTCTTCTCTCCCTACACGCCACCATCTCCACCTCCTCCTCCTCCTCCTAGCTCCGTCTTCAATTCCCAATTCCCCCCTAGGGTTTCTCTGTTTTTTTTGAACTTGTTGATTCACGACCACCTGATCTTTAAGTAGACTTCAGATCTTTCGATTTTGTCTTGATTTCTTCTTTTGAGGTTGGAAAGTTTTGTTCTTTGGGCGTCACGAAGAGCCGATGCCGGAAATCGATCTTATGAGAGTCGATCAATGTCTTTCCGATGTTGTTAAACCCCCTCCTGGATTCTTCGATTGCGGTCTTACGGTAGATGCGGATTCGAAGCTAGATGAAGAAGTAGAAGAAGAAGAGGAAGATTCGGATTCTTTGAAGAAGAGCGTTGGTCGTTCCACTAGACGTGGTCGTCCCCCGAGGACTTCGGGTGCTAGTAGTAAAGCTTCTTCCCCTCAGGTTTCCAGGAAGAGGAGAGAAGATGAGGATGTTTGTTTTGTTTGCTTCGATGGTGGTAGTCTTGTTCTCTGCGACCGTAGGTCAGTTTCTTTACTCAAATTGAGTAGATTCTTGCTTCTAAAAATGGAAACTTTTTTAGTTTTCCGATGTGAAATTGAGGGTTTCTTGATTTGTCAGGGGATGTCCAAAAGCTTATCATCCAGCTTGTGTTAAGCGTACTGAAGCATTCTTTAGATCCAGAGCTAAGTGGAATTGTGGTAAGTTTGTGGTTTACATCTTCTTTCAGATATAATTCAGAGTGTTTTTTTCAACTCTTTTTGGGAACTCTTTTAGGTTGGCATATATGTACTGCTTGTCAAAAGGATTCCTTCTACATGTGTTATACTTGTCCGTATTCAGTTTGTAAGAGGTGTGTTAGAAGCTCAGAGTATGTTGTTGTAAGGGAAAACAAAGGATTCTGTGGAATTTGTATGAAGACTATCATGCTTATTGAGAATGCAGCTGAAGCTAACAAAGAAAAGGTACTAGAATCTATCCACATTTTGTTGCTTGCACTTTTTCCTCAGCAGCACTATAATGTTATGTGTGGAACTTGCTTGAGGTTTCTTGTTGTGAAATTTGTTTTTTTTTTTCCTTCTAGCTAAATGTTTTACATTTACATTTTATAGGTTCAGGTTGATTTTGATGATCAAGGCAGCTGGGAGTATCTGTTTAAGATTTACTGGGTTTCTCTTAAAGAAAAGCTATCTTTATCGTTAGATGATCTTACCAAAGCAAGAAATCCATGGAAATCTTCTTCTTCTACTGTTCCTAAGAGAAGAACTAATAGTCGGGTTCATGAAAAGGGCGATGGGAATTCTCCTGGGGTTATCAAAGTAAGACGGGCTAAAGTAAGGAAGACGGATTCTGTTTCTGTGAGTAAATTGGGTCCTTCTTTAGATTCGAATAGTTCTCTGGGTGACAGACTTCCACCATTGACTAGTGCCACTGCATGGGCAACAGATGAGCTCCTGGACTTTGTGCGGTTTATGAAACACGGTGATATTTCCGTCTTATCAAAGTATGATGTCCAAACTCTTGTGCTGGAGCATGTGAGAAGGAATAATCTACAAACCTCTCCTCAAATAATGTGTGACGCTAGGCTTATGAGATTGTTTGGAAAGGAGCGAGTGGATCATTTTGAAATGTTAAAGCTTCTTGATTCTCACTTCCTCGATCAAGAGAGATTTCCAGTCACAGATACCTCAGCCGGAGGAGTCACTGAAACTATGTCCTTCCAGGTCGATGCTAGCAGAGGCTGTGATAGGTTAAATACGTCAGAACAGTACCAAGATAGGTTTAGTGCATCTAAACAGCATCAAGGAGAGTCACAGCAATTGAACATGCACAATTGTCATGTTAGACCTTCCAGTTCTAATAGCAGAAACCATGCCGTTGTAAAACCTGAAACATGTGCCCCTGTGTCCTATAAGCCCATTGATAGCTTGGATACAAACATGGTATGGTTATATGGAGATCCAGATGGGAAGATTCATGGACCATTTTCCTTATATAACCTGCGACAGTGGAATTCAAGCGGGCATTTCCCACCAGAGCTGAGAATATGGAGGTTGGGTGAACAGCAAAACAGCTCTATACTTTTGACTGACGCATTAAATGGGCAGTTCCATAAAACTGGATTGTTACAGAATCATTCTATCCCCAAGCAGGAAGTGACAGCTAATATAGCTAACGATCAACACAGGTCTGTGGCTGTTCCTAAACTAGAGAGTAGAATACTGGATTTCAGCCCCAACTCAGTGTGCACTGACCAGAGTGTCATATCTAGCAGTAACAGTGTCATCACAAGGAGCTCGGATGTGAGTAACAAAAGTGGAAACAATTTTAGCCGCAACATGCTGCCATTAGATTTTTCTCTTTCTAATGAAAGGGATAATGTGGGTTCTGTCTCTCTCTGGAACAAAAGAAAAGTTGAAAGTCCTTTGCTTGTACAAAGTCCCATAAGCTGTTCGCTTTCGCTCTCTACATTACCAGGAAACTCAAACTGCTCTATGCCACCACATGAAAGATGGAATGCTGGTCAGACAGATCCAAATGGAAACAATGCAGCAATGAATGCTTGCAATCAAAACAGTAGTCTTAGCGGCTCAGCTGAGAAACAAGTCACGGCGACAGTCCAGTCATGCGGACAGAACTGGAATGCTGCAACTCCAAGCAGTGCTTCAAATGTGTGGGATTCTAACACGGGTTTGGCGTCTTTCCCAGACAATCAAGAAATAGACTTCTTAGATCTCTTTAGTCCAACTTTCAAATTCAACTTTGCATCTACTTCCACGGAATGGCAACCCATTGTGGCTGGACCTGACGAATGTGACGAATCAGTCTCGGATCTTTTGGCAGAAGTGGAAGCCATGGAGTCCCAAAAACGTCTTCCATCTCCAACTTCAACATTCCGTGGTCCTGAAGAATTAGTAATCCGGCACTCTATAAACGATAGCTTTAGTCCTGCTGAAGGACATAGCCCAGCACTAGATGTAAGCAAAGGTGACTCCATGAGCTCCACAAACGATCTGCAAATGCATTCACGATCTAACAGCGCCGTGCACTTTTAGCCTGTGGGCTCGGTTCACAATAGAGAGAAAAAAACATAATCAGGGCAGAGGCTACCATAGATCATCCAGTGTCCTAGATTCGTCTGATCGATGGTGGACTATACCCTCTTTTTCTTTTTGCAGGACTATTACAGAACATAAATAAATGGCAGAATCATCATCATCATCATCATCATCATCATCATCAGCAGAGAGAGTGGTGCATATGACGGAAGATATATGATTCAAAATGTTTCTTCTCGGTATTTTTGGCTGCACCACACCACCCACCATTGTTTTTCTCAGCGTTTAGGTTTTGTAACGTCGTCCTGTGTCAAGATTTGCACAGACAGACCCAACTTCTGTATTTTCACATTGTTTGTACTTAGGAAGAAGTATAAAGAATTGTTGTTCATGGATGTAATCAAAATCATTGTAGGGATCATGAGCTTATTACTACAGTATTCTATATATATATATATATATATATATGATAATGATGATAGTGTAACGTTTCATTCTTATATTTTTTGAATGTTTCAGAACTCTCTTCATATCCTGACAAGTGTAGGCTCGAGTTTTTTCTAACTTAAGTTTTTGGGAAAAAATGAGAGACGAACTCGATTTGATCGTTTTCGGATTTGGAAACTTTTTGTTGTTTCTTCGATTTCGTTTGTTGTTTGATCGAGAGAGGTAAGTATCTGCTTTGATGGTGGAAGCTACGTCGAATATGACGCCGTCGCAAAGATACGCGGCGAGCGCATTGTTTGCGATCGCGCTTAACCAAGCGCAGATCAGCCAGACTAGGCCACTCGAAATCCCGGCCACCACAGACCACGACGGAGAGCCAATTAGCAGCGACGGTGATACTATCTCCGATCTCTGGGTTCACGAAGTTTCCGGCCTTCTCCGACCCGTTTTCAGGTGATTTTCTCCAATTGGATTCCGGTGTGAGGTTTGTCATATGTTCACAACGAAATCATCTGTTTATGTGTGTGTGTGTGTGTGTGTGTGTGTGTGTGTGTGTGTGTGTGTGTGTGTGTGTGTGTGATGTATATACATTTTGAAGCTGTCACTGTAATTTGCATTCAGATGTCTTCAGATTGATTCATCAGCTTGGCATGGCCTTGAAGAGATAGCTGCTTCTTCTCAGGCTAAGGATCATATCGGTGCGGTATGACTAATTTCTCTTCGTATCATGGAAACTTCATGTGTTGAGGAATGTGGAGCTCGTCTTGATTGGCTGCTACTTTTGGTTTATTGTAGTTCATCAAATTACTGTCAGAGGATGCGAGTAATGATGATGATGATGATGATGATGATGATGATGATTCTAGTGAAATGGTGGAGAAAGAGACGGCCTTAGCTAAAGCTGCTGATGCCATGGTTCAAAACATTCGAAGCAGCACTGTATCTGTGGAAGCTAAGATGGAGAAACATGTGGAATATGAAAACGAATGCCGTGAGAAGTATTCTGTTCCCGAGGCACAGTCTGGTGCTGCGGTCAAGGAAAACGACAGTCATGGGGAGGATGAAGTTAGAGATGGAGGTCACAATCATGGGACTGTTGAACATGAGAAACCTGTTGAGGAAGTAGCACTGCTTAGCCATGAGAGGAAGATTAATGTTCTTTACGAGCTACTTTCTGCATGCTTGGCAGATAAATATGAGGAGAATGAGAAATGTACAAAGACTAGGAAAGGCTATGATGCGCGCCATCATGTTGCTCTGCGGTTACTTGCGACTTGGTTTGACTTTCAGTGGATTAAAATGGTTTGTTTTCTTCATTTTTACAAGTTATTTCGTAAAATTTATGCTACCACACATAGTAACCTCATTGCTCCATAATAGCTATCTTGTTGAGGATTCAGGTTCTGATGATATTGGTTATGGGAAGTTGTAAGAAGCTCTAAGCTCCAATCACGGCTATTTGAGCATTTCCTTTGTGCTGAAATTCTTTTTCTGTATTTTTTAGGAAGCAGTTGAGACAATGTCTGCATGCTCTGCCATGGCATTGCAACAGTCAAGTGGAAATAAGGAAGAAGAGTCTCTGTCACCAAATACTGAATGGGCTAAATGGAAGCGGGGAGGCATTGTTGGAGCGGCTGCTTTAACAGGGGGTGCTTTGATGGCCATCACTGGTGGTATGGTGTCTTCTAATTTTTAAACTCCTTTTCCCACGTTTCAAAAATTTAGGCTTTAGTTTGAAAATGCTAATTCTTCACATGTTTCGATTACATATTATATGAAATAGGATTGGCTGCTCCAGCAATTGCTGCAGGGTTTGGTTCATTGGCACCAACACTAGGCACGATAGTTCCGGTAATTGGAGCCAGTGGGTTTGCTGCAGCTGCTGAGGCTGCCGGAACTGTTGCTGGTTCTGTTGCTGTTGCGGCATCTTTTGGAGGTAAATAAAAAGTAGGCCTCTGTTTTGGCTTCCTTTAAGGAAAAAAAAAAGGATCGAAATGATGATACCTGTATAATTCTTTATCTTATGTTTTGGTTCTTTATGTGTTCATGAATAGCTGCTGGAGCTGGGCTCACAGGAACTAAGATGGCTAGGAGAACTGGGGATATTGAGGAGTTTGAATTTAAAGCTATTGGAGAAAATCATAATCAAGGAGTTAGTTTTAATCTCTTGCTGCTGCTAGATCACTACAACGAAAGTTTTGGGATAAATTGACTATTGTTTGTGCTTCATGTTGAAATCTCTTTTCTCTGCATTAATCATTTTGTTGACGTCCTTCTTCTTCTTTTTGTTGGTATAATAGCGGTTAGCAGTGGAGATCTTAGTTGCTGGCTTTGTTTTAAAGGAAGAAGATTTTGTAAAACCATGGGAAGGGTTAACTAGTAACTTGGAAAGGTATTAACACGACTTGTTCTTGTGTGCATTTTTGTGACTATGATTCGTATAATTCATATGTTTGCTACAATTGGTTCTTAGGTACACAGTGCAATGGGAATCCAAGAACGTTATTGCAGTGAGTACTGCAATTCAGGATTGGCTTACTTCAAGTAATATTATATACTTTTTTTATCCATTTACGCTTAACTATGTAAATTTATCTTTATGTTATCGCACTCTAAGAATAGATAGTAACATCGACATGAAATTGTTGCAGGAGTTGCTATGGAGTTGATGAGACAAGGGGCGATGCACACTGTACTAAATTCGCTTCTAGCAGCTATGGCATGGCCGGCAACACTCCTTGTAGCTGCTGATTTCATAGATAGTAAATGGAGTATTGCTATTGACAGGTAAACAGAAAATATTTATTGAAATTGAAATGCCAAATGTGATGCAACCATTACTGCAAGTTTGCAACTAAGTTTATGGCTATTATTTTCGTAATATCTTATCAGGTCAGACAAAGCAGGAAAGCTTCTTGCTGAAGCCCTTCGAAAAGGGTTGCAAGGAAATAGGTATAATTAGTGGATAAGTTCCATCAGATCTTAATGATATGAAGTTATGAAATTAGAATTTTATATCAGCATGTTGAATTTTTTACTTTGGAAAACTTGTGAGGAATTCAGACCTGTGACTCTCGTTGGTTTTTCGCTTGGTGCGCGTGTAATCTTTAAGTGCCTCCAAACTCTGGCAGAGACTGAAAAGAATGGTATTTCTCCCACTCATATTTTCTCTTTCTTTAGAAATGACAGTCGATCTTTGGCTTAACACAAGTTTTTACTGTAGCTGAAATTGTGGAAAGAGTTGTTCTTCTTGGAGCACCAATTTCAATCAAGAATGAGAACTGGCCGGACATAAGAAAGGTAATAAACACTCTTGTGAGAGTTCCCTAACATTATGAACAATTGATGTCACAGTCTAGTAAACAAATCCATTATTTGGTGTTCTGTATCATCTTACATAAGTCTTTTGGTCGGTTATCAGATGGTCGCTGGAAGATTCATTAATGTTTACGCCACAAATGATTGGACCCTCGGAGTTGCCTTTCGTGCAAGGTATGTTGAATTGTTTTTCTACTCCCAATTTTTACCTGCAAAAATGAAAACTTGTTGTTCTTCGTAACTTCCGCAGTCTGTTGTCCCAAGGGTTAGCTGGAATCCAACCGGTCTGTATCCCAGGGATCGAGGATGTACGTATCTCATTTTCTCTCCTTGTGTATGTTTTATGTTCATGTTAAGTGAAATGAAAGAAATAATCAGACTAATCATGTTCATCATCAATTCATTACCTTATCATATAACCCCCAACATTTGCAGGTGGATGTAACAGATATGGTGGAAGGTCACTCATCGTACCTATGGAAAACTCAACAAATCCTAGAAAGACTCGAACTCGATAACTCGTACCCCGTCTTTCGAAACACTCTCTAAGTAAACCCAAAAGTTATGATTAGGACCATTTTAATCCAGATTCAGAGACCAGGTAAAAGTCTGAATCAGGCTAACGAAACACCTATTCTCCCTTCTTGTCGAAAACATACACTTTCACATCCAACATTTCCACTATTTTGCATAGAAACCTTACAGGATCTAATTTTTTTACCCGGAAAAGGTCAGAGTAACTCTGTTGACATTGTAAAGGATTGCTCTATGATTGAACTTTCATCACACCTTTGTAGTTAGCTGAACGTCTTCGTCTTGTCATTTCAAACCATTTACCTTATTCGGGTCATAGAGAAAACGATCAGTAATCAAATGGTTTCATCTTGATATCTTGCAATTCTCCATCTTGGAAATCTATTTCAACGATGGTTTCAAATTTTCAGTTTCGATGACGTTAATGTTTTTGCACTTTTGTACATTATGAATTTATGATCAATAAATTTGACATTCCATATGAAAGAAAAAAAAAAGGATAATCAACTTTTATTTTGCAGTTAACCGTATTGATACGATCTGCCCAAATCCTTCAGTTGTATTTTCCTATTCGAAAAAAAGGCAAAAGCTAACCCCAAAATCAGAATAGGTAATTTACCTAAAACGCCAAACAGAGCAATAAGGCCCAAATTAGGCCCATTACACAAAAGTCTAGAGAGGGTTATAAATATACAAAATTGACTCTCTAAAAAGCCATTCCTATTCCTCTGCCTCTCTCTCGCTTCTCCAGTTATCCTCTTCAAGTCGACTCCTTTTTTGCTACACAACAGTCTACAGGTTCCTGTTTCTTCTTCGATTCAATTTTTTTTTCTTTCGCCTCATATTAGGGTTTGTTTCGACCTAAAGTGTACATCTTTGATATAGAATTCGCAAAAGTAATTTGATTAGAAATTCAAATTTCGATGTTTACGAAACTAAATCCAATTGATTAGCATCCTTGTTGTTTGTGACAATCTAATGGTGTTTTCTATTTTCAATCTGGGGTGTAGCAATATAAAGTTTCGTTTTTGATGTATCGTTGGGGTTTTTAGTTGATCTGATCTGATCTCTCTGTTTTGTGTCAATGAAAAGGTTCGAGCTTTAGAAACAATGGCGGCCTTCCCCAACCTTAACTCTGACGCTGGATTAAAGAAGCTCGACGAGCATCTTCTCACTCGCAGTTACATCACTGGGTTAGATTATACTTCTGTTTTCTAACTGTGTTTGCTCTGATAAGATTAGATCCTAATTACTTTCCTCTCTGTGTGCATGTTAATGTTTATAGGTACCAAGCTTCAAAGGATGATATCACTGTCTTCACGGCTATTTCAAAGCCCCCAACTTCAGAGTATGTGAATGTATCTCGTTGGTTCAACCACATCGATGCCCTCTTGAGGATCTCGTAAGCTCCATTGCCTTCTATTGTTTACCATTTATATATGGATCAAAGTATTTGTCCGTTTATGTTATTTTCTTATATCTTGTCTCTATTTACAGAGGTGTCTCTGCTGAAGGAAGTGGTGTCACTGTTGAGGGATCATCACCTATCACAGAAGAGGCCATTGCTACTCCCCCTGCAGCTGAGTCTAAGGTACCTTTGATTGTTTCTATGGTTTCTCATAATGTTCTTCTTAAGTTGTACATCAGGGAGATTCATGTGTATGTATAATTCTAGGATACTGCTGTTGATGAAGAAGATGATGATGATGTTGACCTTTTTGGAGAGGAGACCGAAGAGGAAAAGAAAGCTGCTGAAGAGAGAGCAGCTTCTGTCAAGGCATCTACGAAGAAGAAGAAGGAATGTAAGTTTTGGTTTTTGCCTTACACTCCGTAGTTTTTAATCTTTCGAAGATGTCTTGGATTTCTCATTTGTATTTTCTTAACTTCATCAGCCGGAAAGTCATCAGTCTTGATTGATATCAAGCCGTGGGATGATGAGACCGACATGAAGAAGCTAGAGGAAGCTGTAAGATCCATTCAGATGGAAGGATTGTTTTGGGGAGCATCAAAGCTTGTCCCAGTTGGTTACGGTATCAAGAAGTTGCAGATCATGTGCACCATTGTCGATGACCTTGTGTCTGTTGACACCATGATCGAAGAGCAACTCACTGTTGAACCCATCAATGAATTCGTTCAGAGCTGTGACATCGTTGCATTCAACAAGATATGTAAGTTTCATGAACCTTTTCTCTACTGCCTAAATTTGTTTGATAAGATAATCTGGCGTGTAACTTACTGTGGATATTGAATTGAACCATAATGCAGGAGCATGGAGAAAAGCTTGGAGAAAGGTCTGTTTATGTTGTTGTTGTCATCTTCTTCTTCTTCTTCTATATCCAATTTTCAAAGTTTCTGTTATCTGTTTTGAGTCTACTATGTGGAAAGGCTTTGCTATCTCTGATTCCTACATATCTCAAATATACGAGAATCTTAAGTTTGAAACTATCGTTCCAGATTACATTGAATTCTAGATGACTAATTCGATTTGGAGAAGTGGTTTGATTTCTCCTCTTTCTATATAAAAAACAACTGTTGTGTCATAGAAAATGTGAAGCAAGAATCCATGCAAAGCACGCAAGATTTACAAAAAGTTTTATAGTAATGAGAAATCCAAAACGAAGGCAATGGGCGTGACGGAAGATTTTATGTAGTTTTCTACAGCCTCGTCTTCTTTTTGTAGTCTTTGGCGAAAATTTTTAAAAAGATGGTAGGTTTCATATGGGTAATGCATGTGATTGCTCAAGTTTGATTATTGTTTAGAAGACTATAAAAAGGAAGGGAATGGAGAGGGCTTTTGATAGAGGAGAGTCTCGATGGAGATATTGGTGAGAATGTCAAGCTTTGTGATGCTCTTGTTAGTTTCTAGTGCGGTGTTGTTGCTGTTGAGCTCAAGCTCTGTTCACGGGTTGAGGTATGGACCCGTGAAGAGGTTCTTTGATAGTAGTGATCAATCTTCCGTTTTGGATTCCAACAAAACGTTTCAAAGTGAGCAAATTAAAAAAGCTCGAAGAATGCAACAAGGTAACGTAGAAGGAGACTGTGGAGATTGTAGCGGTGGAGATGAAAGTTTTAGTGGTTGTAATGGAGCAGGAGGAAGTCCGGGAGAAAGCGGAAGAAGGGGTCGTGGAGGAGGAAGACGCCGAGGAAGAAATGGCAAAGGAGATGGGAAAGGACAAGATGATCACAATGGTGGAAAAGAAGATTGTAATGACCATAAGAAGAAGAAAAGAGATGATAGTAACAACGGTGATGGTGTTGGGATTGGTATTGGTATAGGTGTAGGAAGTGAACCTAGCCCTGGATCCGGAGGTGAACCTAGCCCTGGATCAGGAGGTGGTGGAGGTGGAGGTGGAGGTGGCGGTGGCGGTGGACCTGGTGGTGGAGGTGGAGGAGGAGGAGGTGGAGGAGGTGGTGGTGGAGGCCTAGGAGATGGATATGGATATGGCCGTGGATGGGGAAGTGGATATGGAGGCGGAGGCGGAGGAGGATGGGGATGGGGAGGAGATAGCAACGGAGGAGGATGGATTCCGGGAAACGGCGGTGGTTGTTGGTTTCCCGGTTGTGATAAGAAGTCAACGAAAGGTCAACATTAATCAAACATACAATTATAAAGACCGTTTTACACTTATCTACTATTGCCGTGACTTTTTTTTTTTCAATATGGATTCTTTTTGTGAGATGCTTCTGATTAGATATGCAATACAAAGAAAATATTTCTATTTGCTCTTGTTTACATCATTTCTCTATTTTGATAAAAGATTATGAAACACCCTCAAATTTGGAAATCTATATTGATAGATTGATGATATGTAAACAAAACGTGAAGGCCAAAGAGTGGACATGGTCGTAGTAACGTTAGGTTGGAGTTGTGTTAAGTAAAGAGAAGTTGGAAAGTGGGTGGAATGGTAGATCAATTTAATAAAAACTTTGGTTATTTTAAGACTAACTAATTAAAGAGAAAAGATTAGGCTTTCAAATTAGCTTTTTGACCATAATAGCTAGGCATTTCAAATGGTATAATTAAAATTTGTGCTTCCTTAGCTAAATAGAATACTAAATACATCCGTACAGGGATGGCAGAGTAGCCAATAATAACTTATCAACCTCATTTATTGGAATTTACTGCTATAGTGTATATAGACAATCCCTAATCATGCATAGGCACGTTACACAATTAACAAAAAAAAAATAACGTGTCATGAGTAGTCTTTTTCATATTCAATTTATCAATTGACAGTAAAAATGAAAAACAAATTATCCATTTTTGTTATTCACAAAACTTTTACTGTGGTCGCACATTTACAATATACTCTTAATCTCTTATTAATCTATTACGTTCGTTTATCTAGCTAGCTACTTCAACTTTTTCACGTATTTGAGTTCTAGATAATCTTGAATCAAAAGTTTGTTTATAGATATTTTTCTAAACAATTACACTAAGCATGCATACCAAGAAATAAAAATAAAGAAAGTTGAAAAGTTGATGTAATATAATTAAGTTCTTGGTGGGTTCTCATTGTGAACCAGGTATTAACATTTTTTGCTAATCTTGATTATACAAAATTCCTTTAAAGACATGACCAGCTATGCCCACTGTCGTCTGATATGCATATTGGCAACTTCCATCATCGTCGGCACCACTCATTCTAACGCATCGGAAAAGTGCATCCGAGATCACTTCCTCTGGAAATGTTGCATCTCGAGCTCCCATCTCTAACCCTTAACATATTACACATAGTTAGTGCAAATACTTCACAACAAAACCTATGTCAAATTCTAACAAGAACACAATGTTTATTGTTTCAATACATATATTTTTACCTTATTTTTACTTTTTACATCATTTTGTAATATATGACTAATAAAGAAAAAAGTGATGCATTAATGTCTTATAAAAATAAAGATAAAACTACATATTTTTTAAAAAAGTGATGCATTGTCTTATAAAAATAAAGGAAAATTAGTATTCATTTACTTAAAAGAAACCAAAAAAAAAAAAGAAAAACAATTATGAAACAAACAATATGAAAAACTATAACCAAACCTGATGAGTCTAAAGTAGCCGGTTGATCAGTCTCTCTATACGGTTTCGGGATGTTCCCAACTCGGTCGGCACCGGTGATTGGGTCGGAGGTAGGCGTCTGTATCCGCTGCTGCCGCTCACGGCGTTTGGCGATGGGGATCCACGTGCTCCTCACGTGAATGGGACAGTCGAGCCCGTGGCTCTTGCAGCAAGTTCTACACCGACCGTGAGTGCAACCTTTCTTGGCTTGGTTCCCACAGTCTTGACAGCTTATGGTTAAGGATCTCGATGACGTGGTCAAATCACAAACGTCCATCTGACCCGGATATAGATCGAGGCTTGGCTGCTGCCATATATGATTGTCGTGGACGTGGTGGCTAGTGCTCGTGCTTGGGTTATTATTATTTGTGTTTCTGTACCAAACCCAATTCGCCTTTTGTTGATTGTCTTCTTCGTTGTTTCTTGATGATCCTATCCCAGCCATTTCAAATTTTTTGACCTAGCTCTCCTCCTCTAACCCTAATCTTGAGTTTACAGTATCCACCATAACTCACAAACCCTAGTTACCATGAAGTCTTGAGCTTCTGATACCTCCGGCCACGTCGCCTTTTTTTTCTTCTTTTAATGATCTTTCTTAAAAACTCAACCCCTCTCCGACGATCATATTGTTTACTTTCATAGCGGTCCCCTTCTCTCTACCTCATCAGCTCATCTTTATCTCTTTCGTTCAGTCATTACTAGAACTCGTCTCACCGACCATAGCTTGCCATGTGGCAGTGATTGAACTGGAAAGAGTTGCACATGGGTTGTGTCCTAAAAGTCATATATTAAATATACATCAATCCTATATCATATGATCTTAACTATTCACATAAAGATTTTAGTTAAGGTAATCTACGAATTCATACGACAAATAATTTACAAGTTGTCGTAAATTTAGGTTTCTTTTCTTTAAAAACTAAATCAGTATATATAACTATGCACATGCAATCATTCACATTCGAGATTTTCATTGCATTTTAAATTTCAGTGATGAGACAGAAACTATGTAAAGTATTCTTCACTAATTATTATCTTATACTTCAATATATGTTTTTAAATTTATAATTCGAAGCTTCAAAATATTATAACTTTTATACGGGACGACGTACGGAGAAGCATGTTACTCTAATTTGTATAGTGTGGCGATTCATGGGAACATAGCGCCACCTAGGTGTCCTTTTAATTATGCTCTTTTTTGTATCCATCCCCACTATTCTCCATTAAGTTGGGTTAAATTAATATGAGGATAAAATCATAAGAAGTAACTTATTTTTAGAATAGAAATATAACAACACTCAACCCTTAATTTTAGTGTCATCTAGCTTTTGAGTTAATACTTTCACGTGTATGATGATGAGCAAGGAAATTAGTATATTCCCGCAGACAAAAAAAATACAAAAGTCGTTTTAAATTTAATTTTGTTATTTGAAAAAAAAAACAGAATAGATAAAAGAGGGATACGATAGTACCGGAAGAAATCAATTTGAGCGATTTTCGAGTCTATTTGTTTTATATATTCTTGATATACTCTTGATAATCATATTAACTTCTTTTTTTTTCTTAATTTTATCCAAAGTGTGAGATCTCGAGAGATATCAAAAAAGATCTTTCATTTCACAAATGTATTCTCGATATATGATCAAACTAAGTATTATTATTCATTTAATTTTAGCTTGAATTGCGAACAAAAATATCAATATTGTTCTTAACAAGATTTTGGAATAATTATTTGAATATTTGAATAAGGTTATTTTCTAAAAAAATAATTGAATTATCGGAGAAAAGCTAAATGATGTACGATAGTCGAATTATTAAATGAGAAATGATTTTCACATTTCGTTAAATGAATAAAATCCAATACAATCTAAATAAAATTTAGAGAAAAGAAAACTAAGCAAAACCTAAGAACACTAACTAAGTTCTGTTGTCTCATCCTCCGGCAAGTAGTATCGGTTCTTCAACCAAATAGAATCCGCAATAACAGACTCGTCATCTTTGTTCCTATGCCAAGTATAATGGGCATGAGTCCGGTTCTTTATCTCAAGCATAGCGTGTCCAAAACTCGCCTCCCTAAACGCTGAGTAACTTGGTTGCGGATCCGTGTAACTACATGAAAACAAATTAGAGTAAATCAAAAAGAAATTAAAAGAAAAAAGTTTTAATCAAAGTCAATATTTATATTTTAAACCTGTTAGCGAGTCCTTCTATGTTACCACCATCTCCAATGGTAATGTAAACCGGAGCATTTTGATCTTTAACCGGAGTACTCAATCCATCAGTGATATTGTACTTAATGTTGGAGACACGCTCTGAACGCTCGTAGGCATGAACATGACCAGCAAAAACAACATCGACTTTGCTTTCGACCAACCATGGCTCGAAGGTAACTCTCATACTCTCACCTTCCATATAGTGATAGTTGTTGCTGTTGTACCATGGGGCATGGACGATAACAATCAGCCAAGGAGTCTCTGAGCGGTTTACTTTCTTGAGCTCATCCTGAAGCCACGAGTTCTGAGGCGTGTACTTGTCTATAATAACGTGTCATAAATGAAAATAATTAACATTGTGATATTAAAACAAAATATAGTAGAGTACTGCGAGTATTAGATCGTACCATAAGCTGAGTAAGAGGAGAGTACGATGATGTAAGCGGAGGCTCTTTTGATTGAGTACCAGAGGGGAGAAGTACTCTGTGAGGCTTTGTAAGGAACATGGTATCGGTTCAAGTACGGCTTGAAGGGTTGTGTCTCTCCCTACAAGAGGATTCAACGTTTAAACCTTGAACCTAATATATAATGTAATGTTCTTTTATGGAGAAAGGTTAGATATCAATTAGATCTTACTAGCCACGCGGCGTAATCAATCTCGTGGTTCCCTGCGGCCCAGATCCAAGGCTGATAGGCTGCGCTTGGTTCCACAAAACGACCATATGAATCCCATTTCCTTTGGTCGTGGTTAGGAGCGTCATCAGCGTAAGACAAGTCCCCGGCGAAAAGAACAGCTTGGCCTTTTGGGTTCGACATGTAATTGTACAATGTCTGGTTCGAGGCAAAGGTCTGTCCCAAATCACCTATAAAAAATAAGTAACCGAGTCAACATTAGTAAAATTAGATTCAAAACATTAAATAAAAGGTACTGTTGATGAATTTATGAATCTTGTATATGGACTACGTACCTATAACACCGAATGTGTAAGGAACATCTGGACCGACCTTTGGTGGAGTCATGAAGTTGAACTGTCTAATGGAGCGACCAGTTCCAAGCTCGTAGAAATACTTAGTATCATACTGCACACAAAGGAAATAAAGGTTAATATATATTCAAGAACCCTATCTAGCTAGATAGATAACTTGGGAGACAAGTCAGAGTAAAAATGTACAAACCTCAAGCCCTTTAATGGTAGCGTGGTGAAGAAAACCAGATGTGTAATCGTGGAAACTGTAGGTCGACGTTGACGCAATAGCACTCATCTTTACACTACCATTAGTATCAGCGCTCCAGTAGCTAACGACATCAGAACCATCATCCATCTGAGGCGTTACCCACGAGATAATCATACCTCGGCCAGAGTGATCTCCTTGTGTGATGTGAACCTGAAATAAATGAACAAGAGTTCATAAGTTACCATGTGATAAAAGAAATAGATCAAAACGTAAAAAAAGTGATTCTATATAGAGTAAGTTTGAGAATCACTTGTTCGGGAGCGTTTAACCCGGCGGGAGGAGGAAAGGTTTCGAGTGGCATTTCTTCAGATGGCTCAGAGACTCTGACATAGGTACTGGTGACTCCGGCGTGGCTCACGGCAAAGATGCTTAGCAACACGACCGCAGAGCAAACGAGTGCTAAACAATTCAACTTCATTTTGAGTTTGTGTTTATAGAAATCTAATAGTGTTTTGCTTTGTAAATGACGGATGTTATGATAGTGATCGGTGTTTATATAGCGAAAAAAGAATGCTATAGGTATATTCCAGTTAAAATTCTTGTTAAAGATTTTATTCCAAAAAACAGTTTTTTTAAAATATTCTAAGAATCATTCCCGTTTGTTTAAAGATGTTTTCGTTTAAGATTTTTTTTTTCTTAATTACTAATGCTATTTAAAATATATTTGATCTTACTTTATTCAAAATATTCTACGAATCATTTTAGTTTGTTTAAAGATGTTTTTTTTTTGTGTAAGGTTTTTTCTTAATTAATAATGCTATTTAAAATATTTTTAAAATCCATTTTTTGGTGGGAATATATAATATAAATCTTTCAATTTGGTTTTAGATAGAGCAAATCTTAACAGAATTACAGAGATGATCAATTTATTTTTTTCTTTTTACAACATACATACAGTAGTACATATACAATAAAAAATGTATGAACTCTTGAGGGAGAGACCAACAAAAATGTGTGAACAATAAAAATCTACAAGAAAATACAATTTTTAATTCTATATATACAACAATAAAAAGGTGAAATTTCTCAAATCTGATTGATATGAAATCACTAACCCCATAATAATTTATCTATGCTTAAAAATAATAGACGTATTAAGAGTTTCCATTTGGTCTCTAACAAACGTAATTATATAAATAAGTAAATAACCTTTTCATTATAGAGATCAAATCATTTAAACTCACAAAATTCAAATTATTACACCACGAAATCCATGAAAACTCATACAAAATAAATTAAGAACACAAACATAAATACTTTTTAAATCTTCAATTTTATTTCACCCATTCAATATTACAAAATCAAGAGTTATTAATCTTCCTGCAATTCTTCCTGATCTCACCACTCGAGCCTGTCAAGGGAGAGATGTTTCCCATCTTGACCATCGATTCTGCGAACTGCTCAAAGAACTCTTCTTGATCCTCTGCATACTTCTTAACAAGCTCTCTCGATTGTTCATTGCTAGAGAACAAGACTTCGTCGGAATTTAACAGTCCCATGTTCTCGATCAAGTTCTTGAAGTAGCTGTTATCAAACCTCCCGGCACTGTTGATGTCAAGCTCCGACAGGTTCTGATCCCCACCGGACTTAGGGCACCTTTGGCGCAAGTTAGCAGCGTAGGATTGCTCTAAGGTTGTGTCGGGACTTCCGTTTCCAGATTGGTTGTAAAGTCTTTGTCTGAAACTTGTGCATCTTGAGAATCCAATGGTGTGGCTCCCTGAATAAAATTTGGGTAAGGTTATGATAAAACTGTCTTTGAAGGTTTAACGTTAGCTTCAAATGCAAGTAAAGTAATATTATGGCTTGTGTGTGAAGTAAGCTTACCGGAGAGAGCAACAACGTCAGTGAGGTCAAGACCTTGATTGTTAAATCTCGATACAATTGTGTTGAAAGTGTTGTTAGGTGCAGGGATGTTGTTGTTTGATCCACTCAAACTTGCACTTGTGGAATCTCTTCTTCCCAAAGGAACCGTCCAGCTTGGTCCACCAGTCTAAACACAAACCAAACCATACCAAATCAGATCTTGAAAATTTTGAATAAGCAATAGAGACAGAGGCTTAAAAAGAAAATGACTTACAAGAACAGAGGAGTCTCTAGCAGCTAGAGTTAAGGCGTCAGCACAAGAAACAGTGTTAGGGCATTCACTCTCCAATGCAGCTTTGATCTCGTCAACAACTTCATAGCCGCGAGCTGATCTACTGTTAGGGTTTGAGTTCTTCTCAGTAACAATATTCCCACTGGTGTCTAAAAGCAACGATCCATCACAACCCTACACAGTTTCAATCAAACAGTTTAAGTATAAAGATGATTCTCAACATTAGTAGCTAACTTGTTAAGAAAGTTACTTCAAAAAAAAAAGACTCATGCAGTACCTGAACGAAACAATCGTGGAAATGGAGCCTCATGAGAGAAGCAGCCATACGAGTCTCCCTTGAAACAGCTTTGGCTACAACTGACCTTACGATCTCCTCGGCTCTAGGACATGAGCTGCGGTAGAAACCTGGAAAGAGATTCCCTCTCTCACTGCCGCCATAGTTAGTCTCGTCGTCGCAGATGCAGAGAGTAAGAGCGTAAGTGAGATAAAGAAGAACGAGAAAGCTTCCGATTCTTGCCATTGTCATGTTCTTGCTAAAGCTAGATATATCAAGAAAGAAGAAAGGAGATAGATGACTTTGTGATGGTAAGAGATATTGAAGAGGAGAAGAAGTATCGAAAGTATATATAGGCGAGAGAGTTCGTGGATTCTGGCGTCATGGAGAGGAAAAAGCAAACGCTATAAGAGTCGGTACCTTGATTGGAGTCAATTCATTACTAATAAGTAATTAAAAAAATGACAATATGTATATTGTAAAATATGGTTTGAATTCAAAGAGACTACAAAATCTTGGGTTTGGTATCCAATAACCCAAGCTTGCATGAGTTGTTTGACTATTTCACCTCCATATTGTAATTATATAGTAGCTTTTATTGTTATTAAGGTTTTTATAAAGTTATTAAATTTAGTTTTGATTGGGCCAAAATAGAACCAAAAGTTAAAAGTGGTGATTAAGATCGGTTAAAACCATCTCCGATGTATATTTCTATTTTTTCTCTAAAATAAAGCATTGATTTGCTCCAGTTTATTACTTTATACTCTAAAATAGAGGTAGTGTAAAAATTGAGTAGAGAATAGAGTTACTGTAAATATAGAATAACTCTATAATTTACTCTATTTTAGAGCAAGATAGTAGAGTTGGAGCAAATTTTACTTTAAAATAGATTGAAGTTGAAAATACCCTAACAAGAAATTTGTGAAGAAACACTAATTATAAAATAATCATATAAATGGAAAATGGTGATTTGGTCAGAGATCTTATATGTGTTATTTTACTTGACACTTGAGATTTAAGCCTAACTATAGTACTAAAGAAAATGCCTTTGTGTAGTTTTACTTAGTCGTACTTTAATATAAGTATTAGTCTCTAGCAAATATGTTTGTGAAGGTTTAACAAGTCTTCTTTTGTATGATAAAAAAGACAAAAATATTGAGTATGAACAGTTTCTAACTGCTCTTTTGACAAAAACGTGAACACAAATCTTATATAATATAACAAGGTTTTTTCTAACTTTTCACTACGTTACGACATTTGGCGCTCTCTGTTGATGACATGTGTCATCCTTTATTTTCAATTAATTTTTTCCATTTTTATTTTTAACTAAAACATTTATATCAATCTTAATTCCAAATAACCATATAATTAGGTAAAAATAAAAATAAAATTATTATGAAAAAATTATGAGTAAAATTATTAATTGGGATCAAAATTCATTTCTCTAAAGCAAAAGATATAACAAAAGTTTTAAAACAAAATCATATATTGCATATGATATATCACATATATATGTATATATGATTTACTATCACATAATTAAAAAATCTATTTTACATAATTTTCTTACATTTTATTTAAATTTTCATCCATCATATTTATTTTATTATAAAATACTCTGTTCTTTTTTCACTTTAATGATGGAAGAAACTTAAATAAAATGTATGCAAATTGAGTAAAATAGATGTTTTAATTATTTGATAGTAAATCAACAATTGTGGGAGTTAATTCTTATTAATTTGTGTTGAATAAAATTGAGTAGAGAAATATAGTTAATGCAAATTTTTATAATTTCAGTTCTTATATTAAAGTGTGAGTTAAATGTAGAGATCTAATTAATTTTGTTATAATTGAATATATACTTTTCAGTTTTAAAATTAAAGTGAGAGATAGATATATATGATCAATTGTGTTTTATTTGTGGTTTGTTTCACTTTCTTCTTATTGGTCTATTTTTCTATAAAATGTTTTTTTTGAAATTATGTTTTCAACTAAACCAAAAATAAAACACATTTAGTTATATATATTAAACTGACAATTTAATATAAACCTAAAGAAAAAATTATTTTAATCAAGCCATAAATAAGAAAAAATTTGATCATCTATATTTATATTCAATTAAAACACAATTAATTATATACATTTAACTCACACTTTAATATAAAAACTGAAATAATATAAATTTGCATTCACTATATTTTTGTACTCAATTTTAGTCAACACTCAATAAATTAGAATTAACTCCTACAATTTTTTCTTCTAAATTGTAACTCTCATCACTTCTCATCTTATAAATACTCATTTTCTCATTCTTTCATTCCCTCCTCCTCTTCCACTTTATCTCAAATCTTCTATAATTGAGTTTGTTTTGTTTTCTGTTTTCTTTGTTGGTTGTTTGTTGTTGTATGAGTTGAAAAACAAAATTAATTTGCATTGTAAAAGTTTAATCTAAATTTTAATTTTAGTACTAGATGATATATATTTACATTGTTTTATATGATACTATTTGGGATTGTTCTTCCAAATATCTTGAGAGTAGGAACAACTGAAAAATAAATGCTCCAATGTTTCCTCATCTTGATTGCACCTCTTGCATATAGGAGAAATGCTAATACCCCATCTTTTTAACTCAGTAGTTGTAGCAAGAGCATTGTAAAGTATTCGCCAGAGAAAATGCTTAAGCTTAAGAGCCACTTTCATCTTATAATTAATTTCTCTCTCTCACATTCTCTTTCACTACATTCATGTATCTTAAATATTTTTCTATTTTTGTGTTGTTATATGGATTGAAAATCAATAAAAGTATCTTTCTAAGAATTTGATCTAAGTTTATTTTAGAAAGTATGATATATATCAAACATAGTTTCAATTTTTATTTCTAATGCCTTATTATACATATGTTTTCATACTTATGAGTATGAACGAAGAAAGTATTATATAACACATATGTAAAATAAAAGTTTTGATTGTTATATAAATAAAAGTTTCAATTTAAACCTTTAACAAATAACTTCTTCTATTTTTTGAAAATCTCAAATAATATTTTGTAATTCATTTCAACATATGTATAATTATATTTAGTTTGTGATCCAATAAATTATTATAATATTTAATTTATTTAAAATTTGAGGTCTAACTGTTTAAAAAGAAACAAAAAGTACTTGGCTTTAAAAAATTGGTCTTTATTTTTTTTTAAATCATATAGTTCATAAAAGTTAAATTTTGTTTAATTCATTCATCAGTTGAACAAGGTTTTTTCTAACTTTTCACCACGTTACGACATTTGGGGCTTTTTGTTGATGACACGTGTTATCCTTTATTTTTAATTAATTATTTTCATTTTTATTTCTTACTAAACATTTATGTCAATCTTATTTCCAAATAATCATATAATTAGGTAACAATTAAAATAAAACTATTATGAGTAAAATTATTAAGAGAATTTTTGAGAAATACCCCTTTTGGTGTATCCCTTTTTAAAAATACCCTCTTTATCTATCCATTTTCAAAAATACCCCTATTTAAATATTAAAAATTATAAAGTTTTATATAGTTTATAAGGTACTTATATATAATCACTACTACTGGGAGATTCGATACAAATATTTTAAAATGTTTTAATTAGTTTTAAATCGTTTTTATAAGTTTTATAAGGTTTTTATAAGGTTTTTATAAGGTTTTTATAATTTATTTTTACGCTATTTATGAAAGGTATATAAAGTTTTATACACATATAAAGATAATTTGTGTATATATTTACAAGCTTACACATATATTTACAAGCTTACACATATATTTGGATAAATTTCAACATTTTTATTGGTTTTTTTGATAAAATTTAAAAGGGGGGTATTTTTAAAAAGAGGTATATGAAAAGGGGTATTTTTGAAATTCCCCCAATTATTAATTGGGATCCAAAATTCATTTGTGTAAAGCAAAAGATATAACTAAAGTTATTTTCCTATAAATATAACTTGACATCTACTTCTGAATCCAATTTTTAATACCTAAAGTTCTTTTGCCAAAAAAAACAGATTATTGTATAATAAAATTTCATATTGCATATATATATATATATATATGATTTACAATCACATAATTAAAACATCTATTTTACATAACTTTTTACATTTTATTTAAATCCTATTACATTTTTATTACATTTTATGAATTAATGAACTTCACTAAAATCCTATTAAATTATAATATTTAATATGGTATGAGTTATACACTAATATCATATCCAATCTACACTCTACACTAATATCATATTTAATCATTTGTTCTAAATAATAGTCTTTCTTTTCATAACAATATAAATATCTAACTCAAGTTAGATTTTCCTAGAGAGACCGAACATAAATTCGATTACTTAAGAGCATTTCATGATTGTTGTCATGTACATATAATAGACAGATATATTCGTTCATCTTCTTTGTTAATGTTGATGTAAACATGTGATGCCTTTTTAATATAAATTCATTTCTTTAGCTTTTATAGTTATGTCAATCTTTATGTTTGTTCTTAAATCGTTTCAATATTAATTTTATTCTTGAACAAATTCTACATAAAATAATTTTTAATATATAAAAAAGGATCTCATCTACGTATATGTGAGCTTCTTTTCTAATCAATTAGAAATTTTTTTCAAATAATCTTCATATGTTGATTTGGCTTTTGCTTTATCTTTTTAGTGTTTACATAATTATAGATCAAAAGCTCTTATATCTCAGGTGAAATATTTTCTAAATTGAAATTTTTTTTCTAAGTAAGGTCTAAGAAAATCATATATCTTAGGTGAAATATGAGTTTTGTTTACTTTTAATATTAACGATGTACACACAAAATATTAACATCAATTTACAATTGCCTACTATATTATGTATGTGCTAATTTGTATCACTTTGTTTTGATCTCATTCGGTTTCATATTTTTCAAATATATATTTTATTTACTTTTATTGTTTATAATGTACACAAATATGTTTTATATTAACAGTTACGTATAAACTACATATCTTTCAATTTCTAATTCAAATTAATATTTCATATATAACTCACGCATCGCGTGGGCAACTTTCTAGTATATAATATCCCTCAAAAATTCAATTGTTTTTTTGACTTAAAACGATAAAAAATGCAAAAGAGATTTTGTCTTCTATCATAAACATGGACATGCAGGTAAAAAGCAACCGAAAGGGTGAGTTAACAAAATTAAGAATATTTCAACGCGTGTGCGAAGTCCTACGTACTTACACTAATAGTTTTGACTCTTGACATGGTCTCTTTCTAGAAACTAATTAATGATCAAGAAACGTAAACAAGAATGTAATCATATATGGCCATATGGGGTACTCGAACTGAGCTATGTTTTCTAGGCAGAGCCATTTCTAGAATCATAAGGACAGGAGACGATTTTAATTAATGGGTTTGTGATATACTAAAAGGTAAACAGTACATGCTAATGTCATTATAAATGAATAAGACTAACGAATTATTTAGGTTTGTTATTTAGGTTTGTTATCTATGCATTATTATCAATGGATTTAATTAACCTATTCGGAAGAAATTTTAGGTTATTATCTATGGATTCGTTTGGGTTACATGATGTAGTCGCAAGTTAACTTCAATATAATATAATTATGGTTGCACAACGACCAAAAATTATATTAGGTTTAAGCGTTTGTCAAAATACAAATCTCCACATTGTGTTGGTTAATTTAGGGTTTTATATGCTTTAAAGTTGGTTAATGAACAAAATGATTTTTTTTTTTTTTTTTATGGTTCAGAAGATTTGAGAAAGAAATTTTTAAAAATGCACGAAACTGGCGGTTAAAATGGTGTTTCATCAATTTATTGTAAGTTTTAAACTTTTAATCAGTGTTTTCGTTAATAATCTCCCTTTATACAAAAGAAACGGATTCTACTTTAGAAGTGGATGGCTATATAAGAGTTTACATTTGGACTTTTAACAAACGTGATTATATAAATAACCTTTTAATTATAGAGATTATTAAATCATTTAAACTTACAATATTCAAATTCTTGACACCAGGAAATACAGAATAAAGAATACAAACATAATCTTTTCCCTCTCAATTTTATTTCACCCATTCAATATTACAAAATCAAGAGTTATTAATCTTCCTGCAATTCTTCCTGATCTCACCACTCGAACCTGTCAAGGGAGAGATGTTTCCCATCTTAACCATCGATTCTGCGAACTGCTCAAAGAACTCTTCTTGATCCTCTGCATACTTCTTAACAAGCTCTCTCGATTGTTCATTGCTAGAGAACAAGACTTCGTCGGAATTCAACAGTCCCATGTTCTCGATCAAGTTCTTGAAGTAGCTGTTATCAAACCTCCCGGCACTGTTGATGTCAAGCTCCGACAGGTTCTGATCCCCACCGGACTTAGGGCACCTTTGGCGCAAGTTTGCAGCGTAGGATTGCTCTAAGGTTGTGTCGGGACTTCCGTTTCCAGATTGGTTGTAAAGTCTTTGTCTGAAACTAGTGCATCTTGAGAATCCAATGGTATGGCTCCCTGAATAAAATTTGGGTAAGGTTATGATAAAACTGTCTTTGAAGGTTTAACGTTAGCTTCAAATGCAAGTAAAGTAATATTATGGCTTGTGTGTGAAGTAAGCTTACCGGAGAGAGCAACAACGTCAGTGAGGTCAAGACCTTGATTGTTAAATCTCGATACAATTGTGTTGAAAGTGTTGTTAGGTGCAGGGATGTTGTTGTTTGATCCACTCAAACTTGCAATTGTCGAGTCTCTTCTTCCTAAAGGAACTATCCAGCTTGGTCCACCAGTCTACACACAAACCAAACCATACTAAATCAGATCTTGAGAATTTTGAATAAGCAATAGAGACAGAGGCTGAAAAAGAAAATGACTTACAAGAACAGAGGAGTCTCTAGCAGCTAGAGTTAAGGCGTCAGCACAAGAAACAGTGTTAGGGCATTCACTCTCCAATGCAGCTTTGATCTCGTCAACAACTTCATAGCCGCGAGCTGATCTGCTGTTAGGGTTTGAGTTCTTCTCAGTAACAATACTCCCACTGGTGTCTAAAAGCAACGATCCATCACAACCCTACACAGTTTCAATCAAACAGTTTAAGTATAAAGATGATTCTCAACATTAGTAGCTAACTTGTTAAGAAAGTTACTTCAAAAAAAAAAGACTCATGCAGTACCTGAACGAAACAATCGTGGAAATGGAGCCTCATGAGAGAAGCAGCCATACGAGTCTCCCTTGCAACAGCTTTGGCTACAACTGACTTCACGATCTCCTCGGCTCTAGGGCAGGAGCTGCGGTAGAAACCTGGGAAAAGATTTCCTCTCTCACCACCACCATAGTTATCCTCGTCGTCGCAGATGCAGAGAGTAAGAGCGTAAGTGAGATAAAGAAGAACGAGAAAGCTTCCGATTCTTGCCACTGTCAAGTTCTTGCTAAAGCTAGATATATCAAGAAAGAAGAAAGGAGATAGATGACTTTGTGATGGTAAGAGATATTGAAGAGGAGAAGAAGTATCGAATATTAGATTGTGGGCTTCCAACCTAAAACCAATTGGCAATGAGTGGAGAGGCCCATATCTTATATATACCACTTAAGATCCTACTCAACTTCCAATGTGGGATATTGTTATCCCTAATACGCCCCCTCGAGATGATGGTTCTTTTGCCATAAATCTCGGTATGTTCGGGCATTAATCGGTGGACCAACTATTGGACCAGACCGATTGTGGATTGGGTTGAGTTTGTGCGGACCGGGCTCTGATACCATATTAGATTGTGGGCTTCCAACTTAAAACCAATTGGCAATGAGTGGAGAGGCCCATATATCTTATATACTAGTCAGGATCCTACTCAACTTCCAATGTGGGATATTGTATCCCTAATACGCCCCCTCGAGATGATGCCTCTTCTGGCCATAGATCTCGGTATGTTCGGGGATGAATCGGTGGGCCAACTATGGGCCAAACCAATTGTAGATTGGGTTGAGTATGTGCGGATCGGGGTCTGATACCATATTAGATTGTGGGATTCCAACCTAAAATCAATTGGCCATGAGTGGAGAGGCCCATATCTTATATATACCACTTAAGATCCTACTCAACTTCCAATGTGTGATATTGTTATCCCTAATATCGAAAGTATATATAGACGAGAGAGTTCGTGGATTCTGGCGTCATGAGAGGAAAAAGCAAACGCAGTAGAGTTGGTACCTTGATTGGAGTCAATTCATTCAGATAAATAAAAAATTTAAATGACAATATGTATATTGAAATAAATGGTTTGAATTCAAAGAGACTATACAAAATCTTGGGTTTGGTATCCAAATGTCCCAAACTTGCATGAGTTGTTTGACTATTTCACCTCCATTTTGGTTATTTTAATAGTTTAATTTGTTTTTGTTATTAAGGTTTTTATAAAGTGAACACTACATTTAATGTTGATAGAACCAAAATTGAACCAAAATAAAACCAAAAGTTAAAAGTGATGATTAATTAATAGGTTAACATATGAACTAGTATAGATATAATTATGGTGATTGGGTCACAATTAGCACTCGGCAAATCTTTAAGGCGCTTTTTAGTTATTGACACTTAACATTTAAACCTAGCTATTTAGCCAAATACAATGTCTTGTATAGTTTTACTTGGTCGTGGTTAAGTAATAGTCTAGCAAATATGGTGATTATTACTGATTATTTACTTGGTCGTGGTTGAATGAAATATATTAATATAATTATTTATAAATGGTGATCCGGTCACAACTCACAAGGTACGCAGCAAATCTTAAACGCGTTTTTAAAAATTATTGACACTTAACTATTAAAAAACATGCATTGTATAGTTACTTGGTCGTGGTTATGTTTGTGAAGATTTCACAAGTCATCTTTTGTGTGATAAAAAAATAACTAAAAAGGGATAGAGTAGGAACAGTTTCTAACTGCTCTATTGAAAAAAATGCGAAAACTCAAAAATTTCATTTGTTTGTTGACTTATAAAGAATAAAATATGCAAAAGAGGTTTTGTCTTCTATCATATAGAACATGGATATGCAGGTAAAAAGCAAATCATATAAAGAAAAAAAACTACGAACACTTCAACGCGTGTGCGAGTCCTACTTGCACTAATAGTTTTGACTCTTGACATGGTCTCTTTTCTAGAAACTAATCGATGATCAAGAAACTATAACACCAAAAAATAGAATGTCACAGAGTATATGAGACGAGTTTAATTAATGGGGTTTATGATATTCAAAAGATAAACAGTAGTAGTATATATGATAATGTTGTTATTATTCACTTCAAATTACAACGGAGTATAACAACAATTTTTATAGATGAAAAATACTAACAAACTAACTATTTAGGTTTGTTATCTATGCATTATTATCTCAATGGATTAATCTCTTTCAGAGAATTTTCAGGTTATAATCTATGGATTCGTTTGGTTGTTGTAATTGCAAGTTAAGTTTAAATATAAAGTAATTATGGTTGCACAACAAACAAAACTAATTTAGGCTTGAAGCATTTGTAAAAAAAAAAGATCTTTGATTTGTGTGGTCGATAATTTAGGTATTGATATCAACAAATTTGATTGAGCAATCTTCTTAAAACAAGACGGGGTTTTGAATTTTGAGCCCATTACTTCAAGAAATGTAAAATTTGAAGGCTAGTTAAATATTTTATGACCTATTTCTTGATGGGCAATAATAACAACATTATCATACACTCATGAAAAATGTTGGAAAGTTTTTGTATCTACTATCTACATTTGAAATAAGCATGAACTCTCTTGATGGGTACCTTAATTAATAGTATCACTTTATTGATTAAGTTTCTATATTTTTCATAACACAATGGCTCACCATGTGTGACTCACGTTCTATGAGTAGAGGACACAATTCAGAGATTTGAAATTTAGTGGTGCTTTTAGAAAGTAAAAAAAATGGTTTTGGTTTAGTTGTTTCACTTGAGTGAAGACTGAAGAGTTGTCCTATTGGTCTAGGCTAATGATCGATTTCCCTCAACCGTGAAATTATTAGATATTTCCATTTAGTTTTCATCCGATTTTTTTAGATTTTAAGGGGACTACGGCTTAAGGCCCGAACCTCTGGTAAAAAAGAAAAAAATAAAAAAGAGTAAAAAAAGGAAACTAACAAACTAACGAAGTATTATCAGTTGAAATTGGAGAAATGATGGATCAGAGACTGATTTGTTTACAGTTAAAAAAAGCCGACCAGAAATAACTAAATGGGCCAAACTTTGAATTAACAAAAGAACACTGATTAGGCTTAGTATAATATGGGCTAAACCAATAATTAAGACAATATACTTGGACTTATTTTGCCTAGCTAAAAGTCCCATTAAAGTCCAAAACCGTAATTAAGACAAAGACACACACTTAAGTCTAATTTTTCTTTTCCTTTCTTTTAAATGTAAATTCTTAGATTCATATTGGCTTTCTCACGAGGGTAAAACTATTTCAGCCAACAAAATGAGTACATATATTAGACTTTAATTTAGTTCAATTGCAATAGAAGCATTAGCTTAAGGGTTTTAAACATCGCCTTTGCTACTAGGTAATTACAACCACGTACAAGCATATCATTATGAAAAGAAAAAAAGTTAAAAACTTAAAATTGATTAAAGGACTCCATTGCTTACATCTTGTACGACCGACGTTGTCTATTCCAATTAGTCTGCATGGTTTTCTATTCTAACTTGAATGCTTAATTAGTCTATCTTCCAAAATACACCACATTATATAAACGTTCTTAGTGAAAATATATTTGACAATACACCACTTTCTGAGTTTGAAAACCATATTTATATACAGTTTTGCTGACTCAAATTAAAATCCTTGCTGATACAACCATAATACAAACATAATGAACAAACGAAACGTGAAAACATAATATACTTGCATACCATATAGTTTTGGTAAATAAAACATAAAGAGTATTCAAAACATGGAGCATCAATATACATATAGCTCTCTTTCTAATAAAGGCATATATATATATATATATATAGCCTCTCGAAATTTACATGTCGTCGTATTTTCATCTCGACTAAACAGTAGATTAAGTCATGAACTAATCTGTCTTTGGCCTGGCGTAGAACACATGCAATCCGTTAATTAATTACCATTGATTAACAACTTCTCTGATCAGTCGCATGATTGTTTGTTTACGTGTAATGAATGAATAGGATGAAACATACGAGATGCTCATGTATCACATGTGTGTACGCACCAAGTCCAAACACACACACACACATATTACACATATATATAGTATAGTCATCATCATACCTAATTATTGTCTCGTGACATATACGAAAAAACAATAGCCGATCGTTAGTGATGAGATCGCTCTTTTGTATTATATTTATTGTAAAGTAAACAAATCGAAAGAAACAGCCAATTATTATTTTCAACAAGTGTGTAGCTTCTTCACAATATACAAGAAGAATAAGACAGCCAATAGTGATTTTTATTTTTATTTTTTGATGATGATGTTTTATTTTATATATTTCGTTTTCATACTTATGTCTTTGACATACATAAAGTTAAGATTGAAATCGTAAAGACACAAACACAAGAACAACTTTTCAAATTTATAATAGGATTCCAAAAAAAAAAAAAAGGAGAAAAGATTAAAGATAAACATATGCCTTATTATTCACTCATAATAATACAAGTGTACAATGTATGAAAATCCAAAAAAACAAAAAAAAAAAGTTATTAAAGTAAATTGACGTTAAATGTTTTCTTGGCCACATATGTAATAAATACAAGAAAATCTTTAAGATATACAATCATGTTCTTTTTATAAATGTTTTCGTTCGTACAATAAACTTTAACACTGCCATCACATTAAAAAAATATATAAAAAAAAAATCATTGATCATTTTGATTTTTGAATATCTGTCCTTTTATATAAATGATATTTTTCTTAAAAATTTCATTGATTGTTATGAATTTCTGTCCTTTTATAAAACAAAAATGTTTGACCAAAGAAGTTTTTAATTAGATTTTCTGATACACCAAAGATTTGCTCATATATGTTTACCTTTAACTTGCAAATATAAAAATCAAACCTAAGACATCAAATTTCAGGAACAATATAGTTGGATTTCTTGCAAATAAACTCTTCATATTGCCAAGTTGTGTGAACTCTACATTCGCTTTCCAAAAAATACAAACCAATCATAAGTAAATACGTAATAAAACATTAATACATATTTTCTAAAAATTTTACCATCACACATGCTCATTTTTAATAATTCTAAGAGAATATATGAATTTCTCGTTGTAAGAACTTCAATTTAATATATTATCTAATAAAATTATTTAAAATGTCGATAGCGACGACGACTTCACATAATTAACTTTTATTTTTTGAAATTTTCATTTATTGAATAGATTGATAAAATTACAAAAATGACTACTTGAAAGTTTATTTGCAGCAAAACTATATATATATATATATATATATATATATATATATATGTGTGTGTGTGTTATGGTTCTTAGGAGTGTTGTGGTCAGATAGATTAAAGTTTTTAAGTTTCTAGAAGTTGGTTGGGATTCTTTGTTGTATATGTTTCAGTTTAATATCTAAGAAACTTTACAAAAAGAATATACATGGAAGAATGGAAATCAACTGATACATTTGTGTTACTGTTTTTATAGTAAATCGGCAAAGTAAAATTTCTATAGTAGATCGGCAAAGTAAAATACATCACTGTCCTTAGTTGTTTTACGTTTCTTTATCTTTTTCTAAATTTTCTCATATTTGTTATTTATTTGTATTTGTTATTAATGTTATATAATATTACTTAACACATTATTATTATTGTTTCCGTTATAATTATAAATATTCATTATTTTAAAATATTATCAAGTTTATCATATAATCAAAAGAGAAATTATGCATAAATATGCTTTTCTCATAAGTATGTATAACTATGATAACTGATTTAGCATGATATATATACATTTAACAAATAATTTATAAATTTATCACGATATTATATTAGTTAACATATTATGGAATATGCCATATTTTGTATGGAATATGAATAGGAAATTTGTACAAAAATGTCATTTATAAAAGTAAAAAAATTACATGAAACCCCAAAATCATTATTTAAATAACATATTACTTACAATCGCATTTCAAAATGAACTTAAACCATCAATCCAAAAAAATCTCTCAAAAATGTGTTTGTCTTTCTTATTAAACTTACCAATCCAAATAGGTGCTTTTCTCTAAATACAACCACTAGTATGTTTTATAATCATACACAATTTTTGGACCTATATTAAATACTATATTTTTTTGTTAAGCTATATTAAATACTATAATCAAACCATATCATGAGAAACAATTGGAATAATTAAGGTGAAGACAAAATCATGATAACATAAACATAATCAAATTATATAATTATAACAAAACACACACCAATACATGACAAAGTACAACTCAATTATATATATGCCCCGAATATATATAAAAGTTTATATTTATCCCTTCCAACCAATCAAAGATGCATGTAGTATAATTACATCATCACACCAACCCAAAAACACCAAAAAAGCTAAACTTCAAAAATAAAAAACAAAAAAGGGGAGGGGCAATAATAATGATAATGATAATACTAATTATTTAATTAATTTGTTTGGTAATCAATACATATTGATATCATTAGCCATAATGGGATGGTTAGAGTAAACCGAACCACCCCAATGATTAACACCACTCATCATATCATCGTAATATCCGTCAATCCCAACCGTACGATCATCGAAACCACAGCCGTCGATCTGGTCACCACCACCAAATCCTGCACCGTTGGATTGAACAAGATCGACGATCTCGTTCAACGACTCGAGTCTGGTGCTAAGCTCCGTCATCTGAGCGGTGAGAACAGAGTTCTCGGCTTGGATCTTCATGTAAAGCTGAGATGTCACGGTGAGGCTGTTCAAGATCTGACGGTTGTCGTTCGAAAGCTGATTGATCTGAGCCGTTAGATCATCAACGTGTTTTTGTTTACGCATCCTCGATCTACGAGCAGATTCACGGTTCGAGAGCATTCTTTTACGTTTTCTCTCGTCGACGGTGACGACGGAGTCTGATGACGGGTTGTTATTACCGCCGTCGGAAGAGCTAGAGCTCCGGTAAGTACTGCTTGATGACGCCATTGATTCAAACAATTACAAAGAAACGAAAAATTAAAAAAAGGACAGATTTTTTTTATGTTTTATCTTATAAGGTTTTGTCTGAAAATTAATTGAATAGTTTTTTTTTAAGGGATTGATTCAGATTAGGAGTTTGTAACAATTCATGAAACGTTGTAGAACCAGTAGAGGAAGACGACGGAGAAAGATTGAACGAGATGGGTTCTACGGCGGAGAGCAGATTTAACCGTGAGCCCAGAGAGCAAGATTTCGCAGAGAACGGGAGTCATCAGTTTCCGATCATCAAAAGACTCTGTTTTTACGGTGGTCTGAATTATATGTTTTTGTGTGTTATGATGATGATAACAGAACAAGAGGAGAAGAAACAAAGAAACAGAGGAGGGTTTGGTTTTTAGGCTTATTGAAGAGAAGATGAAACAGAGAGGAAGAGATAAATAAAGATTATTGTGAAGAAGAAGATAAGGGAAGAGAAGATGAGTGAAGGGGAAAGAGGTTTTTGATGAAGGCTGTGTTGTGGATTATATAGAAATCAAGAATCTCTCATCCCAACCCACTTGGTGTATTATTTTTTAGGAAAATAATGGATGGTGGAAAGCTGTAATACGCGCCCATTGTTTTATCATTTTTATTAAAAATGATTTATATTTATTTATTTATTTATAATATGTAGGTCAGTAGGTGGGTGTAGTTTGCTTTATTTTTATTTTTTCTTGGTAATGATAATTTAGTTTTTTGGTAAAGACTGTGTATTTGTGCAATGTTGTGATTAAATGATAGGGTAAAGGTGGGTAAAAGTTGACCAGATATCAAGATTAATAGAGGACAAAAACAGTCAATTGTCTTGAAAATTGTATCTTGATAACTTGATTACTAGGAAAGCTACATAAAATCTTTAATGTAAATCAGTCAATGGTTTTTGATATATTTTTATACATTATATTATGGGTAGTGAATTAAAAGTGATAATATGGAAATATAAGGAATTTGTTTTAAAATTCATTTCTCTATGAATTGATTTTTTTTTAATAAAACATTATCATCAGAAAAGTTTTAGATAATGTTTTAAATATATACATATGACATAATATGACTAGAATATTTTATAACTTCATGAGGATATATATTAATATATGTAGTGTCATTTAATATTAATTTTTAAAAAATTTAATAGAGATATGTATTTATTTAATAGTGATATAACTCATTTAATACTCAAAGAGAAAAATTAATTATCAGAAGAATTATTGAAGAAATTGTCAATGCCACATGCAATGGTGCAAAGATAATTGAGGAATCTAAAAGAAAACACCTTTTGCAACCAAATTATCATTACCAAGAAAATTAAATAACATTATTTTCTCAAAAAATCTAGTGGAGTTATAAGGATATTCGTTATACAGGAATAGTTTATGAATAAAGAAAGGAAATTAATTTTTATTGAACTAGCTAAGTAATCCGTCTATATTTAAATCGATAAAAGATAAAAGAAAAACTAAAATAAGAAAACATATCTCACAACTTTCATAAAGTATATAGGAGAGGTTGGAAAATGCATGTCAATCTGGAGTAATGTGTGACATCTTAACCATCTTACATCAATTTATCTTAAAACTCCCTCTTCTATATCCATGCTAGAAGAATGCTTAATGGCAGAGTCAAAAGCTTTTTTGATTGGGGTTAAAATATACATTTTTAAATTATCTTTTTAATATGTATATAATCTATAGGTTTTGGACTAATTTTTTTTTTTTTGGTGTGGGTTCATTATAAGTAATTTGTATTGATACGGATTACAAAAATGAAAAACTTCATCTTGTATATTGAGTCCCAATAACACCACCTTATTATTCAAAAGTAAAATATCTGGTTTTCCTCTTTTAAACTTTAAAATGTAATCTAATTCCTATTCCTTGCTTCCCATATAAACTACAATATTATAAAAGAAAACACTTTGATATGTTTCTTGTATACTTATAATATACATAATCCATATTTGTAAATATCAAGCTCCCCAAAAAGATGAAGGGATAAAAAAAATGATGATCTACATAAACTTATTAATGACAGAAACAATTTATGATTAATCGTATTTATGTTAAATAATAAAGTTATTTCAAACGTTGAAACAACGATGATATTAACATGACCTATTAAATTCTAATATGTAACATAATTTGTTTTATTCATATGGATAGTCCACCATATTAACATATTTGTTAATCGATAATACTACAATTTAAACACACATTTATTTGCCAAAACAAAAACAAAAAAAACATATAAAAGTGTTTTTCTTTTAAGGTTAGTTTACTTAATTTTGTGTCGGCACTATGCCGCTGACTCGAATGCTAAGGCAGGCTGGTGACAACTTTAGTAGTTTCAGTTTCACTTTCACCTGATACAAAAATTTAGTTACCGTTGGTGAACTAAGCAAAGCACTGTTAATTTTATAGAATTTCACCAACTACAATGCACGACACCGTCATTGACGAGAGAATCTCTTTTCTTTATAGATCTTCTTGCACCGTACGAGACCACGTGCATTGCACAATCCATGTTCTCAATGAGCGGCTCTTAATATACGTCAAACCTCCAAATCTTAAAATTAAACTATACTTTAACCATTTGGCCAAAGAAACATCATTACTATATTACAAATAAAGAATGTATAAAAAAAGTGATTAACACTTAACCTCTAAGCAGATGCAGGGGACAATAATCACATGGGTCCATAGCTCATCTCTTCTGGAACTTCATTAACAACAACTTTTTATAATTGCGTAGTAAAATATTGTTAATTCTATCAAAATCACTCCCCTAATAAGAGATTAAATGACGACTGCTAATTGCTAATTAGCGCATTCGGGTTAGGTGAAATCACTATTAACATTATTATTTCTCTAATGAGTTTTATTTCAAAAAGATATATACATCCTTAAATTAATTAAATTTACTAGGAATATTCTAAGATATATACCATTTAAAATTGTTTTCAAAAACATCACAATCTTTTATATAAAAAAAAATCTTTACAAAAAGGCTTCCTAAATATTTTTTTGATATAATTTTTTCCTTCAACTTAATTCTCCACCATGTATGTATTGGGGAATCTTTCTTTGTCAGAAATTGTATAATTGTTGTTATGTTATTTTCAAGTTTTAAGTGTTTTGCTTTTATGAATGACGTCCTGGTTTACGTATCAAGTATTAACAAGTAGAAAACATATTAAGTATGTTTTCATGATTATAAAGATAAGACAATGCAAAGTTAGGTTAGAAGGGGCCATCATAATATATTGCATACTCTACTTTTTTTTGAAACTTTTTTTTTGTTATGTTAAATTGTTAATATGGTTCTTTATTAAGACCACTAGCATATACACTTTGCAAATTAGATGTGGTTAAAACTTCTATGTATTCTCAAGTTAATATGCATAAGGGAAGAAAACAAAAGCATTAGCCAAGATGAATATGTCGATTCCTAGAACTCGTTCACGGATGCTAAAACGTTCATATACTAAACTACCATATAAAAACAAAAGTGAATTGACCCAAGAGAGATAGTTTATTGTTTAAACAGTTTACGGCATAATACATACCAAATTACCTGAAGAGTCAATATATTTTATTCATAAAACTTAGTCATGTATTATACTACTAAGTCACTATACATGATCTTCTCAAAAAAATGTACGAAAAAATCGGGCTGCTTAATGAGTCACAAATGGTTAGCCTCCAACTTTGAGAAAGAAAAAGAAAATAGTGGAAAGATGAGGAGAAAAGTAACTGTTAATAATAAAAATAAAAAATAAAACAAAGTCACTGCATGCCCATAGGTCAGACCTTAAATTGGACCATTCATTTTAATATTAAAAATAAAAAAAAATCTCAATTAAAAATAAAATTTGTAAGAGATGTCAAATAGAATTTTATCTCACTTTAATGTGAGGTTATTAATTATATAAATATCTGAATGATGTAATTGATGAGGAATATTCCAAAACACCAATTTATTTTATATTCATTGAACCTCTTTATAAAAGTTTAAACATGTAATGGACATTTCAATGAGGTCACTTATCTTATGATTATTGAGTTTGATTAGTTTTATAAATGACTTATATAAGTCAGCATTTTCGGCACATTAATTAATTAATTCTCAAAAGTTTTTCTTTTGTTAATTTGTCTCAAAACAAAATAAAAACTTATATTCTAACATATATACCATTATTATGCTTAGCCATAGGTATTATAGAATAATGAATCCAATCCGAAACTCGAATATCCAAGCTTAAAATAGGTCGAATTATTCATTTTTGTAAATGGTCTTTTACGAGTTGAATACGTTAAAATATTTTCTTTAGAAATATGAGATACCAAGTCTTGAATTGAAGAGTAATAGATTCATTGTTTCAAGCATTAAGTATTAGGTATTTAGTAGTTGCTTCAATTTTTGGTGGGCAATATATAGTTTAATATGAAAAATATTATATATAATTCATTACAAACACAAAGAAAGAGCTACTATTATGAATACTACTTCACCACTAAGCAAAGCCTTCAAAGAGGCAAAAAAAAAAACCTTTATTTTACATCTGTTGAAGAGAAGATTTTGTAAAAAGATTACAGGTCATGTGCTTCTGTAAAAAGTGATTTGATTCTCTGGACTGCATCTTTAAAAAGTTTATTAAAAAAAAAAAAAAAATCACGAGGTTGTCATCAAATGATTTTGTTATGTCATATATATGTTTGTGCGTACGAAAATTATATTTTGTTTGTCATGATGAATTTTGTTAAATACATTTGATCATCTCAAAATTATACTTTAAACTCCAAAGCAGTTTATTTAATTATTCTGATTGTCTAAATGAAGTTTTTGTGTTATCTAAATGAGTTTTTTTGTGTTATCTAAATGAAGTTTTTGTGTTATCAAAATGAGTTCTTGTGTTAAATGAATATAGAGGCAAAAGTTATTTTTTCTTTTTACAAACTCTTTAGTATAAGAGGCAAAAGTTAATTTTTTTTTCTTTTGACAAACTCTTTAGTATAAGAGGTAAAAGTGATTTATGTTAAAAACACATGGCCGACCTCAAATTCTAGAAACCAGCTAACCAAAGTGATCTTTTTGAATGGATAATTTTTTTGAGAAAAGCTTTCATGTTAACATCAGCATGCATGTCAACTGCTTTTTTTACGCACGAATGTGTCTAAGTTTCGTGTCTTGTATATGTACGTAGTAGACCCTTTTTAATTTCTTATCGTGCATGTGGTCTAATAATCTAATTAACGTGTATTTATGATTTTGAAAACTCCATTGATATAATTTATCTAGAAGTTGATTATGTTAAATTAAAGCATCTAATCGTAAATTTGATTAATTCGAATCACAGCGGGAGTTTTAACTACATGAAGGTCCTGAGTTGCTTCATCAGTCATCACGAAAGGAGACTTAAAAAAGAACAAACAATAAAATCAATGGAATAAAAATTAAAATTTAAGATAATTTGCAATCACCTCCTTCTGCAATTTAACATTCAATTTTTTTTTCACTATGCTCATCCTTAAAAAAAAATATGAAATGCTCATCCTTACTGAAATATGTATTTTATCTTTAGTCATTTCTTTTAACTTATATAAAAAATACTAGAGATTTATTTTCAAAAAAGTTTGTAAAAAGGAAAAGATATAACCAAAAAAATAGACATATACTATAATTAACCAAATATTAACAAAATTGATCAGGTATTAATTGTTGATACACATTTAATTATTAATTGTATACAGTAGATAGGTTACAACAGTTAACACCTTTCTGACCCAACCACGAGCCATGTAACTCATGTTGCTTGAAAACTCAGCAGCAAATAACATTGGTCAGAAAGATGAGTTTACTGTTCTGATAACCAAGTGGGCATATACATTTATATGACCCTATGATATATATCTTTCTATCCCTTTTATTTTTGTCTATAATTTTTTTTTTTTTTTTAGATTCTAAGCTTAATGGGCCACATAGTTTGAGCTGTGTTTGGGGCCCTCTTAAAGTTTAGGTCAGCCCTATATCTTATTTACTGTATTATATGCTGTTCAAATATAGTATTGGAATGTATTACTTTTGGTAGGTAATGACCGATGCATCTGGGAAAAAATGATTTTCATCACGGACTGTTCAGATTTGATGGAAATAATGTTTTCCTCGGTATAATGGATAGCGTTTGCTACATATTTATTGGAAATCCAAACATTTAGGAAAGTATTTTCGTCATTTTCATTAGTTAAGATCTCTCGTTGTTCTAATGTTAAAACATATACTTTAGCACGCAGAGCGCGGACTGAACCGCTACTATGTTTGTATGTAAACAACAGTCCAAACTCTTGGCTCGTTAATTTGATTGCTGATGGAAAAAAGAATGTATTACCTATTCTTAAATTATTTTGCTTTCTTAAGAAAATAAACGGAAAAATATATGAAGTGACACATTATCCAGTTTTCAGTTTTGATGAATTGAAAACAATCAAACATGTTGGGACGCTTTGTAAAGGTAAAGAATAAAGAATCTGAAAAATCAGAGAAAAATAACATTTGTACTCTTATACACTTATACTCTGACCATATCTAATAATAGATGATTACTTAGCGTGGCTCGCAACTCGCAAGTGGACAGCTTTTACAAAAATACAGGATGATTTGGTCTGAAGACTGAAGTAAGTAAACTCATCATCAACTCAAAAATAATGTAAGAAGAAACAAAGGCCTTTTAACTTAGTAACAAACAGTCACATTTACAAAGTGGGAAAGAGATACTACTACTCACTCACTCACTCACTGCAACTAAATCAAACCAGGCGAGATCAAAGCACCAGGCCTTTTTTTTATATATATCGATTTGTTTCCGCGTTTGTGGACTCGCTATATAACATAACAACATCAAAGCTGCATTGTAGAAAGAAAGAAGAAAAAAAAAAACTGGAAAAAGCTTACTCTTGATGATCATTGATGATGATGATGATTAGGCGTCTGCGATTTCAGCTTCAGGGTGGTAATAAAGCATCTCGTTCCACATCATATCTCTGATCATTGGTTCCTCCATGTTCTCGTCTATGTCTAGCGAGATTGGGACATTTGCAGGCGGGTTGGATCCAGGATCAAACAGCCCTGCCATGTATGGGTGTAAGAGTGCATCTGTTACAGAGATTCTCTTGGTTGGATCGAACACGAGCATCCTCTGTAACAAATCTATAGCTAGAGGATTGGCTTGTGGATAAAGATTGGATAGATGGGTTCCTCTTGAGAAAGGAAGAGACTTTATAAACCTTCGGGCTTTCGGGTTGTCTATGAACCGAATATCTGATTCTTGCTGGCTACCAACAACATTGATGATTAGCTTAAGCTGGTTGAGGCATTCTGTTCCCGGGAAAATTGGTTTTCGACCAAGAATCTCCGCGAATATGCATCCAACTGACCAGACATCAATGGAAGTTCCATAGTTATCACAGCAGAGAAGGAGCTCAGGTGCTCGGTACCAACGAGTAACCACATACTCCGTCATGAACTGCTCATTGCCTTGGCTCGTTCTCGCCAACCCAAAATCACAAATCTTGAGATCGCAATTAGCATTGACTAAGAGATTCCCTGGTTTCAAATCCCGGTGAAGTATGTTTGCAGAGTGAAGATACTTCAATCCTCTAAGCAGCTAAACATAACAAACAAAACAAAAACTATGTCAACAACCAAACAATAATACTTGAACTGTAGACTTACTCAGGGGAGTTACAAAGTTACCTGAAACAAGAAGTATTTGCAGTGATCATCAGAAAGAGACTGAGAGGATTTGATAATCTGATGAAGATCAGTATCCATAAGCTCATAAACCAAATACACATCTTTGAAACTCGATCTAATAGAAGGCAACATAACATCTTTAAGCGCGATGACATTATCATGCCTCACATGCCTAAGAAGCTTAAGTTCCCTCAACGTCCTCAAAGCATCAACACGATTCTCAAACACATTGTGAATCTTCTTAATAGCAACTCTCTCGTTAGTCTCTCGGTTGATTGAAGAACAAACCACACCATAAGCTCCTCTTCCAATGGGTTTAATAGGAACATACTTAGTATCGATTTCGAACAACGTTTGCCACATCGAGTAGTAATGTTTCCCTTGTTGTTTAATCCCATTTGGTGGCTCAACTAACATCGCCATCTCTCTCTCTCTCTCTGCTAAATCAGACGACAACAACAGCAAAAAAATCCAAACTTTCAGTATTTTTTCCCCAAATTAGCAAGATTCTGAAAAAGGGTTTACAGAGATTTATCGAAATTTCAGGGATTTTGATGAATCATTGAAGCTTTTTTCTCCTTTACGTCTTCAAAAAGTGAAACTCCCAACTATAAAAATCATCTCTTTATATTATCCTTTTCTTTACTTAGCTATCAATCTTACTACTCCCCATAAAAAAAAGCAAACTTTAAGGGTAATCATAACCAAAACTAGAAATTAAGAGTTAACACAAACCAATATCAGACAGAACAAGAGATCGAACATACCCAAAACTGGAATTAAAGAAGCCGAACCGTTGCTGTTGTTGTTGTTGGTGATGGATGATCAGAGAAAGAAGAGAAGGGTATGATTGGATCTGAATTGAGATTGCTTCTTCATCATATAAGCTAAACAAGAAGATATAAGAGAGAGAGAGAAGAGTTAGGAAGTGATGAGACCCATACGGAGGAATGGGAATGTTAGAAGGAAGAAGAAGAAGAAGAAGAAGGAAGAAGCAAAATACGTTGGTTAATGAAGAAGCTTTTCTTTTTTAGGAAAAAACAAATAAGAAAGTCTTCTAATTACGAAAACGACATTCTTGTAGATATATATAGATAGATAGATTAGATATTTTATGTTTTGTGTGTGTATCAAAAAACTTCAGTTACAAAAACTATAAAATCAAAATCTCAAAAGTTTTGATGGACTCTTTATATTTTTGTCCATACCAAATCAAATCAGTATTATTTATTACTATATTTGGTAATTACTTTCGTAGTTAATTCAAAAATATTGAGTAAGATTTATTATTATTAGAAGGATTTTTTCTTGGTGTATATATATACGTACACGAATACAAAAAATAAAATTGAGGGTTTAAATGGATCAAGTAACCGGCTAAGCACGTGGGTGCAGTGAAAGGAGACACGTGGCTAACGTAGATTGGGAGCAAGGTCGAGTTGTTGTTGTCCGAACCGAAGTTTCCACTGAGAGCCGGTGAGGTTAAACCTAACTTAAAAGCCTCAAAAAGTGGCGTCAACTACAAAACCACTACTCTTGGTTTTGGGGAACCTTCTGTTTCTTTGAGAGTTAAAGAGATTAAAAAAAATTAAGTGTGGCTGCTGGGATTCGAGCCCAGGTCTCCACGGCCACAACGTGGAATTCTTACCACTAAACTACAGCCACTTTTGTTGTTATCTAATCGACGCTATATTATATAAACACGTTAATAATCATCAAAAATTTCTAAAATTGCAAAAAGCAAAACCTTTTTTATGTGGTAGTAAAAAAATTTAAGAATATTTTTTGGTTTTGTTATTACCTTACAGTATGACAAAGAAATTGCACACTAAATTAACTTTTGTATTAAAAAAATTATATCAGAATTCTTATAAATTCTTTGTGTTTTGTACAAATAATCGAGTAAACCATCTAATAAAGACGATATATACAGAGACAAAACAAAAACAGTTATTGTCTTTCGAGAATATGAACTTAAAGATTTAAGTCAGTGTCAGTGACATGATCAGTGCATGAATCACACTGTTTAAGACCGCTAGCTAGAGGCTTCGTCGTCCTCATATTCTTCACTCACCAAGTGAACTGCACAGAGATAAAAGCAAAGCAAAACAAAACAAACACACCAGTTTAAAAACCATGGCAAAAATCTACATAATGCTTGTACAAGTACTACAACAACATGTACACGTACCAGCTTCTTCTTCTTTTTCTTTCTCTCAATGTATGCAACGAGGTCCTCTTGTCGGCTAAGAGAATCATCTAGAGCCTGTGAAGATCCAAAAACTCTTTAATATCACTAGTGAAAGAAGCATTGCATGCATAGTGAAAATGGGAAGATGAGAAAAAAATGAGCTAGCTAGTGATATTAAGTTTATCTTTTATGTTAATTACCTTCTTGGTTGCAGCAAGTTCTTGTTCGAAGACATCGGCTCGGCTAATGGCATCATTAAGCATCTCTTCCTTCTCAGGAGGCATAGTTGCAGGCTGAGCACTCAATATGTTGACTTTGTGCTCAAGCTCAGCCATTCTTTTCATGACGGCCATCAAGTCTTCCCCTGAGATTTTGGCTGTTGACTGCATTGAGCTCTTGTTCATCGAGCTGTCGTCGCAGTAAGCTGGGGTCGAGTATATGGTAGACTCGGTCAGCTTCCTTGGAACGTTTTTACTCACTCTAATCATGGTGACTACACCCATCACAAAAGCCATGACGCCAGTGAATATAGGAGACCTCCCATTTTCATTTGTAACTTTGCAAGCTTCTTGAATTGCGTAAACATCCCCTGTTAAAAAACAGAGAAGTCTTTAAATACAAATCTTTTTAACTAGGACTAGTATTTTCGTCTTTAGTTGTGATTGTCACAAGATCTCGTATACCTTTTGAGATAGAAAATTTATGAGCTTCTGGCATGTTCCAAGCTGGATGAGCAACTACGACCTAGATGCATCAAAGATTTTGAATTTTGTGGACGTAGACAACATGTTTCAAACATCCCCAAGGAAGTAGTGTCATTCTTACATTTTTAGAAGGAGAGAGCTGTGAGTTGACATTTTCAGGAGCTTCCTCTGCAGAATCATTTACCTCGAAGGTGGTATTCTCTGCAGCATTTTCAGCTTGAGATGATCTCTTTGAGCATTTGTGGTCACCATTGTTTACTCTCTATAGATCAATGTGAGACAGAAACTATGAGCGTTGTTGTTGCTATAGTAGATCAAAAGAACTTGTAGAAAACAGACCTTCATAATATCTGGATTGTTCCATGGACCTTTGTCAGAGCGCATGCAACCTCCATTGTCAGCACAAGTACAAGAACCTCCTAGAAACTCGGGAAGCTCACTGATACAGAGAAAAGTGAAAATTCATATCAGTACTTACCTTAACAACATATATAAGCACTTGTATTGTATGAGTATATATATGCACAGTACTTCATTGAGAGGTAAGGTAGAAGCATTCTGTGGACTCACCTAGCGTCAATGATTTCAAGCAACTTGCTTTGATACTTGTTACCAAGAACCTGAATATCAAATAAGCTTATAAGTCAGAATATCTTTCATTAAGAACAACCAGAAGAGATAGCAAAAAGTTTTTTTAGATACTTGCATGGATCTTTGCTGTAGTCTTTGGGTCAAGGAAGGACTTAACCGTGTTCCACAACATCCTGAATCCTGAGCCAGCATTGATGATAAACATCCTGTTCAAGGTCTGATCCGAGGACAGATAAATGAGAACAAAATAAGTCGACTGACCAAGAATCATACATAAAACGATGATAGTATGTATAGAACTCACCTCGGGATAGTTGTCGCCATCGACCTTTTGAAGACGAGTAATCAAATCCCTTGCTGCCTTGTTGAAGTTTTTAAGCCCCTGCTCATTTTGGTATATATTGGGTAACGGTTTCTACTAATCACCAATCAGGTTTCTTAAAGAAAATTAGTTACCTACCACTCCTTGGACATCAAGAATTGTGGTACTTTGATCAATCTGCTTCTTTGCTGCAATGGAGCATGCTGGGAACTTAACATTGAAAGTCCTCTCAAACTCCATGACATGGTAGTTTACATATCTATCCATAGTTGTAACTTGCATCAACTTGGTAGAGTCTACTTGGCCTAGCCTCTCAATGTACACGGGTCTTCCTTCCTTGTCAACTCCATGGTGTCCATGAGGGTAGTATTTCAACACTTCATCTATTTCCTTAAACTCAAAATCCTATACATACAATGAAAAAGTAAATAATAAAAAGGTGAAATTTTCAATCACAATTTGTACCTTCAAGATTCCATAAAAGATACATACCTCCATAACTGTGTCAGCACCAAACTCCTTCCTCCATTGGAGCATATCTGACCACATTTGTTTAGTTTTCTCGAGATCAAATTTTCTTGCTTTCAAAAACCTACAAATAGAGATATTTACAATCTTAAAACTCTTGCTCTCATTTATCATTTTAATGTACATTTTCTTACCTGAGCATCATATGGTAATCATCATGTTTGTCGGGAAGTAGTTCATCGAGAATAAGCGCTTGGCGGAATGCATCAACCGCCTTTAACTCCTCGGCGTCATGCACATCCTCGATGATCTCAACGGACATCACTTTGCTACTCCTTCTCTTCTTAGTAAAGGAACAACTCAACTTGGAGCGACTCCTCTTCTTAAAAGAACACACATTGGGTCTTTCCAAAATACATACGTCAACATCTAATAAAGTAAACATCCAAAAAAAAAAACACATACGTCAAGAAAGGTAACAAAGAGAAGGATTCACACACACAGACACACAAAAAGAGATTTACCAGCGGTGAGAGACATGATGATGTATTATGTATAGAAGATAAGTGTGGAATAGGCAGATACGGGGAGGCGAGAAGACCACTCCAAAAAAGAGTGTTCTTATCATATAACCAAAGTCCTTTCAAAATGCCTGCATAGATCATCATAAGAACTCAAACAGAACACAAATGACAGACTTAAAACACAATTTTTTTATTTTTTTAATCATCTGTCCATAAGAAACACATGCATAAGAACATATGGAGGAACAAAAAAAAAAAAGAGAGAAATTACCTCTGCAAAGAGGAAAAATGAGAGATTGGTGTAAGATAAAAAAGAGAATGAACAATGTCCAAAAATATCTCTCTTGACTAACCATTGATAGTCTTCTTTGAAAGCTACACCCCATGTTTTTTTTGGTTTTTCTCTCTTGACCAACCATTGATCCATTCTCTTTTTTGTACATTCCCCATACGAAGAGAGATGACAATACTTGCCAAATTATAGAAAATGTAACGTGTCTATGTGAACGTAAATAACCATAATTTATTATAAGAATTAATTGTATAGAAAACATATAGTTAAAATTATTTTTAAAATTCTGCAGTCTTTATTAAAATCATTTTAATTATTTTTTATTATAATTTGTTTGTCAAAAACCAAACAGAGTCGGAATTTTTTTTTTTTTATCTAATAAGCTTTTCTTCCTTTTCCTTTCCCTTGCTTCTTCTTATTCGAACCATTCCTAGAACTATTGCGTATTGTTTCGTCATCATTAACTAATTTACAAGTAGCAGCGTCGAGCTCCATGGTTTTGATCCTCTTCTCAACAAATCTAACTACTCCACGAAGAACAGCATCAGTTTCATCGTCTTGCATCAGCTCTTCAGCTAACTCAGCAGGTGTAACTTGAGTAGAATCGATCAGCGCCTCGATTTCTTCGCAAAGAGGATGGTTTAAGCCGTCTAAACCAAGGTAATTAGTGACAAGTGTCCTGAAACCTAGACCTGTACAGTAAGACATGTTGATATGAACATCCATTCTTCCAGGACGTAACAAAGCAGGATCTAGCCTTTCTTTGTGGTTGGTCGTGAAGACAATGATTCTCTCATCTCCAAAACTTGACCATAACCCATCAATGAAATTCAAAAGCCCTGATAGAGTCATCTTTCCAGAACCATCTTCGGTTTCTTCATACTCAGCTTCCCTGTCTATCACATCCGCACTACAGTCAATACCCTCAATAACCAAAATCGAACGGTTCGTGGTAGATAACAAAACCCGCTTCAGTTCACCATTGTCATAGATTCTACTGAGATCAAGATCAAACACATCAAACTTCAAGTAGTTAGCCATTGCAGCAACCATGCTAGATTTACCAGTTCCTGGTGGCCCATACAACAAGTAACCTCGTTTCCAAGCTTTACCAACTCTCTTGTAAAACTCTCTTCTCTTCAAGAACCTCTCCAAATCATCAATGATCTTCTTCTTCGCATTAGGATCCATGGCCAATGTATCAAACGTCGAAGGATGCTCAAGATTGATACATCCCCATTCCCCACCAGCCATTCCATCATCATCGTCAGTCGCGTCCACATCTCTACTATAAAGCTTAACCACTCTCAGATTCCTCTTAATCTCCTCTGATTCAGCTACAACGTGGCTCAAGTAAGAGTTCATTACTTTGTCTCTAAGCTTCTTCTCGAACGTGAGCTCGTAGTATCGTTTCACTTTATTTCCTTTCTCGTTCTCCGATTGAAAAAAGAACCATCGCAGCTCGGAACCCTCGAAAGTATCCAAGATCTCTTCGCCTTTATCGATGGAGATTGCGAAGTGCTTCTGCTTAGGGAGTTTACCTAAGCGTAAACGCGTTGTCTCTGGTCCGATCTTGCTGCGGAGGTATATCTCGGCCGCGTCGAAGACTTGGTTCCTGTTCAATCCGAAGTTCTCGTCGATAACCATAGTCAGATTCTTTGATCTCTGAGTGAAAAACCGGTTGAGTAAATCGGAGATGTATGACCGGAGCTTCGCCGGTACGAAATCGTGCAGCATCGATCTAAAGAGCATCAAGAATCCGGTTAACGATGCGTACGCTGAGAAGAGCGACGACGCTGAGAAAGAGAAATCTGATGAAGGAAACATCTCTCTTGTTATGCTAGTAGCTCTAGGTTTTCTAAAAGTGATGGAATGAGTTATGAAAAAATTGTGAGGGGTTCGTAACTTTTATATATAACAAAAGTTTCTTTGAGGGAAACAAGAAAAGGAAAAGATGCATATATTGTAAGAAATAAATTTTACATTCATACAAAAAAAGAAAAACAAGAAAAGGAAAATGTAAGAGACTTGCGTCGCAAGGAGACGTCAATTAGTAAAGCGGTGGTGTCATTTACTCGTTAGTGTGTGGGTTTTGACGGTTCGTTTAGGGCCTGAAGGCCCAAAACTAAACCAAAGACGGCAAGACCACAATTAGCACCTTTTTACACTTTGAGGCTTTGAGCAATGAATTAAAATAAGAAAACTAAACTAGTGTAAACCTAAAATATTCAAAATATAAAATAAATAAAAAAATCTTCAAATTGTATATAGAAATGGGAATATACATATGTTTATTTCTATTACTTAAATATTTTAAACATGGTATTTTGATTCAACCTACTCAATCAATACCATACTTTCAGTTATACATCATGCTTATAATTTACAAATCGAAATATCTAAAATTGATTAAACAAACAAAAAAAAAACGTATGGACAGGCTTAATATTTTTCAGCACTAATTAACCAATACTAATTTTTCTTAAATTTCATTCAAATTATATTAGGAGTTGAGATATAATGGATGATTTTTATTAAAAATTAAAAAGATGATTAGTATCAAATTCAGCACTAATTAATCAAAATTATATACTCCCTCAGCACTCTATATAATGGAGAGAAGTACTTAGGTGTCAAAATCTTGTGAAATAGAACTATTTAAAAAAAAACAAATTATCGAACATGCTAAATTCTCCACATAGATTTTTAGTAAAATAATTCATAAACTCTAAAATATTTCAGGCATATAAAATATAGTGCTGAATTAAGGCAGTTTAAAATTTATGGCAGTCTAAAATATTTCAGGCATATAAAATTCTCCACATATATGTAATTAAAATATAGTTTCAATTGTGAAAATAATGCAATGCAGACCAGTAGTAATATTTATTTGGGGTAACATTAGTAAAAATAGTTATGGTGTCGTAAAGCTATTTCCTCAGAAGCTTCTCTGTCAACAGACAACTGTAGAATAGAAGCTTTTTTATTTTATTTATTTGGGTTAATGTTAAAACAAAAGCTTAATATATACCAAGTTACACAACATATCATATATACTAGTACAAATAAGCTTTGGCCTTTCCTTTCCCTTTTCCTTTTTGTTTACCACTTTTCTTCTTCTTCTTCTTCTTTACACAATCCAAAGAACCATTCTGTTTTTCATCATCATCAGTTGCTTTACAATTAGAAACCTCTTTACTGGTCTTGCTTCTCTCAACCTTCCTCTTCTCCACAAAGCTAACCACTCCTCGAAGAACAACATCAGTGTCATCATCTTGCATCAGCTCTTCAGCTAACTCAGCAGGAGTAACTTCAGTAGAATCAATCAGCGCTTCGATTTCCTCGCAAAGAGGATGGTTTAAGCCATCTAAACCGAGGTAGTTAGAGACCAATGTCCTAAATCCTAAACCTGTACAATAAGACATGTTGATATGCACATCCATTCTCCCAGGACGAAGCAGAGCAGGGTCAAGCCGGTCTTTGTGATTCGTCGTGAACACAATGATTCTCTCATCTCCGAAACTGGACCATAAGCCATCAATGAAATTCAAAATCCCTGACAAAGTCACCTGCAGCTCAAAGACAATAACATCACAGTCAGAACCAAATAATAGCTTCTCTTCAAAGATCAAAACCCAAATCAACAAATGCAAAAAGACTTCACCTTTCCACTCCTCCTCTCGTCTTCTTGATTCGCATCATCAGCTTCCCTATCTCTCACCTCAGCATTACAATCAATATCCTCAATAACCAAAATCGAACGATTCGTTGTAGATAACAAAACCCTCTTCAATTCACCATTGTCATAAATACTACTAAGCTCAAGATCAAACACATCAAACTTAAGATAATTAGCCATTGCAGCAATCAAGCTTGATTTACCAGTTCCTGGAGGACCATACAACAAGTAACCTCGTTTCCAAGCTTTACCAACTCTCTTGTAAAAATCTCTCCTTTTCAAGAACCTCTCCAAGTCATCAACGATCTTCTTCTTCGCATTTGGATCCATGGCCAATGTATCAAACGTCGATGGATGCTCGAGATTGATACATCCCCAGTTCCCACCAGCCATTCCATCATCATCATCACTCGCATACACATCTCTGCTATAAAGCTTAACCACTCTCAGATTCCTCTTAATCTCCTCTGATTCAGCTACAACGTGGCTCAAGTAAGAGTCCATGACTTTATCTCTAAGCTTCTTCTCAAACGTAAGCTCGTAGTACCGTTTCACTTTATCCCCTTTCTCGTTCTCCGATTGAACATAGCTCCATTTCACCTCGGAACCCTCGAACGTATCGGAGATCTCTTCGCCTTTCTCGATCGAGATTGTGAAATGTTTCTGCTTTGGGATCTTACCGACTCTTAAACGCTCTGTATCAGGTCCGATTCTGTTCCGGAGATACATCTCCGCCGCGTCGAAGACTTGGTTCCGGTTCAATCCGAAGTTCTCGTCGATAACCACCGTTATAGTCTTCGATCTTGGAGTGAAGAACCGCTCGAACAAGTGGGAGAAGTAAGATCGGAGCTTCTCCGGTACGAAATCGTGGAGCATCGATCTAAAGAGCATCAAGAAACCGGTTAAAGATGCGTACGCTGAGAACAGCGACGACGGTGAGAAAGAGAAGTCGGATGAAGGATACATCTCCGGTGAAATTTTCCGATGACCTAGAAATTTATATAACTTTCTCCGGTGAAAGAGACTGAGAGAGAAGTGTGAGAGAGAGATACTTTTTATAGACGCACATGCCAAATAGTTTTATTAGTTTTTTTAATATTTTTGTTCTTTGAACTACAGAAAAAATAATAAAAAGGAGTAAAGAGACTTGCAGAGGAAGGAAGGGAAGCTTGCGTCGCAAGGTGACGACGACCGTGTACACGTCAGAAGTCAATTAGTGAAGCGACAGTTGTCAGACGAATGAACTTGGTTTTTTACTCCTTTCGATTTGGTCCGTTGGATGAATATGTACGAATGCGTCAGTCTAAATCATTCTAGAATAATATTGAAAACTTGCTTCTCTCTTAGTGGGCTGGGGTTGTTCATTGTTGAGGCTCAAACGAAAACCCTAAGAGCCCAAATAAACAATACTGGGCCGGGGTTTAAATCTCTTACTGGGTCGGGGTTGTTTACTGTTAAGGCCCAAAAATAAACCCTAGGAGCCCATGGGAAAAGCAATGTCACCAGTTTAGAACTATAGTTTCTGATATGAATGATTTTGTCAACGAGGATGAACCATGAACTTTCTGAATTATTCTTCGGTATCACAACCGTATTATCAAAGTTTTGTTTTTCGTTTACTTTTTTTTTTTCTTTCCAGATTTGTGAAGTTTAGGTTTTATTTTTTTTAACTAGAAGTTAAGCCAAGTGAGAAATTGGAAATGAATTAATCATATCAATAAGATTTTTACACACAAAAAAATTAATGAACATGCACAAATCAAAAATAGATTATACAACTACTTAAAGTAGATAACAGGAGTATTAGATTTCAAATCCCACATTCCACTTTCTTTAAGGTATTCATGGTATCTAGAGAACTCTGGTTTAGCCGTTGCTTTCTTCTTGCTACCGCGACGATAACCACCAAATAAACTGAAGATCGGATGGCTTGGTTTGCTTGACACCACTGTCTTATTTGGTTTTTGGCTTGGAAGCTTTTCCAAAACCACAGGAAGATCTCCACCAAGTCGTATCGATGGAGCATAGTATGGAACACTAGTTGACCTCCTTAGCTTTGCTCCGAGTAAGCTAAAAGTGGAATCATCGCTTACACGCTCGTATCCGCTGCGACGGCTCCTTGTCCTCGTGCTTAGGGTTCTTAGCATTTGCATTTTCTGTATTGGTGTATCGAAGTTGAATATGAAGGTTTAAATCTTCTTGGAACAGAGGAGTTGAGAAAAGAGAGAGATGTCAAGAGAAAGTATATTGTTGTTTGTGGTTATTGTAAAGACAAGAGTATTTGATTGTCTTTATATAGTTTTGTTGATATAATATAAAAATCGAAGATATAATAATTATTGTGCATTGTTTAAAAGTTAAGTCGCCAGTTTGGAAAATTCAAACTTCGTTGGTCGTATCCTCATTGTTTAAGTTATATATATTTTAGTCCCGTTACAATAAACAAAAGACTAGGACTTGCATTGAGTTACATGATAAACGTTGTGTTAACACGGCGACAAAAAAAAAACGTTGTGTTAACACAATAGAATAATAAACACAAGACTGTTGACCAATAATTACAAAACAAAAGACTAATTACGTTAGAGTAGACAACATATATGTATTATGTTATTTTTATACTCCATAAACAAAAAAGATGGCCAAAAAGCACATGGTTGATGATGGGTTTTATATATTAATTAGTATATCATTAACAAGCTGCAACTCTACGCAGAACATGAATATTTTGTTTAACACGAAAACTTTGTTTAAAAGAAATATATGAGGATTAATTTTTGAGTTTAGTTTAAAATCATTGAGTATACTGAACTTACACTCATCTTCCCCATTTAGTTGCATCTAAAAGAGAATCTATAAAGCGAGTTTTTTCGACATGCTTGACCGCTAAATCCTTGAGTGCGTTATAGCAAATATGAAGAAGACCATCTTAGATGCTCCACATATTGATCATCATAAAGTTTCTTAGAATTATGATATGTTATGTTTTCGACAAGAGACTGTACGTCGTCTGAGATGTTATCAAGAACTTTCCAAGACCGGGGATGTATGATTTCTTAGTAAGCGGATTCGATGACAAGATCTTGACACAAAATTTGGAATCGATCGTTTCTCTGAAGGATAGCTCTTCTTAAACAAAGCCAAGCTAACAACACAAAAAACAGGCTAGCACGTAGAGTTAATAAGGTTTGGGGTAAAACTAAAAGATGTAAAGTTTGACTTATTTGTTTAGAAGAGTAGATTCTGATATAAGTCAAGTGAGAATTGGTAAGAACTAAAAGACTCAATATAGCTCATCCCACTTGAGCTTGCATAAATAAGTAATGTAAAATTCTTATCTCACATGATTAGATTGTCACAAATAGTATTACAAATGAACACAACATGATCATAACATATGATATATATACATCTATTTAAAGTAGATAACAGGAGTATTAGATCTCACATCCCACATTCCACTTTCTTTAAGGTATTCATGGTATCTAGAGAACTCTGGTTTAGCCGTTGCTTTCTTCTTGCTACCACGGCGATAACCACCAAATAAACTGAAGATTGGATGGCTCAGTTTGCTTGTCACCACTGTCTTATTTGGCTTTTGGCTTGGAAGCTTTTCCAAGATCACAGGAAGATCTCCACCAAGTCTTATCGATGGAGCATAGTATGGGACGCTAGTTGACCTCCTCAGCTTTGCTCCGAGTAAGCTAAAAGTGGAATCATCGCTTACACGCTCATATCCGCTGCGACGGCTCCTTGTCCTTGTGCTTAGGGTTCTTAGCATTTGCATTTTTGGAATTAGTTTTCTTTCTTTGTATGGTATATATATATCAAAGATGAAGATTCAGGTTTGAAATTCTTGGAAGAGAGGAGTTAAGAAGGCAATGGAGATGAAGAGAAAAGAAGTATTGTTTGTTTGTGGTTATTGTAAGAGAGAGTAGTAGTATGATTGTATTTATATAGTCTTGTTGATATATAATATTTAAATAGTGTAGTTGTAGGATAATTAATCATTGTGCATTGTTTAAGTTACGTAGCCAATTTAGAAAATTCAAACTTCCTCGGTCGTATCCTCTTTTCTATTAGTATTATATTTTCGTTTTCGTTAATAAACTATGTAGGATTTGCATTATAAACGTTGTGTTAACGAATAGATTAATTATATACTTAAGAAACACAAACTTATAATGTACTCGTCTATAAATATACTCAATAAACTAAAAAAAGATTGCCAACAAAAAGCACATGGTTGATGACTTTATGGGTTTATATATTAGTACACCACGTAACCAAATGATTCATGAACAGCTTGCTACAACTCTTGAAAACCTGATGTTATATGTGGTAGACCAAATCTTTTGCATATTAAAATGAGTCGAAGCATCAGTTTGCTTTTTTAATCGTTGGAGCTTGGAAGTTGCTGCTAAGTGCTAATAGTCGTTGGAGCTTGGAAGTTGCTGCTAACTAGAGAACTTTGTCTTTTGACTGAGGAAATTATATATAACTTGGCCAGTTTATTTCGCAGAAATATCCGATAAAGAATATATGTAATTCATGTGTAAAAACCAAATGATACACACAAATTTAGGAATAGCTTTTTCATTGACTATGTATTAATGTAAATTTTGCAAAACACTATCAAAGCTTGAAGAAAGTAACCCAATGTAATTTGTTTCACCATTTTGTACTCACTAGGAAGATTTTTACATGGAAATTATCTATCTTAATAATATTTGGAACCTGTTTAAGGCCAAGTCTTTTGCTATTTGAAATATTCACACTCAAAATAGCTTAAGTTTTCTTTTACCAAAATAAAATAGATTCTGCAAACACTTATCAAAACTGTAAAGTGTTTTTTTTGGTTCACATAACGAATTGTAGACCCAAAACCGATACTAATTTCCAAATCTGTGAAAATGTAAAGTCTTTTTTCTTTCTTTATGTTTAGAATGTTTACAGTGGCTAATCATGATTAAAAATGGTTAATTTAACTTATATATCATGAAATAATCTTACTTTTCCTAAATCACTTTTTTACACTTTGTCTTATAGAATCTAGTCTAGTTTATGTGCATCAAGTTCCATAACCTTGTTTGATTTCAAATTGGTGATGAGCACCTTAAAGAGGATTAGACGCCATCTAGGTAGGAATATCGTAGGAAATAATTTCGTATATGTAACGCCCGTGTCTGAAATTTTGGTGGTGTCGACCGACACCAGTGTTGGGTGTCGATCGACACCAACAAAATTAGGTTAGACGGTTTAGCATTTAAACTGTTGGTTTAATTGGAATTGATTGGAGAAACCCTAGGCACGACTTTAACTCGTAGAAGCAGCCTTTCTTTCTCACTTTTGGCTTTTGTCGCTTCTTAAAAACAAAAGAGAGAGAGGGTTGAGGGTTGGTTGTTCCTAAAGCTTAAGGAGAGGCTTGTGAGGGTTTCTGGAGGTTTTTGTGGCTAGTTTTGGTTAGTTCTAGCAAGGAGAGGGTTGGATTCGTGGCTGGTGGTCCAAGGAGGGGCTTGTTCTTTATGTTCCTCTTTGTTTTGTTCTTCTTTCAATCCATATCAAGGTGAGTGCGTGACTATGGCTGATCTAAGCATGTTTAACCTTTCTTATGTGTGTTTGATTGATTTGGATGGCTGGATTTGTTTTGTGTGGCCATGTTTGTGTGTTTTGGTTGCTGTTATTGTATGTTTGAGTGTTAGGGCTCATGGCTGGAGCTTTTGAGGTGTTGGATTCGTTCTCTGGGGAGTTGAGAGGCGATTTTAGGGTTTCTGCGGGATCGGTGTCGCTCGACACCAGTCTGGTGTCGCTCGACACCAAATTTCTAGACAGTTTTTCTGGACAGCGTGTATTTCGTGTCTTTTTATGCCTGGTTTGTTTGTTCTGGTTAATATGATACATGTTAGATTGGTTTAATATGCTTGTGTGTATAGCCCAGTGGATGGGAGGATCGCTTCACTGAGTATTTGTGATAATACTCACGCATCTCATTGTATTTGTGGTGCAGGTAAAGTGTGATCCGTGGAATCATGACGAGGAGAGGAGGATGATCTAGGGTCTCGGTTGTTATGTTTATGAATATGTTAATTGTTGTTGGAACCTGGTTTAGAGGCATGATAGGTTGCTGGTGTAAATTGTGGTTATTGAATGATTGATTAATTAATATTATGATTAATTGATGTTGGTTTAATATGTTTCCGCTGTGCATGATGATTTATTGTTGGGTTAATTCGGTTAGGTTAATTAGTAGGTATTGGACTATTAATTAATGAATTAAAAAAAAACGGGTCGGATCTTTTCAGTATATTTTATAGGAAAATTCCTACGAAATCCCTACCAATTCTAGTTTCTTAAGGGACATTTCTTACCAGTTTTTTCGTAGGAAAACGGTAAAAAACAAGCGTTTTTTACCAATTTTTTTTTTTTTCGCGGTAGGCAATTTAATGTGTATTTGTAGTGTATAACTAAAGTCACACCTCTCCGCCTTAGATCAGCAAGTGTCAAAAAAGGTGGATCATCCCAGCCATCGACATATTTGTTTGTCACGATGTAATCCAACTACAGCAAAAGAAAAGAAAAATAATACCACAACCAACTTGAATATCTGCATAAAATGCTCAAAGTTGTTCACAAGCTAGTTGAGTATTTTACCTTACACGCTTACAGTTTTTGTGACATTCAACCTTACGCTTACAATGTTAGTAGTATGAAGCACGTCAGGTTTCAAATGCAAGAGCACATAGCTACAATTACGCAAACATATAAAAGAAAGATCAAAACAACAAAGATAGTTTTAAGAACATCAGATACTTTAGATACATAAGGGATTTTCTAATAGTGAAAGTAAAATAGCATGGATCAGAAAATGAAGTTGTTAAAGTTATACTATTCCATGCTGCAAATAGCCAAAAGACCTATAAAGCTAAAGACAAGAGAGAGTCTATTTACTATATGTAACCAAAGATGAATGTAGTTTCACTTGCCTCTGTTCAGTAGCCAATAAGTTTCATGTGTGGAGTAAGTTCACTAGTATTGCTAAAGAATGACAATTAACTATATCTATCTATCAGAAAGTTTAAATTGATAGAACCTGATGAACATCATAAGCATGACCTCTCAGGAATCATTTCCACTGCCAAATCATACTCTGGTGTATGTAATCTAGAAAAAGGACAATGGTAAAAGTCAGATGAATTAAAAAAACACACTAATTATAACAATGTAGTTACCAATGATTAATACACTCGTCCTTCTCTGCTTCATAAGAAGTAAAATCAACATTATTTCTTATCAATGACACAATAAGTTTCTAGAATTTGACAGGATATATCAAGGATAGTGACGCTATTAAGACAACTAAGATAATAAGTTCTGCTATACTTACAAATCTCTTTGGCTTCAATGAGAACATCAACATCTTTCAAAGCACTTACCTGGAGCAAATCAAAATTAGTCAATACTATGGCTGGTCTATATTGCTCGAGAACATGCTTATAAGTTTAGACTCCATCCATTAGAAAGAGTATCTTCTCCGTAATACAAATTACATATATTGCTCACTTAATGAATTTGACCCCTCCAAAAAAAAAAAGCAAATTGAGAACAGCCTAACATACCTCATCACCATATAACCAGATCTTTGACAATTCAACTGTGTAAATAAAAGAGAAAGATATGTAAGTCGATGCAAACACATCAATGTAAACAGAAGAAAGAAGCTGGTAACTGAAAAGACAACCAAGGAAGGTGAAACTCAGAAGACAAAAGCTTCCTAGAAATCCTTCACAGTCCCTCGCAAAAGTAGCCACCATATTCGCCTGATAAGAAGAAACAAAAGCCAGATAAAAAAGAACTGACAAATCCATGAGACTATCAACATCTTACCTGACAAATTTTTGTGTCTCTCACTTGTGATTTTTCATAGTTATATCAACTGATTACAAACAAGTTTGAAACTTACTCTACACACAAAAAAAAAACAAAAAGGTTTGAAAAGCATATACCTGTCAAGAAGTCTGCTGCACTTGAAATCTACTCAAAGTCACATACCTGCAAAAAAAACAAAAAGGTTTGTTAGTTTTCATTTTACATGAATGTTATACTTACCTTGTTTGTGCATATTCTTTGTCTTACAACTTTTTAAAGTCGTTGAGCTAAACTTCTTTAGTGTGCTGGTTGTTTTTACCATCCAACAAGGCAACACGTCTCAAGTCTACACAATCTGCATATTTTTTTGGTCAAATATCTTTGTCTTAGACCTTTTTTAAGCTGTTGGTTTATTAGCTCTACTGTCTTGTCTTAATACTTGGCTAGACTTCATAAAGCCGTTGGTCTATTAGCTCTAAGTTCCTTGTCTTGTCTTAAAGACTTACTTTACTTGATATGTTGGTCGTTTTTTACCATCCAACCAGTCACAGTCTCGTCATAATACTTTAATCCGTTGGTCGTTTTTACCATCAAATAAATCGCAACTGGTCTCCTTACATGCATGCACTATCCATCCAAAAAGATCTGATTCAGTTCACAATTTGCCCGGAACAATGTCCTTAACTGCTTTATAATCTTATGCCTCCTTTGGCTTACAACTTCTTAAAGCTGTTGGTTTATAGCTCTTCTGTCTTGTCTTAATAGTTGGCTAGACTTCATCAACCCGTTGGTGTATTAGCTCTAAGCTCATTGTCTTGTCTTATAGACTTTTTTCCTTAATCTGTTGGTCGATTTTATAATCCAGCAAGTCACCGTCTCGTAATAATATCTCTTTAATCTGTTGGTCGTTTTTGACATCCAACAACTGGTCTCCTTACATGCATGCACTATCCATCCAAAATGATCTGATTCAGTTTACAGACTTGCTCGGAACAATGTCCTTAACTGCTTTATAATTTATGCCTCCTTTGTCTTACAACTTTTTAAAGCTGTTGGTTTATAGCTCTACTGTCTTGTCTTAATAGTTGGCTAGACTTCATTAAGCCGTTGGTGTATTAGCTCTAAGCTCATCCTTAATCTGTTGGTCAATTTTACCATCCAACAAGTCACCGTCTCGTCATAATATCTCTTTAATCCGTTGGTCGTTACTGGTTTCATTTCATGCATGCACTATCCATCCAAATAGATCTGATTCAGTTCACAAATTTGCTCGGAACAATGTCCTTAACTGCTTTATAATCTTATGCCTCCTTATACGCCGTTGGTCTATTTCCATAATATGTTGGTCGTTTTTACCATCCAACAAGTCACAATCTCTTCTTAAGATTTCTCTAATCGGCTGGTCATGTTTTTCCATCCAACAATGTCCGTAACGCCTCCTTTCAAGCAGTTGGTCTATTTCCATAATCTGTTGGTCGTTGTTACCATCCAACAAGTCACAACCTAGTCTTATGATTTCTTTAATCTCATTCCCTTTCTTTTGTCTTTTGTCTTTTGTCTTATATTCCCATTCTTTTATGTCTTTTGTTTTATATCTCATTCCCATTCAATGTCATTTAACTCCCAAAGCCGAGGGTACCAAACTTGAGAACTCTTTCATGTCTTTTGGTTCTTCCATGTCTTTTGTCTCAAATCTCATTCCCATTCTTTCATGTCTTAAAATCTCATTCCCATTCTTTTGTGTTCCAAAGCCGAGGGTACCAAACTTGACAACTCTTTTGTTCTTCATGTCTTTTGGTTTTGGTTCTTTCATGTCTTTTGGTTCTTCCATGTCTTTTGTCTCAAATCTCATTCCCATTCTTTTGTGTTCCAAAGCCGCGGGTACCAAACTTGAGAACTCTTTTGTTCTTTATGTCTTTTGTACTTTCATGTCTTTTGTAAATCTCATTCCCATTCAAAGTCATTTAACTCCCAAAGCCGAGGGTACCAAACTTGAGAACTCTTTGTTTCTTTCATGTCTTTTGGTTCTTCCATGTCTTTTGTCTCATATCTCATTCCCATTCTTTCATGTCTTAAATCTCATTCCCATTATTTTGTGTTCCAAAGCCGAGGGTACCAAACTTGAGAACTCTTTTGTTCTTTATGTCTTTTGTACTTTCATGTCTTTTGTAAATCTCATTCCCATTCTTTTGTCTTTTCACTCCCAAAGCCGAGGGTACCAAACTTGAGAACTCTTTGGTTCTTTCATGTCTTTTAGTTCTCATTCCCATTCCCATTCAAAGTCTTTCATGTCTTTCATGTCTTTTGGTTCTCATTCCCATTCCCATTCAAAGTCTTTGATGTCCTCTTTGTCTAAAATTTCATTCCAATTTAAAGCCATTTGACTCCCAAAGCCGTGGGTACCAAACTTGAGAACTTGGTTCTTTCATGTCTTTTGGTTTTTCCATGTCTTTTGTCTTAAATCTCTTTCCCATTCAAAGTCATTTGACTCCCAAAGCCGTGGGTACCAAACTTGAGAACTTGGTTCTTTCATGTCTTTTGCCTTAAATCTCTTTCCCATTCAAAGTCATTTGACTCCCAAAGCCGTGGGTACCAAACTTGAAAAACTCTTTAGATCTTTCATGTCTTTTGTCTTAAATCTCATTCCCATTCTTTTGTCTTTTGACTCCCAAAGCCGTGGGTACCAAACTTGAGAACTCTTTGGTTCTTTCATGTATTTTGCCTTAAATCTCTTTCCCATTCAAAGTCATTTAGATCTTTCATGTCTTTTGTCTTAAATCTCATTTCCATTCTTTTGTCTTTTGACTTCCAAAGCCGTGGGTACCAAACTTGAGAACTCTTTGGTTCTTTCATGTCTTTTGGTTCTTCCATGTCTTTTGCCTTAAATCTCTTTCCCATTCAAATTCATTTGACTCCCAAAGCCGTGGGTACCAAACTTGAGAACTCTTTGGTTCTTTTCTGTTTTTTTTTACTTATCAAGCCGTGTGATCATCCACCAAATCGAAACCTCTTTTCCAACTCGCAACATGCATGCACTACCAATCCCATAATTGTTTTACGTCTTTTGTCTTAAGACTTATCAACCCGTAGGTCATTCTCTTTCAATGTCATGTGACTCTTTATTTTTTCAAGCCGAGGGTACCAAAATGTGAGAACTCTTTGGTTCTTTTTTGCCTTCTGACTTATAAGCCATGGGATCATCCAACAAATCGAAACCTCTTTTCCAACTCGCAACAACCATGCACTACCAAGCCCACAGTTCACAATTTCTCTTTGGGACAATGTCCCCAAAATAGAATATGACAGAACACTATTAACATAAGTGTCTGCCTTTGATCTTTTTTGGGTTTTGAAAGAAAACAAAAAACGAAAAACATCAAAAACTAAAACCTCCAATATAAGAATCCGTAGACCAAGTAACCAAAACCAAAAACGGATCTGGATTCTTATTAAAGTGGATAATTCCTTTTTGTTTTAGGATCAAGAACACACAAAAAAAAAAAACCAAAAATCTGATCATAAATGGACTGATCAATTGTAAGACAGAGAACACACAAAATACAAAACCAAACCACAGGAAGAAAGAAAAACGGATAAGGCAGAGAAATACCTCGTCAAAGTGTAGACAAGCTTCATGGGTTAGACTCGAAACAAAATCTCCTTGAAACGTAGTTTAAGTACAGTACAATTAGTATGAGACAACGATCAGATAAAGAAACACGAAGAATATCAGATGAAGAAAACTAACAATAGATCACTTACCACAGATACAAAGTTGTAACTGTACATGTTTACTCGTTTGTGTGTCAACCAATAATCGAGAGATGGGCCTACTATCAACAGTATTGCAGCTTGGGCTGGAGCAGTATGACCCAGTAGGTTTAATGAGCTAAGCTTGTACTTTTGCTGTAGATAGTAGGTCCATACTGCAATCAAACAAAATAAACAGAGAAATTTGTGAAAATCTTAGTCTAAAGTTGGAACACGATAACGAAAGTTGAAAGTTATGTTACAAAAGCTCCACACAGTAACAAAAGCAGCAACGAAGCCTTTAGTGTTAACACTAACATCAGTAACAGTGCAAACACCAACACCAACAAGAACAAGTCCTATGCTAAGTTTAGTGTCTCTTGAGTAGCGAAATCTTATCTAACACTACTTCCAACAAGCACGATACAGGAATCTAACAAACAAAAGAGAAGTGACAAGATAACACCATTCAAAAATCAACAACAAGGAACGTTATATCTTATTAAATTGAATGATTCTTTTTTTTGTTGTTGGATCAAGAACACAAAAAAAAAAAAGAATCTTGATTCCAAAATCACAATGATACATAAGTCAATTACTTACATAACATTAAATCTGATCATAAATAGACTGATCAATTGTACTGCAGAGAACACACGAATTATAAAACCAAAGCACAGGCAAAAAAAAATCTAATTACAGAACAATTAGTATCAGACAACGACCAGATGAAGAAACACGAAGATAGATAAAGATGAAGAAAACTAACCAATGAACACCGAGGAGGAAGATGAAGAAACCAAGCCGTCGATTAAAATAGTTTGGTGCCTCACTAGATCTGTACCAACACAAGAACAATTAGTAACTTCCGCAAACCCTAAAAAAAAGAAGAGGATCGGAGGAAGAACCTTAACGAAATCACCACGAGGAAGAAGAACCCCAAAAAATTGTAATAGTTTCGTGCCTAAATCAAACAAGAATCGAAACCCTAGATCACTACAAACATATATAAAACGATTACACAAAAACTTATATAAATTTGTGATACAGAGAGAAGTTGAAAATACTTACTAATCTTCAGATTATTTCACATGAATCTCCTCAACAATCGTCGAAGCCTTCTTCTTTCGAAACACCAGAAGAAGAAGAGAGAAGTTTCTTTTAGGAAGAAATAAAAAAATGTAAAATTTTGTTTTGTGACAAATAATGTGATATTGCTTTCTTCATATATATCGTTGCGGTCTTGATGTAACGCGTTTCAATAACGGCTATAATTAAACATGGATTGACCGTTGATTCATCAAATACTTCAATCGGACGGTTGAGCTCTTTTCCACGATTAATAGTTTTTTTTTTGAATTGGTAAAACAAACGCAAACAAAATAAAATAGCGTTTTGCTAAACGGTCATATAAGCCCAATAAGGCCCATTAATTTAAAATTCAAAATTATTTTCGCTGAAGAAAACACGTTCGGAACTGACCAAAAATAAACCCTAACAGCAACACTTGAATTCTCCTCAGACACCAGTCTCAGCGACCACGACGACAACATCTTCTTCTTTTCTTTTTTCTTGGAAGCATAGGTAATCTCTCGTTAACCTGTGACGTGTCTCTCTGTTTTCTCATATTTGGTATTGTAACTATTGTTCTGTTCTTGCGTTCTGAGAAATTAGAACAAGTTGAATTGCGGTTAGGTCGAAATCGAACCGGGTTATGTCCGGTTAAATAGATTTGACCAAAACTGTAATAAAATTCTTTAAACCCTAGTTTCTTCTTCATCCGTCGACACTACTCTTCTTCCTCCTCTTTGTTTCCCGGTGCGATTTCTTTTCTTGTTTTGAGATTTTAGGTTTTCGTTATTTTGGTGATTCTCTCATTCTATTGATGATATGGATACTTATCGAGTCTTTTAATTCGGACTTCGGCTGTCTTGTTTTTGTTAACCATTAATGGTTTTGATTGCAGGTGGACTTATCAGGAGTGGTGTGTGTTAACAAATGGGTGCCAAAGGTTCGATTTTTATTTAGTTCAAGATTCATATTGTGTTTTGAGTTTGATTGATTTGAGATTGATTAACACTTTTGAGTTTGATTGATATAGCAATGGTTCAGAAGAGTGATAAAAAGCGTGGGAAGAAGTTGAAATCTAAGAAAGCAGAACCTGAGGAGCATGAGGACAGTATTGAAGAATTGAATGTAGATGATGATATAGAAACGGATCAGAAGAGCGATAAGAAGCGCAAGAAGAAGGTGAAATCTAAGAAAGCTGAAGCTGAGGAGCATGAAGAACAGCTTAAGAGGCTTCAAGAAACTGTGAGTCATCTTTGTTACATGTTTGTAAACTAGTTATATGAGTGGAAACTTGAGTTTTAACTCTTCTTTGTCCGCAGCAAGCTGAGTTTTTTGAGTATATGAAAGAGCATGATGCAGAGCTTCTTAAGTTTGATGCTACTGAAATCGAGGTGAGTTTGTAGATTGTATGTGTTAAACTTTGTGATGCGATTCCATTTGTGTTGGAAGCTTTTGTCTTAGTGATTTACAATGTGTAGGATGATGCTGATGTTGAACCTGATACTGACGTGGAAGACGGTGAAAAGAAAAGTGATGAGGAAACCCCAAATCTGGAAATTGCAAAGAAAGTGAATGTGCAGAAAACAATTACATTGGCGATGGTTGAATCATGGCGTGAGTCCATCCAGAAAGATGGGAAGCTAGGTTCTGTGCGTTCTATCTTGAGAGCTTATAGAACTGCCTGTCACTATGGTGATGATACTGGGGATGATCAAACGACCAAGTTTAGCGTTATGTCTAGCGCTGTGTTTAATGAGATAATGATCTTTGTTCTGAATGAAATGGACGGGATTCTTCGTAAGTTGTTAAGGTTTCCTGAAGATACTAGAGGAACAAAAGAGACTGTATTGGACCTGACAAACACTAGGCCGTGGAAGAACTATAATCATTTAGTTAAGTCATATCTTGGAAATTCTCTTCATGTTCTGAACCAGATGACTGACACAGGAATGATAACCTTTACTCTGCGCCGTCTAAAGCACTCCTCAGTTTTTCTAGCTGCTTTCCCGAGCCTCCTTAGGAAATATATAAAGGTGTGTTGGAGCAAAATAGTATCATGTGCATGTTTCTTTACGGTCCTTTCTTTGCTCACTGCACTGCTCTTCTTTTATCTAGGTTGCACTTCATTTTTGGGGAACTGGTAGTGGCTCACTCCCTGTTGTTTCCTTGTTGTTCCTGAGAGATTTGTGCATACGCCTTGGATCTGACTGTGTGGATGACTGCATCAAGGGAATGTACAAAGCATATGTGTTGAATTGCCAGTTTGTGAATGCTGATAAATTGCGGCATATATTTTTTCTTGGTAACTGCTTCATTGAGCTTCTCGGTACAGATATCTCTGCATCATATCAGCACGCGTTTGTCTTCATAAGGCAATTAGCAATGATTCTGCGTGAAGCGCTTAACACAAAAACAAAAGTACTTTCTCAATAATCTTCATAAATTGAGTTCTTCTGCCAACAGTTATGTGTTTTGAAAAGTTATTGTTACCTCTTATTTACATTTGGTTGTTTTTCCAGGAAGCATTTCGGAAAGTGTATCAATGGAAATTCATACATTGCCTTGAGCTTTGGACGGGAGCCGTTTGTGCCTACAGCTCTCAGGCTGAACTCAGGCCAGTTGCCTATCCACTAGCCCAAATAATAACTGGTGTAGCACGACTCGTTCCCACTGCTCGCTACATTCCCCTTAGAATAAGATGTGTTCGTATGCTAAACCGGATAGCTGCTTCAACTGGTACCTTTATACCCGTTTCAATGCTTCTTGTGGACATGTTAGAGATGAAGGAACTCAATAGGCCTCCCACCGGAGGTGTTGGCAAAGGTGTAGATTTACGAACACTACTGAAGGTAAAAACTTACTTGGATGGGTCTTTTATAAAGAGAAAATGATAAATTTTATCCTGCAAATTAACCATTTTGAATATTGAAATCTCTTGCTAGGTAAGTAAACCAGCAGTGAAGACACGAGCATTTCAGGAGGCATGTGTTTATTCTGTAGTGGAGGAGCTTGTGGAGCATTTGTCTCAGTGGAGTTGTTCCGTTGCTTTCTTTGAACTGTCATTTATTCCGACTATAAGGCTACGTAGCTTTTGCAAGTCCACTAAAGCTGAGAGGTTTAGGAAAGAAATGAAACAACTCATTAGCCAGGTACTTCATAAACGAAAAGAAATGGATTATATGATGTATCTTGTACTTGCAATAAACGAACTGACTATATTGAATTTTTTCTTGATGACTCCTTCAATCTCTCTTGCTTATTATATTCTTCTTTGCTTTTCAGATTGAAGCTACCTCAGAGTTTGTCAACAAAAAGAGAGCTTCGATTAAGTTTCTACCCAATGATCTTGCTGCTGGATCATTCCTTGAGGTTTAGTAACTCATATCTCTTGATCCATCTGAATATTTGCTGTTTTTCCACTAGTCTGTGAACTCTTACTGCAATCCTTAAAAAAGATCGATGGATACTACAAAGTTGTTATTGATTACAAATTTACAGATCACATGATTATTCCAAAATCATTGCAACGCATATAAACATGGCTTCATGATTTTTGGGTCTTCTTTGTTCAGGATGAGAAGAAGGCAGGAAAAAGCCCTCTATTGCAATATGCTGAAATTATCCGCCAAAGAGCCCAGCAAAGAAACGAATCGCTGGTGGAATCAGAGTGCGTTACATTCCTCTAGACAGTGATCACTTTGTATTCTTCTTATGACTGTGACTGCTACTAATAACCCGTTTGGTTTCTCTAGTGTTATTGTGGGAGAGAACTCAGCCGTCTTTGGGAAAAACATACCAAGCAGTGATGATGAAGATGATGAAGATAAGATTGAAAAGGGTGCTGCAGCTTTCAATTCTTCATGGTTACCTGGAAGTGACTCCAAGTATGTCTTTCTACCTCTTGAAATCAACATATATCAGGATTTCATATGGTAAATCACAGTGTTGTGTTGTAAATTATGGTTTGAATAAGGGTTGCTCCTGCAAAATCAACTCCCCAAATACAGCAATATTTAGATTGGGACTCTATTTTAAAGTACTTTGGATAGTTACGGGTGGCTCGATTAACTCGGGGAATGTAGATAGGAACCTAAAATCTGGTTGTCTCTTATGCATATAATGTCGAACTTTATCTAGCCGTTGTGCTATATAACTTAAAGCAAATGTGGTTGACAGAGAGAAAGAGCCGGAGGAAGAGAAGACTAAGAAGAAGAAAAGGAAGAGAGGTGGTAAGAGTAAATCAGAGAAAAAGCAGGACGAGGATGGTGCAGGAGAAGATGACGTTGTGGAGGATTTTGTGTTGAGTTCTGATGAAGAGGAGGATGATCTGTTTGATATAGGAGAAGACAAAGATGATGAGGAGGATGCAGCACACGAGATTGCAGATCCTGAGACAAAGACGTCTAATAAGAAGAAGACTAAGGGCACTTATAAGACCTGGCATAAGGCTTACAAGAAGACCAAGAAGAAGAAGGCACGTGTAGCTTAGTTTTTTTTTTGTATCTTCTTTTTGATTCTCCGAGGTTACTTTTCCGGATGTTTACCAAACAACAAAATTTTGGGAAAAAGAAAAGCTAATATTCCAAACTCAATGATTGTACTGAAATTGTTTTCATCGTCATCAGAAAGCTTTATGTTCGACAATGGTTTTTTGATGTGCATTACGCAAATGCACCAAGTGAAACTTTTACTATAGACGGCTGCTTCAGTGATACTGACATCAATGCGAACCAGGAGGGATGGAGGACTGGTTTCTTCATTAGCGTTGCAGGCCAGCTTTGATGTAAGCTGCGTAAAGATCCCTGTGTTTCAAAACAGTAGATTGCTAGTTATTATCAAAAGTATAGTGTAAATACTTAATACTTACGGTGTTTCGCATAAAACAAACTTACATGGAGTCCTTGATTGCATCTATGGCAGCTTGAGCTGGAAGGAAAGCTTCAACGTCGACTTTCTTGTTCTCGTTCTTCTTGTCTAAAAGTTGTTTGTTAAGTGAAAACTGAAACTAAAGCACAAGCCAACACAAAATTTCGAGTTAGATGAAATGTATGGATGTTATTTTGTGGATACAGTCCTCGAAGAAGCGGCGGATTTCAGCTAGACGGTGAGGGGGAAGCTCATTCAGTTCTCTGTAGTGACGGAACTCAGGATCATCAGCACATACTGCAATTATCTTGTCGTCTTTTTCACCCTGCAAGTTTCAGAACAAGGTGATTCATGGCTTCTTACAAGTATTACATGACATGGAAATAGAATTGGGTTCAAGGGTTGTTGTTACCTGATCAATCATAGGCATTAGACCAATAGCACGGGCACGGAGGAATGATCCGGTTAGCACAGGCTCCTGAACAATAATTTATCTCAAGTTAGTTATTTCACTGCCTATTTTCATCAAGTTTGCATGACCATAAAAGCTAAAAAGAGGAGAGAGAAAGCACCTGCATCAGCACCAGGACATCTATAGGATCACTGTCTTCACAGATAGTTCGAGGTATAAAACCATAGTTGTGGGGGTACACAATGGATGAGTAGAGAACACGGTCAACCTAGATAGGAAAAAGATTCAGTGGTCAGATTTTTTCCTTTTATGATGAAGAATGTTTAGGTGGAAATGCGTATAATGAGGCTTGATGATGCATATAACCGTATACTTAAACAAGAATATGAGGGATCAGAAGACATGTATATCTACTCAATCAAGCAATCAGGTTTATATGATGCACTCAGAGACTGCCAAAGAACACTGTACCTTAATAAGGCCACTGTTCTTGTCAAGCTCGTACTTAACCTTGCCACCTTTGCTAATTTCAACAACCTGACAAAGAGTTCAAGCTCGTTTATTAATCATAGGATCACCAGAAAGTGATGTCTCAAATTGATGTGGAGGAAAATGCATACGCAGTTGAAAACAGTAGGAGCTTCCGGACCTGAAAGATTCAACAAACAAACACTCACATCAAAGAATGAACGTTTAGTCATCCACACAAACATGATTGATCACAGCGACATGAATGGCTTTGACTCACATCACATGACTATAAAGGTAAGGATACATGTCACTTATATGAATCAATCAGAAATAAATTTCATGTATCACAAGATTAGCGTACCAATCTCCAAGTCATGCCAAGGATGTGCAGCAGCTTGGCGGTGAGTGAAGGCTGCAAAATTTCTCTCATTCAGGGTAACATTAGGGTTCTTGAGAGGGAAAGCATAGCCCTTGGCGCTTCCTTCATCCTTGTTATCAGCCATATCGAATGTCCACTAAAACTTGCAAACAAAAGGAGAGTCATTCAATCATATACCAAACTCAAAACAAATTCCTCACTAATGAAACTAATTAACCAATCATATTCTCCAAATAGCAAATCCAAGAAGAGAAATGAAGCAAACATACCAATCCACGATTATTCACTGTTCTAATGCAACTCTGTAACCATCTTAAGCAACAATCTAACAACGTGAGAGGCTGAATGTATCAGAGAAACACGAAGAACACAGATCCATCCTCGATTTCTTGATTTACACAAATCAAACACTCGAATCACCCAACTACTGTAACCTGTACTAAGCTATCAAATCGGAAAACCCCAAACTAATCCAAAACAAAACAACTAAATCAATAGATTGATCATCAATCAGCGAAGAACAATCCAAGTTCCCAGCGCTCAAAACGAAACAGACAAGAAAGAAATGAAAAAGAAACGCAAAATCAAACGAAACCGATCCGATTCAACAAGCAGCGATCACAATCAAGCACCACTAACACCAGAAGATAAACAAAACAAGACCTAATCGACGGATTTCGAAACGAAAACAAACGAGAGAGAAGAAGAAGAAGATGATCTTACGAATGCAATTTCAAGCTTCAATCGCGAGAACCCGTAACGTTTTTTTTTTCCTTCGTATTGAAGAAAACAAACAAGATTGTGCAGTTACAGTAAAGAGAGTATTCGTGTGAGTGTGAGTTCTTATGGCGCTTCTTTATGGGACGTTGGAGGAAGGAAGGAAGGAGACGATGACGTCACCTTTTTTTTGTCCTTGGTAATTGTACATCGTCAATTGTACGATGAATCTCGTCCGTTGAATTTGAAAAGGCCAAAATGGATCCTACGGTGGTAATGTTTAATATGTGTGTTGTACCTTTTAATTGAAGGGAAAAAGAAAAAGCGACGACACTAATGTACCAAAAAAGTATCCGAATGACAAATTGTTATATTACACGTGTCCTGAAAATTAGGCATCTTTCTTTCAGTTAATTCCTTATTTTATTTTAGTCTGTTTTTATTTTTGGCAACACATTTTTTTTCCTTTTTCTGTTTTTCTTAGGATAAAGAGATGGATTTATATCACTCATTCTTTTTTTTTTTTTTAATTGTTAATATCAAGGAGATATTTTTCATTACAAATTGTAAATTTTCGTTTTGGTCTAGGAAAATAGTTATCAAGGTTGATGATGTCTCAAACTAATTATATGTCTTCTACGGACTAGATATATATTTGATATGTTAAGTTTCTTATTTAGAAAAAGAAATTATTCTAAAAAAAAAATCCAAGAATGCTCGAAGATTCGGATCCGCAAGTCCATGATAAGTGATAACTACCAAAATGCACTTTACCAAAACATAGCTGAATACGTGAATATCACCATATTTGGTTTTGAGGGTTAACTCATAGGTTCAAAAATCAATGCAGAGAAGAACAAAGCGTTAGGCAGCAAAAGAAAAATATCGTAAGACCATGGGCATTGACAGGTCCCATGGCAGTCCCCCAAATTTTTAAGAAAAAAAAAAAAAGATTTTTTGTGTGCGGGTCGTTTTTTTAAATGGGACTGTCCCTCTTCCATTCGCGGGCCCCACTGACACGTGGCGGCCCGCGATTGGATAATCTTTTTTTTGTTTTTTTTCTTTTTTAAATTCTGTAAAAAGAAAAAAAAAAAATTTGGGACCAGAAATCGGTCCCTCAGATGCACATGCCCTAAGGCTAACCACAAAAACCTGTTTTATATAGATGTGAGCATCGAGCAGTAGTTCTGGTGACTGTCAACTAGAGAAAAAGTTAAAACTTCGGTTAAGGTCACAGAAAACAACAAAAAGATTCCGGTTTTGGATTCTTTCAACGTTTGGTCGGGCTTGTACACTACTATATATCGAATGGACCACTGCCAAGATAAATGTCAAGAATTCAAGATTCCTTTTTCTCCTACCCTACCCTGTGTCAAAAGTACAGTGGGCTTTAAAATATCTTAAGAAGCCCAAATATCATTAGAAGCCCAACATGATAAACAAAAATAAAGCCTTTTAGTTTCCCGGTGAGCATCTAAAAGCGTGACACGTGTCTTTTCTTCTCCCCCCACGTCATTGAGGTTTCTTCATCTTTCAGGAAAAAACCGAGCAAACGACTTTAATACGAATTAAGAAAACTTCAGACGAAACTGAGAAAAATTCAATTTAATTGGTTCAAATTCATCCTAAGTTGACTCGATTTCTCTCGGAAAGTTTCGTTTTTGAATCGATTTCTGAAGATTTGATTTTGAGATTATTAGTTGTGATTAGGGCTTTAGCCAGTTTTTGAGGTGAATTTACTACAATTTCCATGGAAGACGAACCAGGAAGCGAAAGTGAAGGAGACACCATAGTAGCTTCACCACTTGCTAAATGGAGAATCGAATTCTCGAGATCGTTTCAGAATTACATTGACAGATCTGCTCCTAACCTTGTTCGAAGATGGCTTGTGACTTTACTCGCTGCTGTGATCTATATCTATAGGGTTTACTATGTTTATGGTTACTTCGTAATCTCTTATGGTTTAGCTACTTACATCTTAAACCTCTTGATTGGTTTCCTCTCCCCTAAGGTTGATCCTGAGCTTGAAGCTTTGGATCCTGATTCTTTGCCTACTGATGATTCTGATGAGTATAAGCCTTTTGTTCGTCGTCTTCCTGAGTTCAAATTCTGGTAAAAATTTCTCTTTTTACTTTGATTATGGATGGTCTGATTCATGGGTTTGACTTCTCTGATGAAAAGTTTGTGTTTTTTTGCCAATCTTATTCAAGTTCAGGTAAATTTCGTAGTTTGGACATCTTACCAATCTTGTTATGTAACTGATTCTTGTGAGATCTTATTTAGGTTTGAATTGTATTGTACGAATCTTAGTTCTGCTTTAGGGTTTGAATTCTCATGATAGTTTTGTGTTTTTCTTATTGACAATGTTGATTCAGGTATGCAGCGACTAAGGCCTTTGTTGTTGCATTTGTGATGACTTTCTTCTCATTCTTGGATGTACCTGTGTTCTGGCCCATCTTGTTGTGTTACTGGTTGGTTCTGTATTCTCTTACTATGAAACGCTTAATTGTGCACATGTTCAAGTATAGATACTTCCCTTTCGACGTTAGAAAGCCCTTAAAGCTGTTCAAGATGCTTGCTGATAGTGTCCTGTCCTTTTTAAGAATCAAGGTAAATTCTGTAATGGGTGATTTTTATTCGATGTGTTTTGGATATTAGTCTTGAAATCTCTGGTTTTGAAAGTTAGATTGATGAACATAGACTGTGTTGATGATTTTGACAGAGGGATGATGGTGGAAATGATGCTCCAAGTAGCAGCAATTCATCTCATGGAAATGAAAAACAGGATTAGATATGAACCTGATCTGTACGTGTTGGGAGGCGAAGCACACGAAAAAGATACGAACTAAGAAGAGAAGAATATCAAGTAAATTGTACTTTAGGCCTGCTGGTGAACTAGGAAAACAAAGTTCTTGCAGCTTAATAGAAGTAAGAAATCTCTTTGATGTTTGAGTAATCTCTTGCAATTTTCTGGTTTTCCATTGTAATGTGTAACACTGTATTTACAATTATACGTTTAAATAGATTTGGGAAATCACAGGTATGAATGAAAAAGCGTTCTTGACTATATCAGGACTGTGGATTCTAATTCTACTGTCGAGAAAAACTAATCACACAATGCTGTCTTGACAGCCTCCAAATACCTCGTTTGCACTGGTCCAAATCCTAGTCATGTGTATGTTTTATACTAGTTTTTCTTGTTAAGTGTGTTGATTTTCATATCAGGAGGACTCATTTGTTTGTTAATTTAGATCACAATGATTGAATGTTGACTATATCATCAGAATGTCAGGTACTGCAGTGACTGTTTATACATATGATGTCAGGGCCAATTTACTTGCATCTTTTGCTTTTAGATTCCATGAACTCAAAAGTTTTCAGGTGTTGTCTGGCTAATGAATCTGATATAATCTCTATTTTGTAAAGTTACTCACAGTACTGCATAAAGGCTTAACGAATCTGATATAATCTCTATTTTGTTTTCACTGATCTTCTGATGTTGTACTAGATTGTTGTAGTGAGTTAATAGCAGGTTTCTAAGAAAGGGACTTGTCCAAACATTTTCATTTTAGTCCACAATTGTCCAATGAAACACAAACAGAAAAGAACTGAAACTGTAAGATCTTGCAACCATACAGTATTACAGTACGAAGTTTTAGTTCAGTAGTGTGGTTTAGTTACAGTTATCTCGGTTCATCAAGTCCTAAACCACTGTCAAAATCCAAGATGAAATAATTGTTTCTCTTTACGAAACCATTTTCAAGATTAAACCGGATAAACCTGATGACCAAAAATAAAAATAAAAAACTAAACCGGATAAACCACCTTTAACCGAAGGTTACTTTGAAAATCTTCTTTTGTATAATAATTTGTAGTTTGTAGTCGAGTACAGGCTGGATTATGAAGTTATATTTGTAACGGATCTTTTGTTTCGAGAGAGATCTGATTTTTTTTTTTTTTTTTCAAAATTTGAATCCTCCATATAACGGAAGGGCCGTATAAAGAAGAAGTCCCTCCCGTTAACAAATATCTTTCAATTATTTCTCTGAAACCCTAAAATTCCTCTTCTCCCAAATCGTCTGTAGAAGTTGAGTTTCTGCTTTCTTTTCTTTTTCTACCGATCAAACATTACTATCGATTCTAAGGTCAGTTACTCGAGAGATCATACTCCTGGATTTAAGGTTTACAAATTTTAATTCTGTTTTACAAATTTTGTTTCTCTGTTATATGATTCGACTATCAAACAATTAGGGTTACGTCGATTGATCAGATTACGAATTTCGTTTTCCTGTTTCTTGATTCAATTATCAAATATTTAGGTTTCGTCGATCAGATTACGAGATTCTCTGTTACTTGATTCGATTCTCAAATAGTTAGGGTTCGTCGATTGATTTGCTTACGAATGAAAAATTTTGGGTTCCGTCGATTTATTTGTTGTTTATGAATTGTGTTTCTCTATTACTTGATTCGACTGTTTTTTAATTTATCCCCAATTCAATTGTTTGTTTCTATGACAGTTCAGTGATTTGTTTGGTTTGGTTTTGACAGGACGATAAGGCCATAAGGGTTTCTTCACCAATCATCGTGAACGTGGTGGTGGCTAGTAAATCAAAGATAAAAATGGTTTCGTGCTCCTCTGTTTTCAGGTTAAATATGTTCTATGTGTTTCTGATCTGATACTTCTCTTGTTCGTGTGCTTTGTCTTTTTTTTGGATGTTACGTACATATCTCGTTTTAGGTCTTCTTTACTTGAAGAAAAGAGGCATGTGTCTGCAGTAGACACAATAAATTTGATTGAATGTTAGTTTGCTCCACCATATCAATTCAATTTAGGTTTCTCTGTCTAGTTTCCTAATTTCTTGTGTTTACTAGAATTTTTGGTTTTACTTATAACGAAGCTTCTGAAATTTAATATAGATTGGCGTGGAACTATATGTGAAGCTCATTGTGGAGAATATGCTTTGTGTAATAGAATCTAGCTGATACAAACCTGGTCAAGTTAGCTCTTGATGAAGAAAGTGGTGAGTTTTCTTGCGAATTATCATTGCTGAACTATGTGTTCCTTTTTTTTTCTTTTTCTTTTGTGTGTCTTGGTGTGTTATGGTTCTGTCATTCTTACTAATTTCAGAATCAAACTAACCTTGAAATACTATATTATTACTAATCAAGGATACGACTTTTAGGTATGTTAATACACACAAAGTAAGGATGTTAGTTTTTTCCAAATATGTTGTCTATAATCATTTTTCTTCTTGCTCTTTTAGTTTTGCTCTTTGTACTTTGCATGATCTGTCATGTTTTAAGGTTAGATTTGTTCTGCATCTATGTGTTTCTGATCTGATATTTCTCTTGTTCGTATGGTTTACTTTTTTTTTGGATGTTACGTACATATCGTTTTAAGTCTTGTTTGCTTGAATAAAAGAGACATGTGTCCGCAGTAGACACAATAAAATTTGATTTTGACTGTTAGTTTACTCCACTATTTCAATTCAATATAGGATTATCTGTCTAGTTTTTCTAATTTCTTGTGTGTTACTAGAATTTTTGGGTTAAATCATAACGAAGCTTCTGAAATTTGATATAGGTTGGCGTGGAACTATATGTGAAGCTCATTGTGGAGAATATGCTTAGTCTAATAGAGTCTGTCTGATGAAGAATGTGGTGAGTTAGCTCTTAATGAAGTTTGTGGTGAGTTTTCTTGCGAATTATCATTGCTGAACTATGTGTTCCTTTTTTTTTTGTGTATTGGTGTGTTACGGTTCTGTTATACTTACCAGTTTCATTCATACATACATTCATGCATTCATACATACATGCATGCATTCATGCATTCATTCATACATACATACATACATACATGCATTCATACATACATACATACATACATACATGCATTCATTCATGCATTCATACATACATACATACATGCATTCATTCATGCATACATACATGTATTCATTCATGCATACATACATACATTCATTCATGCATTCATACATGCATATATGGATACTTGTATTCTTGTTTTTTTTTCACATTTATATTGCTTCTCATTTGGGAAAGCATAACAAAGATCAACTATGTATGGAAATCCCATGGATGAAGTGTGGTAATTATTCGCTTTCCTTCTATTTCATTGACTTCTCACCTCACCCTTAATATTGTATGTGGCAGTAATATGCAGCTTATCTAATTAAATGTGCAACTTCTTGCTCAATTGCCTGAGTTTTTGTGTTAATTCGCAGACACTAGTTATCAAATTGCAGATATAAAGACTTGAGCCTCTGCTATGAAGTGCCCTGCTGCTCTCTGCGAAGCAATTGTTCTGGATTTATTTTCGAGAGGGTTTGTACTGGTTCAGTAAATTTTCTTTAACTTTTATCTTAATTTGATCACAATGATGATTCATGGCTTTTGTTTGTAGCTTTACATAAACGTGAAAGAGCACAAGGATCCCAAGTTTCTTAGTGAAGGCTTGTTATGGATGGGTTATGATGTTGATGACTTAAGTGTCTCACTGTTGAAACTTAAGGTTTTGAACATTTTTCTACTTAGATATTCCCGGGCTCTCGACTTCCCTGCTTTTCTTAACTGCAATATCTACTTTTTTTTTTTTTGACAAAATTTGTTTTTTCTGTCCATTTGACAGAATTTGATAGATTCTTGGTAATGATGCTATAGCTTCCACCAGAAAATGCTACAGTCAAACTGTTGGGTACTTTACACAAGTTTGTTTTTAAGGTCGCTACGATTTTGTTTTTACATCTGCTTTTTCTAATTTTTTTTGTTAGAAAAACATATTAATAACCGAGTTTAACTGTTGTATTTCTGTTTGCAGATGTCAAAAGGGTTTCTTAAGCATGCACTACTAAGTGCACTTGACGCTGAATATGAGAAAAAACCTTTTAAGGTATATTACTTGTGTGGATGGTCATAATTTTTGGATTTCATGTTTCTCTTGATGTACTTATATTCTGTTCATTAGGGGACTTCGCCTTCAAAGAGGGTTGTTAAGACCTTGAGAAGATACCAGTAGCAAGATTATCCCTATCTTTTTTAGGGCGTTGAAACTTCTGATTAGAAGGTGCCTTACAAATTGGAAATCTTCTTTGTTCTCTAAACCTAACAATAATTTTTGTTGAAATTTATAATAAGCTTAAAATTGAAACTGAGTCTTTTCTACTTTTGTAGATGCGTCTGGAGTCAATATACGCTGTAAATCAATTTCTAGAAGAGGTTATTAAACATATGGCGTATTCACCAACTGGAATTGGTATGAAGTCAGAAATTTATTCTAAGGTTGGTAGACAAAACGGCTAGTGGTAATCTTAGATATGTTCCTTTTGTTATGTTAATGCAGATTCTTTAAATTATTGTAGCTCTAACAGATGGGATGAGAACTGAAGGACGTAAGATCTTTTTTGGTGGATTAAGCGACTCTATGGGTGCTATACATCTACTGAAACCTACAAACACATCAATGATGGTGTCAAATTCTCATCATGTTCAAGTGATTTCATATATTTATGCTTCTATGAATCTTTTCCAGGTTCAAATCAGTAGATATGCGAGAAGCAGGTGAACGATAAATTTCCGAGAGCTTGAGAGGTAGTGGACTAGAAATGGTAGGTATCCCATATCTTGTAGGTTTAGCTTGTTCTATTCATGAGTAGAAGCCTAGAATCTAAATGGTCGTGTCAAATTTTTCTCAGATTGAAAAGAATATCCAAAGATATCCAAGGCCTACACTAATTCTTATGCTTTAAAAGGTAAGACCATGATTTGTTCAAGGTACTTGATTGTCGGATTAACATGTTCTTTCCTGTCTGTTTTCTTTTTTTGTCCTTGCTAACAAATTTTTTACAGAACCATTTGAATCATCAAAAGCTTTGGTGGAGCCAATGTCGAAAGGTGTTTCAAAGATTTCTGAATCGACTTCTAGTGGTAATACCTTGAAGCAAATAAACAGAACAGTACGATTCTGTCTTTAAACATGTTTTCTTATGTATCTTAATTGGTGATATATGGTCTATATTTGCTGGTAAGAATAGATACTTCATGATGCAAGGGATATCTGAAATCTGATTCTCTAATTAACTTTATTTATTCTTTATTTCAGAGCTACAACACTTCAAGATGCAAGGGTATTCAAAGTTGACATATGGAAACGTATAGTACTTCAATTTAAGGTAAGTTGTTCCTCATGTTTTATTTTCACAAAGAGTGAAGTAACTGTTCTCTTTATTTCCTCTTATATTTGACATTCTCTTTGTTTCATGCAGATGCACAAGGTCGTAAATACAATCCAGAACAAATGAACGAAGAGTGAGTCAGGTGGTAAAATCTATCGCTCTTCTCAAACTAAGAAGTTAATACAAACGTCAAACACAAAAACAACAAAACTAAAAACTTCGCATACCCAAAAAAACAAACACTAAAACTCTACGTAACTCTACAAAACTCCACAAAATGAAAACTTCATATGGCATGAAACAAAACACAAAAATCAACAAAAACTCCACAAAATGAAAACTTCACGTGCCACGAAACACACAAACTTCACATGCCACGAAACACAACACAAAATCAACAAAAACTCCACAAAATGAAAACTTCACTTGCCACGAAATACAACACAAAAATCAATAAAAATTCCACAAAATGAAAACTTCACGTGCCACGAAATACACAAACTTCACATGCCACGAAATTCAACACAAAATGAAAATTACACGTGCCACGTAACACAAAAAGTTCACATGCCACGAAACATAACACAAAAATTCACAATCACCCGTAAACAAAATTCACAATCACCCATAAACAAAATTCACAATCATGCATACTTTTCTTTCCATGACAAATACTTTTATGGATATAATGCCAAATACTTTCTTTCTAATTTACTCGAGTTCAATGTTGTCTATTTATAATGTCGATAACAAATTCATATATTTTATGCATGATTTTTTAATGTTATCTGTTGGATAATTTATTATTATCAAGTTTTGTTATATTTACTGTTAAAAGCATTTCAATTTTAATTTGCAGCATATGTATTAACATCATTTTCATACACTTTTTTCTCCTCCTAAGTGCCAAACAAATTTTCGCATTATCTTTTTGTTTGTCGATGTGGTTCAGCGAGTGTAAACATTGTTTGTACTTTTGCTTTTGGTTATTTTTTGTTGATTATAACAGACGTTAATTTGTACATTTCTTTATGTAAATATCATTTTCTTTGGATGAAGAATTTCATCAGTTGTCGTTATTGTAAGTTTCTGGTTTTCCATTGTAATGTGTAACACTGTATTTACAATTATAAAATGGATTTGGAAAAAGTGTTTAAGACACAAGAAAACCAAACGAAACCCTCTGAATCAAAAAGAGTGTTTCATTTTTTTTCAATTTTTATTTTATTTTCAGATATTTTAATCATCTCTCTTTCCTTACATTTGGGTTAGTCGAAACGATTTGACGAGAATCATCCAAAATCCGCCATGGAAGCAACTACAAGAATCTTCAGCACTTCTGCTCTCAGTCGTCGTCTTCTTCTCACTAACCTTAACCTAAAACCTGATGCTCGTTCGATCAGATTTACGAATCAGTGTTGTTTCCCCTCGCACAATGCCGTCTACCGAGAATCATCTTCATCTATCTCCGCCGCTCGTATACGGTGCTCTTCGCTTCCTCCCAATGCGAATCTCTTCAAATCTCTCTTCTTCCTCACGTCAACGTTTCGTCTCGAGAACTCCGCCGTTCACGCTAACCCATCCCGATCCCAACCTAACGACGGCGTCGCGGTATGGAACAGAGCTCCACCGATCGTGAACGGAGGTGGAAACGCGGCGATATTAGGCGGGAAGGGGAAAGAGACGACTGTGGTTCTTCTCGGTTGGTTAGGAGCGAAAGCTAAACATTTGAGGAGATACGTTGAGTGGTATAACTCTAGGGGAATTAACGCCGTTACTTTCACCGTCGACGTTAGGGATTTGCTCCGGTTAGATCTTGGACGGAGGCTTGAACGGAGGATAGCTGAATTTGGGAACGAATTGGTTAATTGGGTATCGGTGAAAGAGGATGATGGTAGAGAGAAATGCTTGGTGTTCCATAGCTTTAGCAACACTGGTTGGCTTGTGTAGGTTGATGAAAGCCAAATCCTTCGTCAAATTTTAGTACATTGTGATTGTGAATCTGATCTCCTTATTACTGTTGATGATGATGACTTTAGGGTTGATTAGAATTGGATGATGAATTAGGTGAGCTTTTTACTTGTGGCAGATATGGTGCCTTGCTCGAGAGCTTCATTGGTAGACAAGATTTAGTAGAAAAGATTAAGGGTTGTATCATCGATTCGGGAGGAGCAGATCCTCTAGATACCAAGGTTTGGATTCTTATAATCCTTCTCTCTTTCATGTAAGCAAGACTTTTAAATGCCCTGTGCTTCAGTATCTTGTATTGGAAATGGAAAGCTTTTTGCTTTCTAAAGAGAAAAGGAAATTTCTTTTATAGCTATGTTGTCCTCTTTTTGAATCATAATTCATGCTATTGTGAAAGGTTTGCAAATTTGAGTTCTGTGTTGATACAAGCATTTACCAATCCATGAATAGGGGAGTTTTGACTTTTATATCTAAGCAATTAGCTTTGTAGATAGATAACTCAGTACTTAGAAAAGACCATAGGTATGAGTTAAAACCGCTGATTTCCTCTATTTACTTAGCCATCATTCACAGATTGATGGTACATCGGTCTATATATCTTGTGAAGGCGATCTTGTTCTCTTACAAAACAAGATAAACGAGCTTCATAGCACATGCTTTAGTTTGTTCTGAAGTCCCTTTTGTTGAAAAGTTGTTTCGTGTGTGATCACTGCATAGTCCTAGAAGACATCATAGTCGTTCATCTTGCATAGATTAGCAATAAGTACCTTTGAAGATTATATAGATCAACAATTGAATTATGTTCTTTTGCAGATTTGGGCAGCCGGGTTTACGGCTGCTATACTGAAGAAGCGTAGCTCCACCATAAACACAGAACCAAACTGTCACATAAACGAAGACGATGCTTCAACCCCACAAAAGAAGGAACGTTTAGGAATGGAAAGCATGATGCTATCATCTCTAGGGAAAGTCTTCCCCATCATCTTAAACCTGCCAGACGTCAATACGTAAGCTTCACACCACACGCACACAGTAAACAGCCCATCTGCTTCTTGTTTGTATTTTAGGCTCATCAATCTGAGTTATACCTTATCTGTTGCAGGAGGCTAACGAAAATCATCAAAAAACTAGATGAGAACCATCCTCCATGTCCTCAGCTCTATCTATACAGCTCCGAGGACAAAGTTGTTCCGTCTCATTCCGTTGAGGTCCGCATCCGAGAACAACAGAAGATGGGAAGAAATATACATTCTTTCAATTTCAAGTCCTCTCCTCATGTCGATCATTACCGGAACTTTCCTGACTTGTATACCTCACAGCTTCACAGCTTCTTGGAAGAATGCTTAAACGCTCCCACAAAACAACATGCTCTGTGATTTTATTTATGAATAGAGATCTTTTCCACAGAATCTTTGTAGCCTCGTTTGTGTTTGCTGTTCTGACTGAATGATAATGAAAAAGCATGATAAAGATTTAATATTAGGGTAAAGAGGTCTACTTTTAATAGTGAGTGTGTGTTTTGGTTTACCTAGTAAACCGGTGCGTTGGAAAAACAAGCTTAATTGACCGGTTTGTTGTCTCTGTTACGATTGAACCAAACCAGCCGGTTTAAAATTTTCTATCTTCTTCTTTTCTCTCTTCCCAAATCAATTTTTTTCTGAGACGAACCCTTAAATCTTCAGAGGTGCCGATGAAGAACTGAGACTAGAAGTAATTGATTTATACTCTGATCTTCGAAAATGGCAGCCGCGGAAGAGTCAAAGATGTCTCCGGCGAATTCGTTCGGTGCTGTCGTTCTCGGCGGTACGTTTGATCGATTACACGATGGGCATCGAATGTTCCTTAAGGTAAATTGTGTTTTTCATTCTCTTCTATTTATTGAGAGTCGAAGTAGTTTATTGAATTGTTGTGGTCGGAATATAATCAGGCGGCTGCAGAGCTGGCCAGGGATCGGATCGTAGTGGGAGTATGTGATGGTCCAATGTTGACGAACAAGCAAGTAAGCAATCACCTTTAGTCTCTTTTTGCTTAAATTAGTAGCAATTTTGGGAAAGTTGGTGAATTTTGTTTCTTTAGCGTCATGAAATTGATTCGGTACACATAGACTTCGAGTTGGAGTGATGTTCTTATGAGCAAGATGCAAAAGAGGAACCTTTAAACATCTTAGCTAAAAGTCTGAAACTTTGTTGATGAGTTCTTTCGAGGTTTCATTTCATTCTTTTGTGTCTACAGTTCACTGAAATGATACAACCCATTGAAGAAAGGATGCGTAATGTGGAGAGCTATGTCAAGGTAATGTCTGCAGAATGTGGAATTCTCATCAAGTTTTATATTCTCTGCAGAGTCATTTAATATGAAAGGAGAGGAAAAACCTAAAGATATTTCTTGTTTTCACTTTCTCCATGTTCTTCTTGTGGTGTAGTCTATCAAGCCTGAGCTGGTTGTACGAGCTGAACCCATTACCGATCCATATGGCCCTTCTATCGTTGATGAAAATTTGGAAGCTATTGTTGTCAGGTTTGTACCATCTATCTATTGATCCTTTTCCCATGTTTTTCTATTCATTTCCATGTTTAGGGACTCTTCTAACTAATCATCATCGACAGCAAAGAGACATTACCCGGTGGCTTGTCGGTGAACAGGAAAAGAGCAGAAAGAGGGCTTTCACAACTTAAGGTTTGTCCTTTTATCCACCAGCCTTATCTAATTGATATCCTGATGCATTTTAAGATCTTCAATCATCATCACTTGAACCCAATCTTTCTTGGACATGCTTGTGCAGATTGAAGTTGTGGAAATAGTTTCTGATGGATCAAGTGGAAATAAGATTAGTTCCAGTACTCTCAGAAAGTTGGAGGCAGAGAAAGCCGAGAAACAAAAACAACTCGCAGAAGAAAAATCATCATGAACTTATCATATATAAAAACTCTCAACTTTACTTGTAATTTAATACTCTTTCATATACTCAAAATGCTGTAAAATTGGCTAAGACATATCAATAAAGGTCCAAGCTTTGCATTCCTTAACTCTGAACAAGGACCTAGTCATATGTAAACCCAACTGTGTATTCGTATTGCCTTGCCTAAAAATGCAGTATATGGTCTGCACTCTGCAACATCAATAAAAGGTCAAGACTTTGGCAAAAAGGTCAAGACTTGGGATACGTTTTGGCTGAAACGGTCTCGTTTTTGTTTGTATGTTAAAACGGTCAACGTATTATAAAGTGAACATGAGGCCTCATCGGAACAGAAACGTTATCAAAGCAACGGCTCTTTCGTAGTTAATAAAAGAGCAAATTTTGAATAACAAAATCTTTGAAACTGAATAATCGGATTCTTGTAGATCTTCTTTATAACTTCCCCATATCTCTTCCTTCTCTTTTAAATTTTGAATCATTCTTCTGATACCACAAAGGAGCGCACAGAGAGAGAGAGAGAGAAGCGAAGTTGAGAGAGAAACGGTTCCTTGTTTAACAAGCACTTCTTAGGTAAATGATCTCTTCTTCTTTCTCTTTGATCTTAGGGTTTCTTAATTAGTTTCAGCCATTGTTGAATCGCTTTTACTCTCTCTCTCTCTTTTGCAGTTCTTTCTTCCGGAGAAACTGAAACATCCCGTTTCAGAGATAAACGAAGATCCTTACTCTGTTTCACAAACCCATCACCGTAATGATCTGTTCTGTTCTCATCTCCTCTGTTTCGTTTGAATCTTCAATTTAATTTTGGTGAATCCTCAGTTTCTTTTTCTGTTCTTGTTCTAGGGTTTACAAGAAGATGAATGATCTGATGACGAAATCGTTCTTAAGTTATGTTGAATTGAAGAAACAAGCGAAGACAGATATGGAATCTGATCGTGATTTGGAGAAAGGTGAAGACTTTAAGTTTGATTTCAGCCCAGCGGATGAAGAGAACCTCTCTGGTTTCTTTCAAGAAATCGAAACCATCAAAACCCTAATCGAAGAGATCACTCATCTCTTACTCGATCTCCAAAACCTAAACGAAGAGACCAAATCTACTCACAGCACCAAGATCTTACGCGGGTTAAGAGACAGAATGGAATCAAACATCGTCACGATCTCTCGCAAGGCCAACAGAGTCAAAACCCTAATCGAGACTTTGGAGAAGAGCAACGTTGCGAACCGTACGAGTTTCAAGGAAGGGTCTTGCGTGGACAGGACAAGAACTTCGATAACTAATGGAGTTAGAGCGAAACTGAGAGATACGATGAGTGAGTTCCATCGACTGAGGGAAAGAATCTTTGCTGATTACAGAGAAGATCTCAAAAGGAAGTATTTTTTAGCGACTGGTGAAGAACCAAGTAATGAGGACATGGAGAAGATGATCTCTGGGTCTAGGACTGGTCCTGGTTTGGTTAAGACGTTTGAAGTGAAGCCAGAGATGGATTTGAAGACTCAAGAGAGACATGAAGCAGTGAATGACATCAAGAGAAGTCTTAACAGGCTTCACCAAGTGTTTCTTGACATGGCTGTTCTTGTTGAGACTCAAGGAGATCGTATTGATGACATTGAAGCTAATGTGGCTAATGCAGGGAGCTATGTCAGTGGAGGAACCAACAGTTTGTACTATGCTAATCAGATGAAGAAGAAGACCAAGAGTTGGGTTCTTTGGGTTTCGATTTTGGGTGTTCTTATTCTCCTTGTGTGTATCATCTCAATGCTTGCTTCTCGTTGAGTGTTTCAGGAGAGATATGGTTACTTCTTTGGTTCCTTTTGGATGATCTCGATTTGAAAGTGTTCTAGCTAACTCTATTCATTAGATGTTTTCATGATTATGTGTATCAGAAACTTCTGTTTTTGGTTTGATATGAAACTTTCATTGTCCACCAGATCTTTTGTGTTGATCATATAACCAAACTTGAATTGACTGGCATGGATTAAGAGACAAGTACACGATGTTATGTTTCTGTTGGACCAGTAGATATCTGAAGGATTCTGAATCGAGACAAAAGTTTATAATTAATAGACAAGATTGGACTAGAAGTAGCAGAGAGATTCAACAAGAATCAAACAAAATTTGGTGAGATTGACAAAGAGATGTGATACAAAACAATAGAAAACAAACAAGCAAATAAAAATGGAAATAGGACGAAGTGTTACAATTGGTTTAACTTAACTGTTTAAAACTGTCTTTTAAATTGGTCATTACACAACAATTAGTTTGATCTCTTTAGATTAGATATGTTTGTCTGATCAATTGCTATATCAATAAACTAAGGTATACCAAAATTTCTCAACCATGAGATAGTGTATAGAAAAAGAGTGATGGGGTAATGGGTTAAGAGAATTGACAAGCGTAAGCTGGCAAAAACATATGGTTCCCAATCTTATCAAAATTTTATCAAATTCCCAAATGGACAAACACACAAAACTGGAATCAATACCCATGATGCTTTTTTTCTTCTTTTCTTCTTTATTTATGGACCCATGCACATAACTTACATATATGCATTTTGTGCATTACACAATATCTATCTATCTACTTCACACTTTGTGTACACAAATATTTATGAGTGTAGATGTATAATAGTTATTGTGGTCCACATACCAAACATGAGCCCCTCTTCTTAAGTTTTAATTAGTTCTCCTGATTGTATAATTTTAAATGATTCATGTTTTTAGCTTTTGAAATGTAATGATTCTCATTTTCTTCTAAAAAGCTATTTGTTTAGTATCTATCATAGCCTCTTCAGTCATTTCAACATCATAACTTTAATGGTGAGAATGTGGAGAAAGAAATGAAATAAGCTAATATTTTGTCAAGATGAATGGAATTATTCTTTAGATAGAGTTTTTTTCATTTTGCAAAAGGTAATATGATGAATACATATAGAAAAATAAATCAGAAAATATTTTACTATAGAAAGTTTTTAAAAATTGTCAAAAACAAAGAAACTAGAGAATTCTTTTTTCTTAAGAAATTCACCTTTTTATTTACTTGTTAAAATTAAATTTTGAAAATATTAAAGAAGATTAGTGAAGCTAACCTATATTTAGATTTTCTCAAAAATAATACTGAATTTTTTTTACCTAATTACTGACCGAGAATTTTTCTTTTAAGAATTACCAAAAAAAATCATATCCAAATACCAGTCAAACATTAATGGAATATGTGAAGGATATAATTCTACGAGAGATTTTGTTTTTCTTTGTATAAATTCATTGCTGGACAAAAATTTAAAGTGTTAGGAAGATAAATGTCAATTTCATCATCTGCTCATTCACCCTTACTAAACAAAAAGAACAATTATATACAAATCTAGAAATTAATGCAATATTATTTGGAATAACACTTATTCATTTTTTCTATTTTTAATGTGAGATTCAGAATATTATTGAAACGATTTTAATCTAAATATAATATAAGGTTAAAGTGAAGCTGGTCTTAAAACATTCACAATAGTAGTATATATCTTCCTATTTGATGCTCTTAATATACATTAGCAAGTTTATGCTGTTCATGTGGCAATCATTCAAAGGCATAACTAAAGATGCAATCTAGTGATTTAAATCAAATTTGTATTAGTGTTGTGTTCATAGACATTTAAATCCGGTAATATATATACATGTTATTTGTTGGCAGAAATGTTTTTACCACTTTAAAAGAATTATGTAATGTTTTTTTTTGTAATAGAATTAATCATATGGCTATGCCTATGGGTGGAGAACAATGATTTGGGGATTTTTTCTAGGGTTAGGGTTCGATATGGGGATAAATCGATTTGGGAATTTTTTGGATTCTTAAGTGCTTAAACAGTTTTGTTTTGTTAAGAGATAAACGTTGTCGTTTATGGTTAAACGGAAGCAGGAGACGGATTGTTAACCCCGTTTGTGCGGTTCTAACAGCGACTTAACGACATGCTTAAAACGGCTAAGTCAACAAAAGTTTCGTATTTTATGCAAAGTCAACAAAAACTTAGGGATTAAAATGGCTTCCGCGAAATTGAGGATTTAAACGTCCCAAATTTGAAAGTTGGGGATTATTATGACATTTTTCCCTATTTTTATGGGTATACGATTCATTAGATTTTTTTGCTGGTACCATGCACATATCAAAAGTCATCAAAAGCTTTAATAGGACAGTAATTAATTATTATCAAACAAATGTATGAAAAAGTTGAATTAGGTGGCTGGTGGCCATATTTATATATATACTGTTTCCCAAATATCTTACAATTATAGTATCAAGATTTGAAGGTTTTAATTTGAACCACTTTCTCATTTATATATTTAGTTAAATGTAATGGACGAAACAATAAATATATGAATGGTGTCAACTGGGGTGGCTTGACAAAGAGTATGAAGTTTTAATTATGTAAATTGATATATCATACATTTGTGATGTGTGTATCATTTATAAGATATTTTCACATTGTTGGATAAGGTCAAACAAAAAAATATATGAAGGAAGTTCTAGACTAAGAAAATTACATTTGATTATTGAGTTTAACCTTGTGGTTGCGATATATCATATAATACATATATTTTCGAAACAAATTCAATAGAAAGAGTAAGAAAAAATTCAGAAATATTAATTAGAGATACAAAACTTTAATTTGATTTTTTAAAAAAGTTGTGTAAATCGAGCAAGTAACTATAGAAAGGCTTCACAAACCAAGGAGGTAACTAATCCAAGGGGACTGACGTATGTGCAATAGATAAGAGAATATATTAGATTAAGAAAGAAAACTAAAGTTGAATTTTGTACTTAGAAAGAGAATGTGTACTTTTTGGTTAACGAAATATATATGTTAAAGATATGGATTAGACTAAATTAAGCCTTAAAGAAGAGTGTTAGACTAATTATTGTCTTGACACATCCTGATTGCGACTTTTCATATATAAAATAAGAGATATTTATCACGAAAATGAACACTACTTATGAAAGTTTCATAAGAAGAAGAAAAATAACTATAAAGGTTCACAAAACACATGTTTTGTCCAACTTAAAGTTATTAGTAAGAAATTAACGGACAAAATCATATAAGTTATGTTTTCTAAACTATTGAACTGCTAAAAAGAAAAAAAAAAGTAATACAAAAACACAACTAACTAATCATCATTTCAATAAGTGATCATTATCTTGCGACTAATTTAGTTACCTCGAATTATAATTTATTATGATCAATTTTATTTTGTCGTTACACTTTGTAAGCCTCATAATTTACGACAATTTAACATCAATTATCATCGTCATTACACTCCTATTTTTATTTTATTTTGTAAATTTGGAGTTTTGGAACTCTCCAAAATCATATATATGACGTGATAAAGAACTGACCAAAACAAATAAGTTTACTAGAAATGAATAGATCAAATAAAAACATTAAACAATATTTAATTAGTAGACATGCATTTTTTGTTTAATATAACATGATTAACATCACCGTTAATTTTTATTTAACGTAAAACATTGCAATTTTTTTTCTCATTGAATTAGAAAAGGTCATATTTTTCTTAAGTTTTATTTTGTAGGCTAATTCAAGGTTTCTTTATATGGATAGTAATATTATTTACCGACCAAATATGTTATTGCCACATGCAGTAAGTCATTATCAATCTAAGGCCAGGTCGTATCAACTCGTAATTATTTAACTAATTACAGGATTAAACTTTAGAAGTTAAAACTATATTTGTTTCCGACAAAAACTATTTACTTAATATTAAAATTATTTTAATTTAAGTTTAAGTTATAAAGTTTTCTCTCTCTGCCCTTTAAAACGTTTTCTTTGAAAACTATAAGAAAAAGCAAAGACTTCGGATCCGTTTGTAAGGAGAGAGATTTTGGTGGTGACCACTCCTTTGATTTTACACCTGCGGTGAGATCGGCGGCGGAGTCAAGACAACGACGGCGTATTAGCCGGTGACTGACGGGAGTCATGCTGAGATAGTCATTGGCGAATCCGTTCTTCTTCCCCGGAGAGGACGAAGAGCATCGAAGAATCTTGTCAAGAAACAGCGATGCTTGTCTCTGTTTCTTCGTTTTATCTCTCCGATCTTGTCTCTCGGATCCGGTGAAGAAGCTGCCGCTGATCTCATCTTGCAGCTTTTAAAGTTTTTGTCTTTTGAATCCGTCGATTTCAATTTGAGGTTTGTTTTCAATTCTCTTTCACATTTAGGGAAAATGGTTCTTCTTCTTCTTCTTCTTCCTCTGTTTCTGGATCTGTTCTGTTTTCTTGTCTGATTTAGGTATGATTGGATTTGAGGAGCTTCAGTGGTTAATAAGTTGAGAGTAATGCGAATCTGAGATTGTTCGAGTTAGGTTCTCATTGAACAGATTATGCTCTTTCAATTAGGAGTGCAAATCCCAAATTGGTTTCTGTTTTCGTGTATGAATGTATTGATCTTTTAGATTATAAAAACATGAACTTTGAATGCAAATCTTAACTTTTGATGTGAAAGTGTTGAGCTTTAGTTTTGTTTCCTTTAATTTTGGCTTTGATTGAGTTTATAAAAACATGAACTTTGTGTGATTGCAGTTATTGGGGAGCTTTTGGTATGCTGAAAAGAGATGTCCTTCAAAAGCATCCTTCGTGATCTGAAGGAAGTGAGGGGTGGACTTGGAGGTATCTCGAAGCGTAGTTGGTCAAAGTCGTCTCACATTGCTCCTGATCAAACAACACCACTTCCGGAAAACATCCCGCAGAGCCCATGGGCTTCTTTGCCGCCTGAGTTGCTTCTCGACATAATCCGGAGGGTTGAAGAGAGTGAGACCGCTTGGCCCGCTCGAGCTGCCGTGGTCTCTTGTGCTTCTGTCTGTAAATCATGGAGAGAAATCACTATGGAGATTGTGAGGATCCCTGAGCAGTGTGGGAAGCTCACTTTTCCAATCTCATTGAAACAGGTAAAGAAAGTTCTCCGGTTCTTTCTTCACATCATCATCATCTTCAAAGCTCTCAGTCTCTGTAGAGCTACTCCTGTTTGATATTCTAAACTTCTTGTTTGATTGTGAGCAGCCAGGGCCTCGAGACTCTCCAATTCAATGCTTTATTAAGAGGAATAGAGCAACAGCTACATATATTCTCTACTATGGCTTGATGCCTTGTAAGTGATCCTTATTTCAAGTTTGAGAAATTGCTCTTCAGCTATCTAGAAATGGTTGTTCTGACAATGATCCTTTTTTGAGTTCCAGCTGAGACAGAGAGCGACAAACTGTTGTTAGCAGCAAGAAGAATTAGAAGAGCGACATGCACGGATTTTATAATTTCACTATCTCCTAAAAACTTCTCACGCAGCAGCAGCACTTATGTTGGCAAACTAAGGTAACTGACTAACTAACTAAGCCTTAGCCATCGAAAGCTCTTTTTTCCTAACCAGTATGTACTTTCATTGTGGGATAGGTCTGGTTTTCTGGGAACCAAGTTCTCAATATATGACAACCAAACAGCATCATCCACAACACAATCTCAACCTAACCGAAGGCTTAACCCCAAGCAAGCGGCCCCTAAATTACCTGCTAATTGCACTACCGTAGGAAACATTACCTACGAGCTCAATGTTCTTCGCACAAGGGGACCTAGAAGAATGCATTGCGCTATGGATTCTATACCCCTCTCTTCTGTTATTGCTGAACCAACAGTAGTTGAAGGCATAGAAGAGGAAGTATCTTCCTCACCTTCACCAAAAGGAGAAACTAGCTCAACAGATAGAGAGATCCCTGATATTTCCCGAAGGTTAAGGGACCAGCCGCTAGTGCTCAAAAACAAATCCCCACGATGGCATGAGCAATTGCAGTGCTGGTGCCTCAACTTTAAGGGGAGAGTGACTGTGGCTTCAGTTAAAAATTTCCAGCTTGTGGCAGACATTGACACTTCTTTGGATGCATCAACTGAAGAACATGAGAGGGTGATTTTACAGTTTGGCAAAATCGGTAAGGACATTTTCACCATGGACTATCGCTACCCTCTCTCTGCTTTTCAAGCCTTTGCTATATGCATCAGCAGCTTTGACACTAAACCGGCTTGCGAAGGGTAAAAGTTAACCCTTTGAGTAAAATCCATCTCGGCAAATCATCATAGAAAGCTTTTCTTATCTTTAGGTTTCAATGTTCAATTCATGCAAAGCTCTTTGTATGTAGATTGTTGTAGCTCTTTTGAACTATGCTTTAAACCCCATCTCTCCAAAATTCACTGTGTCAAAGATTTGATGGGGCTTGGTAGATAAGCTTAATGATGTTATAATGTTATATCCAATGTAATATATAAACAGAAGCCATTACACAACAACATATGAAACATTCTTGAGCTTCAAAACCTAACGTGACTATTGACTCTTCTCTTCTTGGGGATCCAATATCCAATACTAGTGGGTCTTTCACAGTCCATGTTCTTCAAACTTTCCCTATCCAAAGTTCTCATCTCAGTGTCGAATAAGTAAGAAACTCCATTGAAGTAAACTGAAATGGCTGGCGGGGAATAGGATTTCTGCAATCGCAAAGATAGTCACGCCAATGCAATCACAAGTACAGATCAAAGCATATAATGTGCACAGTTTAAGTGAAAGAGAGATGGAACTCACGGTCTAGGGCCGTAAACTTTGATCTGGCGTATATGAGTATCTCTTCCGTTAAGGTGATTCGACAAAATGGCTATTTGTAACATAAATGTATTGACAAAAGTTTCCCTGAAGAAAGAGGACACAATGGTTAAACTTACCAGCTCAATGCGTAGTAACCAGCAGAAGTTAGATTAGACCTTGACTAAGTGAAACCTCAAAAGCTAATATTGCAATCCCAACTTGTCTCATAGTGAAAACTTGCTAGCTAAAGACACGTCTGAACTTGCTAGCTAGCAGACATTCTCTGAAGTACTAGTTAAAAAAAAAAGAGTAAACAAAAAGTCTAACATTGTAGCAAACACCTCTGCTTATCTTTATCAGGAGCTAGCTAAATTCTTGTAAAGAAACAACAACCACAAAACCACAATTAGATAAACATACCGTGGATCAGTTCCAGACAAAGATAAGCAAACCCAACCAGTTGGTTTAACAAGCTCCACACTTTTAATCTCCTAAACAATTGAAGAGAAAGAGACACAACATGAAAATATCAATCAATCAGAAGTTAAGAGAAACCCCTTCTTCTTAACAAGAAAAAAAGCTATTACCTTTAAGTTATGAAAACCATCACCAGCTCGAATAGAGATTTTACTAGGCGTATAGCTCTCATCAAGCTTAAAGTCAACGTACAGAACCACTAACTTTCAAAATTCAAAAAACGGGTCAAAATTAAATACCCAAAAAACAAAACGAAAGATCTAATCAAATCGATTCATAAAAATCAAACCTGCAATTTCACTTTCTTCTGGAATTGAATGTTAATCAGATGTGGTTGTAACCCATCTGATCTACAAATTCAGAAACAAACAAAGAAAAAGCTGAATCATTTAACTTAAATAGAGAAAGAAAGAGATGAAATTTAGGGTTTTTGTATGTTTTCTCAACTGCCAATAAGTCTCGATATTATCGTCGCGGAGAGTGCCGACGCCATTGCCGGGCTTACAAGAGCTCACGCTCCAAGCTGCGTTTTTGCCCATCTCTCTCAGATCGTCATCTATATCTAACTTATCGTTTCCTCCTCTGATCTTTCCTTCTTCCTCCGATTCCGATGACTCTGTCGCCATATCTCCGAGATCCTAGATTCGGAAATTTGAGTAATCCACCTTAAAACCCTCCTCCAACGAGGTTTTGAATTCGTCTTTCTCTGGCTCATAGAAAAACGTCGTGTCGTTAATGACCGCTTGAAACGGAATGATGTTTGATTTTGATAACTGGAAACGACATGAGGATTTACTTTCTGATTAAAGAGACGTTGAACCGAACGTAATTAGGTTATTCGGTTTGGTTTGGTTTGATTTTTTCTAAAAAGAGCAATCGAAAGCAACTAAATGATGTTCGTTTGAAAGTCAAATAACTATAGCCAAATAGCAACTAATCATTAAATCAAAATTTGAAACGTTAAAGAGTTTTATAAGCAACCAAAAACTTTAAGTTTTCAACTGTTTAAATCTTTCACTATAAATTATTATTGAACCAACTATTACAAAAGGAACAAAAAGCAAATCACTAGTTTTTGCTGGTGGCTAAAAAAAAAAAAAAAAAGAATGTGTCGTTGTTAACAAATGCTAAATGAACATACAAAAATTATATGATTGTGATGTGAACAATCAAATTATGTAACTATGATAAACGTTATTTTATTCTTTGGGGTCAATTATGTGTACCAAATTTTCTTTTGGATAGTGATTAGTGAATAGTTATATAATGATTATATTAATACACACCACTAAAATGTATATGTTTTGGTTTTGAGTAATTTTTTTTATTAGTTCATATATTTTCAAAAAAAACATATCCCGATCTTATTGGCTATTCTTAACATATAAGAATTCTATCTCAATGGTTATCTCACACATAGTGCTTTTAATTTGCTCAGCTGTCTATTTGACTTGTTCAAGTTATCTTTTTTGGCATTTTAATTTTATTTATTGTTAGCTATACTATATAAGCTCTATATCAGAAAACAATCATGTTTTTCAACTACTAAACAAGCATGAGTCTTCTAAACTTTTCTTTTTCCAAAATTTTAGAAATATTTTTTATGTAAAAATATCTCTAACTCTCATAGTTAATACATAATAACTACTCTTGTAAATGTATACAAATTTAAGATGATTATATATGCGATAAATTAATTTAGGGAGAGGGCATTATCTCCCGCCAGTTCACCAAAAAAAAATATATGCGATAAATTTAATGAAATTTTAAGTAAATATTTACCAAACTAAAGTTGCATATATATAGTTTTTGTTTTTCAAATATTGTGATAACGACACCTCCATAATTTATTTTCTTCTTTCTTAGAAAATTCAGATTATATATAGAGTAGAAATTTCCAAATACTTCAAAAAAAAAAAAAAGGGATGGAAAATAAAATTCATTGGAACTGAAAGAATAAAAAGAAGGTCCACTTTTTTGGTTAAAAAATGTCTGCAACCAAAAATGATGCCCACTCTTTGTGGTTCTCATTCTTCATTCTTCGATCCTCTCAAATCTCTTTAACTACTCCTACTTCATAAAACTACCCTCCAGTTTCGTTTTTTTTTTGGTTATGGATAATATCTTGTCATAGCTAAGAAGATGATCTTGTCAAAATCAGACAGTTCATGGATTAGATCATTAGTTGGAAAAAAATTGATATGAGAAAAGAACATTGAGGTACCCACTTGTTAGCTTGAAAGCTACTTTAAGACAAACATATATTGAGAAAGCTTGTGTCAGCATCAGTAACATTATGCATATCCCTATAGTCGTATAGTAATAGATTTGTAGTATACATTTGATCAAGTTGGGTCCAAAAGAGAATAGTAAGCTTAACCTTTTAAGGGCGGTTTTTTTGTTTCTTCATATAGATGCATGAATGTTTTGTTGCTTTTTCAAATTATTGTGCATCTTGATAAAACATTATATATGTAGGGTGTATGAAAACTAGATTTTGAATGAATTAGTTACATCCAAAAATGAACAAAACTCTACAATATCATCTTTGAATTAATAATGACAAAAATTTTAAACCATGCCAAAAAAGAATTATATATGTTCACCAATTTATACAAAAATAATGAATATATGAATTCGAGCTAGAACTTATAATTTGGGGCCAGTATAATGGAATCCCGTATTACCATAAAAATTATAAAATTATGTTTTAGCGCCAAAATTGCAATATCGCAATTTAAAAATACATATTTTATATTTTCATCCGAATGTGTCTGAATTGAGAGTCATCGTTCGGATTCAACATCCAAATTCAGTACCTTATCGTTGTCTGTTTTTAAAACCAATATTTTGCATTTGGAGGTAATATTGAATTTTAAACAATCTCAATGCAATCTTGTATCAAAATAACTAAAAAGCAAATTTTTAATTTTATTCATATGCTCATACTTGTTTTTACGATAAAGTAAATTATATACATTGAACAAAATTTGGGATTTAATGGCCGCCAAGATAGCGATAAAGTAAATTATATACTTTGAATTTAATTTGGGATTAAATTTGGGATCATCCACTGAATCATAAAAAATCATGGCGACCTAATAACTCTCTATAGTAAGTCCATACCCATATCTCTCGAATGCGAACACATTGATGGATACACATACATGTCGTTGACAATGAAATCTTAGAAAGATCGAAACTTTAACAAGTTGCACAAAGAAATAGAAACATTAAAATTATTAATAATTTTCTTATAGAGATATTTATATTTCCAAAAAAAAATACAAGAAATGTAATAATCACCACAAGAGTTTTTTTTTTCTCTTCCTTCTTCTACACATATAACATATCTATAAATCCTCTAAAACATATTTTTTTTTTTTCTATCTTTCTCTATATATTTTATATTGTATACACAAAGATTGATGGTGACAAGACCAATATTGGATTGCTATCTCCAGTTCTTCTGGTTTTTAAATATCAGAAAACAAAGATCAAAAAGGGATAATGCATTTAACCAATTTGCGAGATTGCTACTTTGATGACCAATTGTAATGGAATCTGATTCTGATCTTGATGATTGATTGATGTAAATTTTGTTGTTTCAATGAATCTTTCTTTAGTATTGAAAACCGAGGCTAGATGTGTTGTAGTGACTCTGTGACTGAGTTTCCCAGCTTGCAGATGGCTGAAACAGAGAAATACATTTAGACAAATTACTTCCCTAGCAAGGAACAATAAACTCAGATAAGGGCACTTTCAGTTTCATAAATATATATGCTCACAGCTTCGATAGATGTTGCTTGGTTCGGGTTTATCGCAGATAAATCTAGAGATCCTTGCTGGTCTAAAGGAAACAATGGCACATCTACCATTATGGAGTGTTTTGATGAACCAACTACATTTGTAAAGTAAGCCTGAAACTGAGATTTTCATAGATGATGAGTTCTTGAGTAGTAACAATTTTGATCTTTAGGGTCTAGAGGATGTGTTTTTACCTGTTTAACAGATGCATCTTCCATGGCAAGCTCGAGTTCTGGGTTCAAGACTGCTAGTTTCATCGACAAGAACTGCAAAATTTGTTCCTTGAAGAATTAGACTTATCCTCTCTTTGGTTAGTAGTGAAATGAAGATGGTGTTTTATCACTTACCTCGACTTGTCTCTGGAGACATTGAACATAATTGATGATCTCATCAAGCATACCAGCTTTGCCAGTGACCTTGTTGCATCCAGGAACAATATCTTGCAGATATTTCATCTTCTTGCTAATCTTTTCTCTTCTTGCCTGCAAATGATCCAAACCCAATCAGAAACCCTAGATATATTTTGCATCTTGCAACACAAGAAACATCTCTGAAACACTCTTTGTTACCCTTTCTGCTAAGCTGTGTCTGTCAGTGGCTTGGCCTCGACGAGCTCTCACGTGGATATAATCTAATTTCGGAATCTCTGAAACTTCCTTCAATGTCTCCTTTGAAGATGCCTCTGTGTTTCTCATGTTTGGTTTTCCTTTCATGCTTGACTCTGTTTCAGCCTCTACTTTGATCTTCTTCTCTGTCTTTTCCTCTTCCCTTGTCTTAACCTGATACATTATTAAAATAAGCTATATCAATAACCATGTTTCAAAACATAACTTTCACCCAAGATTTGATCTTACAAACCTCTGCTTTTCGCTTGTTCTTCAAGGAAATGGGTTTGTCTTCTTCACCATTCTTCAACAAAACATCCATCGCATCCACTGGATCCATCTGGCAGCTGCTTGTTCTTGAAATGCAGCCATCCATAGCTTCATGTGAAGGAACATAACCCATGTTATAGTTTGGTCCAAAACCAGATCCAATCATTTGAAATTGGCTGAAACCACCCTGCAACAACTCATCATTGTTGCTTCCATGTAACTGAAGTATCTGTTGAAGAAGCTCAGGTGAATTATTACTGCTCTGAGACACAACATGTTGTAGTTGATGTTGTTGCTGTTGCAGCCATTTAAGCCTTTCAAGTACAGACATATCCAAGCTTTCTTGACAGACAAGACCTTCCAACATATTGTTTTCTCTGCAAAAAAAATCTCTATTGCTATATATATATGATCTTTTAAAGTGAGACCAAAAGTACAAAATAGAATAGAGAAGGAGAAGAGAAAAGCTGAGTTGGGTTTAAAAAGCAAAAGAGGGTTTTGCTATAAATGCATGAAGAAGAAGAAGAGATTTAGGTTCAATATAATTGTTGTTTTCGAGTGGGTTGCTTAGAAGAGATGTAAGAGGTGGGAGAAACTAATCCATTGATATCATTCTTCTTAGCTTTAAATAGAAAACAACATTGACCCACACACATAAGGTCCCCCTACTTGTTATGTTTTCTATTTTCCTTTTTAAAATGTGTTAAAAAATTATTTCAATTACTTTACTTATCTCTTTACCCTTAGAAATAAATACTAGCCCCCCCCCTTACCAATTCACAAAATGGTACCACACGTTTTTTATACGCCACAACTTTTTTTTTGTTGTTGTTACAAATTGACAAGTATGTAGCAAATTGAAGAATGGTCGAAGTCAGTGTAGCTAGCTATGTGAGAGTTTAGGATAGCTTAAACGTTAGCGTTGGTGGATATGAATCGGGTCCAGAGTTTTAGAGAAGCTTGACTATGACTAGGAGAAGAAGAAAGAGAGGATCAAGAAGAAGAAGAAATTGCATAAAATAGTATAGTAGTAAAGATTCGATATCTAAGGGAGAGAGGGACATGAATTGATAAAAGTAAAGGTTGGGAGCAAAGAAGGTGAGAGGAGCAAGGTGTGGTGGGTCTAAGTAAAACATAACCCACACCATGTGGGCATGTCCTTATGATGAACACTAAGTTTAGAGGTTCTTTATCCCTTCTTGTGTTATGTTTTTCCTTATTTTCTTCTCTCTCTTTTTTTTTTTTTGCCCTTTCAAGTTTATGAGAGGAGCTTGTAAAGAAAAGAAAAAAAATAAACAATGAGGGAGACCTTAACACATATATGGAGAATTATTTTGGGCTGGTTTGAATATAAGATGGTCAAATTAATTGAATTTCGACCAAACTAAAATAATAGACAAATTGGTTGTTTCTATAAACGTTTAAACACACAAAGTGGATAAAAACAAACTACATTGAACCTATGTAACAAATTGTTTTTTCCGTCAAATCGAATATATTGACATCACAAATTGTTTACAAGATACAAAAATATTTTAATACACCCATTGAACAAAAATACATGAAATTTTGATATAGGAGTGGAAGTAATGTGGCTATCATTTGGTAGTTTTTTGTTTTTGGACAAATTGGTAGTTTTATAGACATTATATGTGATGACAAAAAAAAAAATTAAAAAAAATAGACAATATATGCAATCGTCTATTTATCGGCTATTGATATATAGCTGAAACGCCAAATTGCCATTTGCATTACTTTAACTTGGAAGCATAAATTCAATATTTTTGGATATGATTATGGATCTGACCATAACATATTTATAAGAACTTTGAATTTGAAACAATTATATTTACTAAATTTTATATTTTTGGTCACTATTGTGAGTGTCCTCTACTTTTTTCCTTATAATGTTAAAATATAAAAATATTTAGTATTGTAAAAAGAAAAACTGAACCAACTTAATTTAGGCTCTTATATAAAAAGAAAGATTTATGCTTAGCCTAAAGTGAAAAAAATTAAGAATGTGAAATTATTCGTTTCTATGCGGCAATGGCTTTGTAGTTTGCACCATAACAACAAATCTAACCATCCATGTCTAATGATGTATTTTTCTTATAACCAAAAAATCGAAGTATTAATTAAACGTTCAAAAATGAAATATATATCATGTAAAAACATCGCTAGAGAGAGGGGTCGAACCTCTGACCTTGTGGTTAACAGCCACACGCTCTAACCAACTGAGCTACTCCAGCTAATTGTAAATTTATATGATTAATCGTATATATTTAATCTAGTTATAAAATAAAGACATAAGATCATGCAAAAGATCTTGTCATCTTTGGGGTTTCCATAAAAGAAATCAGTAGATAATAACACATCAAGACAACAAAGAGAAGTACATTGTATACGGTATACCACCAACCATCGAATATTTTAGAAGTTATGGTAAAACCTATTGCCTGAACAGTATACCATTAACAAAGACCATTAAAAGTTATGGATCCTTCACTAATATCAACCGTATCATATCATAGATTCATAATATGTGTAATCATAACCCTTTTAACCAAACTTTGTAGTATATACATATTGTTTTACTTTACAATAATCGCGACAAAAATAATTTATGGGTCTTCTATTGATTATATATGATATAAGAATCAAATTCGAACTCCTTACCAAAAAAATAATCAAAGTCGAACTCAAACAAACATTGCGATCTGTTAGGGTGATTGTAACACCGTAATATTTAAAATCGTATGAAGTAATTAAAAAAAAAAAAAGTTGCTATCTATATGACTATATAACTTAATATTTACTAATTTTCAGTTAAATATCCTAATCAATGAAATATCCTAATCAATGAACAAGAGGAAACACTTGTTACTTCATTTTGTTGAACGTTAAAACGATCGGCAACTATTTCCTTTGGTTGTATATATATGATACATTCATGCACTGTAAGATTAAATCGACTTTATACATCAATAACACCAATATAAACTTCATTTTAGTTTCTATTGGTTCAAATTACTTCAATAGCAACTTGACAACTTTCTTTTTATTCCAAGAAATAGGCTCCAAATAAAATACCCGTCTATCCCGGACGAATCCGTGTGTTCTTATTCTCTTACGAGACAAATTGAATAATTAGATTATATATTAAAAAAAAAGAATGTATTATATATAAAAAAAGTTAAAGAATATAAATGGGATTCTGGACCAGATATGGCAATAAACTAATGCAAAATCCTTTGCACAAACTAACTTATTGTTGCCACACTCCACAACTAGTTCCATAGTGCCACACCACTAGTTAACATGTGTTTGCTTCCTAGGGTTTTATTACCCAAACTCTAATACTGTGCTTAAGTTGGCCGGTGAGACAATGATATATATTATGATCAGTATGTTGTATATTTCAAATAGATATTTGAAAGAATTTATTTATTACTTTACATTTTTATAAATTTTATTCGTAATTGTATGTAAAAAGTGAGCAAAACTTTGTTTTTGAGTTTTTTTTTTCTTTATGCGAAAACTAAAAATCATAAAATAAATGTTCTAACCAAAGTGGAGGAATTTCAAAAATACTCTTTTTCAAATAATTAATCTTTACGAATGAAGGATTAGCATGAAAAACTAGAAATAACGTAAATTAATAGTAAAAAGAAAATTATATAAACAATATATAATTTTAAAAGAAATTCTGTATGAAGTTAAATGTTTAATAATATAATTTACGTGGGTATATGAGTACGAGGGAGCATCTCTTCACAACATCGAATGTAAAACTTTTAAAAAAGGATCATGTAAAGATTGGAATCTGATCAAATAAAATAAAAAAACTTTACTTTATCAGAGAGAGATTTTGGTCCATATAGTAGTAACTAGTAGTAATAAGGCTATCGACAGAGTCAACAGCAACAACCAATAGCGCCACTACGAGACGAGGTATAGTAAACTATTTCTTTCCAAGATCAAAATACAAAATAAAACTTAAGAGTGAATCAGGTGGATCGCTCTAGTAAAAAAAATTTCTAAATATAACCATTTTAATATTCGTGGTTATAAATTGATATTTTCGTGGTTGAGCTTGAATATTCATGATTGTACATAAATTGATATAACTATAAATCTTCACTGAAATAGATCGTGACTATAACGTTGTACCTTAGTTATTTTGTAATTTGTTCTAATTAGATAGCAACAAATTAGTCATTTTTATTACATGGTAATTTAATTTGGACAACAACAATGATGTTGAGTTGTTGACATTAGTAGATAAAACCACAACTAATATGGTTTACACAACTAACTCTGCCGGTATCATTCCCATTTTATAATGAAATATTTTAGCCTGAAAATCGTTTAAAATTTTGAACTAGAAAATATAAGCACACACTATCATTTGGTTGACAGAATAAGTTAAATATTTTTATATAATTTATTTTCTTCCAAGTGGTCTGTATTATTACATTATCAATTCATAGTAACCAAAAACATGAATTTTATTAATGTAATTGGACCGTATATATATAAAAAGATCTATTCTATTTTAGCACAAAAAGTCTTAAGAATCTTTGATTTCGACTACTACACCACTATTCACCTTACATCCTAAGCGCACCCGCACGAGGAATTGAAATATTGTATACCAAGTAATTAGATCAAGTGAGGTAAGTAAATATACATTTGAGAAGTTAACGTTACAAATTTACTTACTTTTTATGATTAGTAATAACCAACGTACGTAACATGCATGATTGTAACAAAATTGTTACAAATAAAACACAACATGAAAGTGGAGAAGTCTACCTAGCTACAATGCAAAGTTTAGAGTCGTAAACATATTTCTTGTAGACAAATTTTAGGTACGAAAGTTCCATAACTTCTCACCTTCTCGAATCTCGAGTCGGTAGCCGAACAAAGAATCTGAGGATTGAAAATTAATTAAATGCTGTGTGGGGATTAGTTTGAATCCCAGGTTCTGTTTTTTCCTCAGAGAATTGATATCGGGTCAAAGCAGAAGTAAAAGACTGGTTTTGACAAAGAGGGTTTCAAGCAATTGGAAAATACAGAAGTTGCAGTCTGAGTTAGAGGGTTTCAAAGATAAGAATAAAGAAGAAGATTGAAGCGTCTTGACTCTTCCGCTGTTTACGCTTCACTAGACAAGCTTCAGGTTCGTACACTGTTGAGCTGGTTCGATCTGTAGGAGACAAAGCAAAAGCAGGCCTGCGATTCTCGTCGTCTTCCTCCGTATCTGTGCCAAGCTTGAAGACCAGGCCAATCGAATGGGATTAACTCGGGTTAAGTTCTCTCTTACCCTAGTTCTGGTTTCAATCTTGTCTGGTCTATATAAACCAGTTGTAGTTGTGGTGTATGATGAAGTGTGAGAGAAAGAACAAGTGAGAGAAGTGTAACAGTGATTAAGAGCTCGGTTTGAGCTAAGTT